TCGCGAATAATGACGACCTCACATCGCAATTGGGATATGTGATAATCCTTGCCAACGAGGCAATGGGAGAGGAGAACTTCACGATCCGCGGTAATGTCATCCACTACTCGTCGACGAAGAGCAAAAGGGTCACACGAAGTGTACTCGCCTCAGAGGTCTACGGCATGGTTAACGGCGTCGACATCGCACACGCGATCTCAACGACGCTGAAGAGGATTACCGATCGACTTGACATCCCCACGATACCGACAATCGTCTGTACCGATTCGTACTCGCTGTATGAGTGCCTCGTCAAACTGGGCACCACGAAGGAGAAGAGGCTGATGATAGACATCATGGCCCTCCGGCAATCGTATGAGCGCCGCGAGATCCTCGAGATCCGTTGGATCAACGGGGACGATAATCTGGCGGATGCTTTCACGAAGGCAACGCCCAACAAGGGGCTCGAGCACTTCGTCGGCGAAGGAAGGGCGACGATACGGATGGAGGGATGGGTAACCCGCAAGGAGCAGAAGAAGGAGGAAAAGGGGGCAGCCTCGGCGAAGGAGCCCGAGATCGAATTACACTTCCAACCGCCGTAGTTGGGCGATGAAAGAGAGAGATAGTCAGTGTCGGATTGGAAGTCCAATTCGACCTCGAGGCAAGGGGCCCGCGCAGGGGCCACTTACAGACCATACTTACGAGATCTACGGTCTACCCAACCTCCGGTTAGAACCTCCTTTTTACACCTTACGCAGAAGTTAAATATATATAGATTTTGACCTCTTCGTCACCCACGGTTCGAACCATCCCTGTGATAGGAATACCAACACTCTCTGTTTTTGGAAACCTAGAGGATGGTAATGCCGACACTGAATGGGTGAAGGTCTTATTCAGTATGTCCAGCCTTGCCCTGCCATTTCCGTTGTTTCTATGCTGACGCAAGGCACTTAGCACAAGAACGTCTGCCATTCCAGGAGGGATTCTCAAGAGCAAACTCTTCAATTACTGCAGCGGGAATCCTGGGCCTGGTTGCTAAAGTTGCGGCTGCAAGTGTGTAATTTGATCTCCTTGGCCGTTGCAACGGGTGGATAGTAGCTTCGACACCAGGATCCGCCAGCGGGCTCTTCTCCTTATCCACATAAGCAGATGTATCTTGGCTGTCAATTTTTAACAAGTACTTACTAAAGAATACAAACTTTCAAACTAAAAATTGAAGTTGCGTTCAAAAGGACAATCCCAAACATTGGCGTACTTGCTTCATGCATTCCATGACATAACAAACCTACTCAATGTCGATGACAACAGATATCCGGTGTACAGGAATCCAGGATACCGCCACTCCTTGAAATCCATGTCTGATCGTCGTTGATCTTCAGGCGTAAGCGCTTGTTAGGCCGCTAACATTGTATGTACTTGGCTGAAAGATCCATTTGGCGGGTATTCCGGTAAAGCAACGATTATTGTAGTGACTACTGCCCACTAGTAGTTAGTAAGAAGTAGCTTGTCTCCCACTATCTCCCCTAAGTAGGAGACCCGTACGGGGGTCGTATCTACATAATAACCGTACGAGGCGGGTAATCGTCTCGTGGAAAGTGGTATCGTGCAGCACTCATCTGCAGCGCCACACATGGCGCCGCGACAATGTTATCATCCAAGGTTCAAGCGGGGTGACATCCAGGAGTGCTCAGAAAAGGCCCAGGAAGCGGATCTCCATTGTGTATGTCAATGTCGACACTATGATAAGTGAAAGGAAATCACGCTGGTAGCAAAGGTGCCCAGGAGTAGGCTTTGTGTAGTGTTGTCTGTTGAACACTAGTGGCCAAGGGTTCGAGGGTGTATATGGCATGGCAGAGCACAAGTAGAAACTGGCTCCCTCGGTTCAACATCAACAATCAACACGTCATGCTGCCACCATCTGTTGAGTAAACAGATTGCTCCTGACAAGGATAATGCCTCGACGCCGATCATGTACCCAACTTCCGTTTGCTGTAGTGGGTCACGATACGGTAGATTCCTTGATACGCATCACCATCTCAAGAACATTGACCCGCCAGTGTTCATGCGCATGTGACCATAATTCTCATTATTCCCAACATTTTACATGTGTCAGCTTGTCTTGCGATGCCTATCTGGAGCTGTGCCCTACCTCAGGTACATGTACGGTTGGGTCTGCCATCTCCGCCAACACAGACCAACATGTGACGGAGGATCAGCCAGACGGCCACTGGCCGGAAGAGCCAATGTGATCAGTGACAGTTTCTCTGATGTTTGAGATGAAAGGTCCCCGAAAGCTCTCTTCCTTTTACTCGTGTATTATCGCGGGTCACGCGCTTTGATTACGACGGCATCTGTAGCGCTCAGCTCGCACAAGGATGTATCAAGAACACTCCAACATCAAATGATACTGTTCTTCGATAGCCTCGGCTGTTTGATGAAACTTGTCAACTTAGCCCAAATGCGATGCTTCGCACAGCTTCGCATAGCTTCGCATAGCCACACCGAGCCTCAGGACAGTTTCCGACCATATGAAACACTCATGGACATACAAGCCGGCAAGATGGTGATCCTGGCCCAAGCCCAACGCATGTTCAATCAGGTGTCAATATTTGAATGCTGTCAATATTACATAGGGGTCTGACGTGTTGTCCGAGCTTAACTCAATGTGGGGGTGAAACACGTGAACGCAGAAGTGCCGAGGACCATCATCAGATGAAACTATATATATGGAGTGTGTAGATCACGCCTAAATATCCCAGGAGACCAAACCGTAGTGATCTCAGTGTACCCATTTCCTCAGCATCTCTCGGGAGCACTACGCCAGCATGTCTTCTACACTCACAGCAACTACAGCGACCCAGAGTCAGACTATCAGGGTTGAAAGCAAAGATCCTATGAAGTCAACCTGGCGTCGCAGTGACAAACGTACGTGGAAAATTGGCCACTGGATTATCGAACGACTTGGACTCTACCATGAAGAGCTCGACCAACCTGCGCCCGTCCATTCGAAAGCCGATTCGGTACCTTACGTCCCACATTGGCAGTTCCATCGGTGGATACTGCTGCACGCAACCATACCCCTCCTTCTTCACCAAGCTTTCGTATCCTCCACAGGATATAGCGTTCACCCAGTAGCGGCCTTCGTATTTTACAGCGTGGCAATCAAGGCTGTCGCTATCCATCAAATTAATATAATGCGCGGTCTCGGCCAACGCTACGGATTCCTCGATGGCGACAAACACGAACGCGACGGTGTCCCCGACAAAAGCGTCAAAACAGTCTTGGAGTCACTTATATCGACTGCAACATTTCGATCGATGATGGCTGTGATCCTTTCTTACCGCCGGGACGAGGCTCCAACTACAATAAACTGGATGCTTCTTCCCCTCGAAATCGGTCTCTACGGTGTTGTATTGGACTTTTGGTTCTACTGGTATCACCGACTTATGCATGAGGTCGACTCATTGTGGAAGTATCACAAGACACATCACCTCACGAAACACCCGAACCCTCTTCTTACACTCTTTGCGGATAGCGAACAAGAATTCTGGGACATCGCCGGCATTCCTTTCTTGACGTGGGCGACGCTTAGGCTCATTGGACTGCCCATGGGATTTTACGAATGGTGGTTCTGTCAGGAGTATGTCATATTCACTGAATTGACGGGACACAGCGGACTGCGTCTTTATGCCACATCTCCAACACCTTTCGCATGGCCGCTTCAGTTCTTTAACTGCGAGTTAGTCCTCGAGGATCATGACCTCCACCATCGAAAAGGCTGGAAAGCTAGCGGCAATTATGGCAAGCACACCCGGTTGTGGGATCGCATTTTCGGAACGTGTATGGACAGAATTGAATGCGGTGCCGATTCTGCAGACTACACAAATACCGCTGTTATTCCGTTATTGTAAATCCGAGGTCTGTCGTTACTGGAAATCCACCAATCCTTCGTTTCCACATCAATGGGACAAGCCAGCTGCCGTTGGGGGTGAAGGAGAGGAAACCGTGCCAGGTTTATTGGGGAAAATAGAGCGGAGTAGGAGGCAGCGACAGGTTATCGCACAGTTACTGATGCAACATGTCCTACCATTTGTCAAAGTCCTAGAGCAGTCAAATAGAGTGTAGCTCTTTATACACTGCAGTATGCGTTCAGTGTAATCAGAAAAGGCGAGGTTTTCTTTGAAGACTAAAAACATCGTGGAGATATGTACACCTTCTCCTAGACGTGCCCTGTTCCAAAAGCCAGAAAACAGATCGATCGCGCGCATGTGGTGACGCGGGAAGTCAACAACATTTTTTGCCCCCTCTCCCTCCCCCCCCGCCGGCCTATCCTACCAAGTTCTCGGGGGGTACACGAATAAACGCGTATGAGGCTGTGATACTTTTCTCCAAATGAAAACAACTTGTCATATCCCTGCCGCCTGAACCCTGACTCGGTTCCTCCGGCCGTCTCAGTCTGAAGACATATCCAGCAAGGTATTTTCTATCCTCCAAGAAACAGCTTATTGCAGTCACGTACCTTTCTGGACAATGATGTGTTTTGGGGGATATATGAGTCGACTGAATACCTTGGATAGGTTACAGTCCATGTCGTCTTTAGGCTAAGTAGGCTCACTCGACGTTCTGCGAAAACAGGTGCAACATCGGGAAAGGGCCGTGCTTCCAACCCAAGATGAGGACATTATAATATACCTTTGCATAACCCCTAACAAGCGTAATAGGGAGTTTGTCTTCGCGCCATGCGGCAAGATTGAACCGGTTTAAAGTTCGGAGGTCGAATGAACCGACGCCAAGCTACTTTCGCATTCGGAATCACCGGGCAATGGTAAACTTCAGTGGTAGCCAGAGCATGACAATAAGAGGCAATCAGAAATTACAGGCCCCACCACCGGCCCGTATACACGAAAGTCAAAGACTCAGTAATCTACAACCCGGATTTCAACATCATGGTATAAGAAGCTCAAGGCAGGCGCTCATGAGTAGATGCCTTCTTTTCTGCCATCTGCAACCCGTCGTCACTCGTTTTCCAACACTCCCTACATCTCCTACATTACAATAATATTCAAAATGCGTGCCTTCACCGTCGCCGCTGCCCTTCTCATTGCTGGAGCCCAGGCTGCTCCTGCTCTTGAGAGCCGTCAGGATGTCTACGGATGGTAAGCGACCCTATCACTCATTCTTCACGAGACCGAACTGATTATAGTTTCAAAGTTACTTCTCTGGTGATGGCATCAACAACCAATACGTCAGCGTCGGCCACGATATTGATGTTACCGATGCTAGCGGCAATACCCGTAATCTTGACTGCGGCACAACTTCCCAGCAACTTGTTCCCAACGTCTTCGCCAAGTGCACTGTGGACAAGAAGCAGCCGGCCGGGATTACCGCTAACGAGTCCGACAAGAAGTAAGAATTATGGTCACCGAAGCGAAAGCACGTAACTAATAAATTCCTCACAGCGCTATTAACTGCCCGGTTTCTAAGAGCAAGGTTGACTGCTAGACTCTTCACTGTCAAGTATCAGCCTATGAGTTGGAAGATATTTAATCTTAATTGAGTACTCTTAGAATCTTGAAGCAAATTATATAGCCCTGCTGTTCTCGCGCCATGTGGTCCCAAGCTTGACACTAGCCAAGCACTAGCTGCAGATAACGGCAATCACATACTGCACGTACTATCATTCCCTACTGGTCCAAGTTTCGAACCTTCTCGTCTATCTAGTCGTAGCAGAGTTTTCTCGTGTAATCAGCGCATATGTGAGGATCACAATCTTATTCTTCGTCTATGAAGGTTTCTAGATATGTATACGAAAATGAGGGTGGGGATTTGAAGGGCCTGTAAAACTTCGAATGAAGCTTAGGTGCGTAGAGTTTTTGTTAAACCTGCCAGCGCTAGAAATGGTTTCGAAGTGTTCTAGAAGCATGTTCTTTCTCTCCACAAGATGATAGGAGTTCGTCTGCGTATAGTTGCCAACACTCTTTCAGAGTAGGTTGAGTTGCGACATCCTGCTCTACTGTTCAGAATGGTTAGTGCTACTGTACTTAAGACCATGACCCTAACACCCGAGATTGCGGATATATATAGGACTTGATGAACTTACCATACCAATGTCACTAGGCTATTACAGCCTTGGACAACGCACATAATGGCTGCGCAGCTCTCGTTTTGTACAATGAATACGAATTTCAATCCCACTGTCATCGACTTGGTCCAATAAGATTATAAGGCCTGCCCCAGAGGCCTCTTCCTGACAGCTGCATACTAGACAGATATCTTATCGCCCCGTATTCGATTCTTGTATCGATGAGTGGATTGACTCTCTGACATAAGGAGAACCTACTAAATCCCTCCCTACGGCTTTTCGTAATGCGAGTTCACTACCAACCGACAACATTGTTTTTTGGTGCAATATTTTCAGAGGTTTCAGCTTTGGGCCACGTCGCACTGGTTCGTAGTAAGTACCACTACATAAGGTACCTTACTAGATTCTGGAACTTGATGTCATCTCATATTTCAGATGTTACCGAACTCTTCCAGGTAGGTAGTCTCGGTAGTTACTGGGCACATGCATTGCAGATAGGTACTTTGTAATGAGCCACCAGATGACAGTCTAGAGCTTGGCTATAGTCTAGTATCTGATCACCTCTCTAGGACTTAAGTTGTGCGGAAGTCCGAATACTTGCAGTCTTGGGAAAATGTACCGACCCATCATTTCAATTGCTCCCACTAGTAGATGAGTACTATTAGGCTAAGGTATTGATGTTTCGCTGTATTTCCTGGCTTGAAGTGGGTTGCGCAGGTGACCGTTCGTTGTATAGGATTTTGACTTGATTTCCCGTTTCCTCAATAGATATTTCCCATAAACTGTACCGGCACTGGGTAGTGAGGGGTCGTTTACAGCGTGTTGCACGCTTGCCGGACCTTGATGTAACTACCGCAATATTTGAAGCTGAGTCGCTAGCTATTCGATGTCTGCTTCACTATGGCAGCCTACAAATCAAAGTAGCAAATATTCCGACCAGACTCACGAGATCGCTGAAGAACGATGAGGAATTTCGTGCCGGCAAAACACTGCCGGTGCTTGGGGCAAATTTCTTGGGTACGCGTGTATGTCTAAGTATGGAGGCTCAAACGTAAAGGTGGAGCACAGTGCACTTGGCCTCATTCTCCCCATGTGTAACCTTAACTCATGATCAAGACGGAAGATCGGCAATGCTGAACAGGGTACTGGCGGACGAGAACAAATTTTTTTCACTGCCTGTGGTGTATCCCCCAAAAATAAGCAGGCAATCACGAAATGGTTTGCCTCTCACGTCATTCCTAGCGGCCTCAAACACGTGACATTACTCAGGTTTTGCAATGGCTTGGCTTAAACCGAACTTCTCCGACCTCTCCACTTGTAACTCCGAGCTCACAGCCCGAGCAAACTTCACGTCGACTGTTATACGGTTCGACTTATAAGTCCTTTCAGCGTCCATATTTTGTATTCCACGTTTGAATAATCTTTACACGCACAATATCAAGTTCTCGGCTACCATCATGTCTCCTGGGCCGAGATCTTGGTTATCGCGGCTTGGCGAAGAGAGCGGCTTCGTTTCGATTTCGCAGTCCTGTCGCGATACCAAAGTACTCTGCTTACAACGTTTCGTTCGCCTCTTTGCATATGGCGCATCATTCCTGATTCTTGTGCACTTCCTCTCTAGTCTAGGCTACTCGGATGAACGAATCGGTCTTTTCATGACGTTGACACTTCTCGGAGATGTCGTCATCAGCTTCTTACTCACAGCCATCACCGATCAAGTTGGAAGACGAAAGGTCCTTGCCACCGGAGCAGCACTTATGGTAATGAGTGGCCTGGTCTTTGCAATGGTTGGGAACTACTGGGTCCTCGTTATTGCCAGTATCTTCGGGGTCATCAGTCCCAGCGGCAATGAAATCGGGCCTTTCCGCGCCGTTGAAGAGTCGATTCTCGCTCAGCTCACGCAGAAAGAAAAGCGCAGTGATATCTTCGCATGGTACACGCTATTTGGCTCGGCAGGCGCCGCCCTAGGCACACTTACCTGCGGTTGGGTAGTGCAGGCGCTTGAAGGCAATGAGTCCTGGACTCAGAACGAAGCATACAGAGTCGTCTTTCTTCTATATGCGGCCATCGGCTTACTCAAGCTAATGCTTATTTTTGCCCTTACGTCTGGTGTTGAGGCAACGCCGACAGAGGCCGGCGATCAAATCTCTCGAAGAAATACCGAAACTCAACCTCTACTTGAGGACAACTCAGACGGTGAACAGAGCCAGTCTAGGCAGTCAACAGGAGCAGAGTCCCGTCGGCCAACGATCATGCAACGCACAAGGGCTCTACTCCCTTATATCTCTCCGCTATCTCGATCGATACTGTTTCGGCTCCTCATTCTATTCTGTCTCGACTCTTTTGCCTCCGGAATGGCATCACCATCTTGGTTAACTTACTACTTCACCACCGTGCACTCTTTGAAGCCAGGGTCGTTGGGAACACTATTCTTGGTCACCAATCTTCTCGCCACAATTTCGAACCTCGTGGCACTTCCTCTTGCCCGTCGTTTAGGACCACTCAAGACTATGGTTTTCACTCACCTGCCTTCTGCTATCTTTTTATCAATGATCCCTCTTCCGTCGCCCGGTTCTGGTGGAACATGGACTGCGATGGCATTTCTATCCTTGAGAGCGTGTACACAGAGTATGGACCAAGCGCCTAGACAGGCCTTCCTTGCAGCTGCAGTTCTCCCCAACGAAAGAACGGCCGTGTTGGGTGTGGTCAATATTGTAAAGACATGGGCTCAAGCGGGTGGTCTTGGTTCTGCAGGGTATCTCGCTGGGAAGAATCTTTGGATCGTGGTATTTACGGGAGCAGGAATCATGAAAGCATGCTACGACTTATTGATGCTCGGGTTGTTTTTGGGACTCGGAGATCGGGAAGACGGCAGCTCCAAGTCCCGTTCGAGGGACGAGGAAGAATCTTGAATTGCGGAGAACTGAACTGCAAAATAGTTTGATGTAGACCTTCTTACATGTATGCTAATAGATTGAACTGATGAAACACGTGTTTCTGCTTAGTCCACTCTCTTCGCACTCTCCTTACGTACTATTGCCTCAAGTTTCGGCAGATCGAATTTTCTGTAGGCCAATTCGTCCAAAAGCCACTCACCGAAAAGGAGCCGAGCAAGCCAGACTGACCCAGCCATGCCACCAGCCCAGAACCAATTTGTCGCCCCTCCGATCCAACCCCCAAGCCACCCTTCTCCTTTTAGGGCCTCTGCTACCAGTTGTTGGGCAAACTCCCCCGTAGAGACGGTCGCGTTATCTTGGGAAAATGTAAGGCGCTTTGCATATATCTCTTTGACACGAGAGTACAGCGAGTCAGGCGGCAGCTCACGGGTGAGCTTGGCAATTTGACTCTTGACAGTCCCAGTCATAGAGATCATGACACGTACGCCAAACGGACGAAGCTCTTGGCGAAGGGTACGGCTGTATGAGTTGAGAGCGCCTTTGGTCGCCGTGTAAACTGAGCCAAAGACATAGGGAGAGATGGCGGAAAGACTGCTGATCATGATGATGAGGCCACGGGCCGGGATCAGCAGCGGCACAAAGGCCTGAACCATGGCCATGACGCCAAAGACATTTGTCTCAAAAGTCTGTCGAACTTCATCCATATTAATGTCGGTCGCTGGGACAGTATGCGTCAAGCCACTGGAAGGTCATTAGTTAGCTGCACAGTGAGGTATTACGATAAACCGTGTCTCAATGCGCAACATAGAAGCCACTGTCTGGCTCGAGAGCGCTCTGGCACGGAGTAAGCCTTACGCGTTGTTGACCAGGAAATCAAGGCGGCCTCCAGTCAATTCGGAGACTCTTGCTTTGCAGACGGCAATACTGTCGCCGTCAGTAACATCGAGGGGCAATGTCGTCAGTCCCAAGTCGCTCAAGTCTAAGAGAACTTCAGGCCGGCGGGCCGTTGCGATGACATGGAGTCCTAGCAGTGAAACGTTGTGAGCAAACCACATCTCCATTAATGGTTCGTTTCATGAAATTGAACACTAATTATTGGTTCATGGATGTAATTGAAACCCACCTTTGGAGTGAAACTCTTTTGCCAAGGCATGGCCGATTCCCCCTGGGGTGCAGCTACAAGAAACGTGTCAGCACTAACGCCTCCAGCGATTAGCTCCGCGAGTCAGAGTTGATTAGAACTAATGAAGGGCGTAGCGCACCCTGTGATCAAGACTGTCTTTTTGTCTGCTGGGATGCCCATTTTGTCGGTACTGTACTGGAACTTGATGTTGAACGATGGAGAGGGAAGGAGCTGTGATCAATGGATTCAATGTGTTGAAGACGAAACATTACATGGCTGTTCTCAGACTGTCTGGCCAGATAGATCCCGAGGTAAATTCAGCTTAAATGGGTCAAGAAAGACATGTGGGTCGCTCAGGTCCGCATTCCGCGGACTTCCGCCGCGAACCTTGTCATTCGGCCGAGTCCTTAGTAATCCCGTATAGATAAGCAATAGTGAAGCAAAGTCAAGGTCCAAAAGCCAAAGGGTGTTTGACACTTTGAGCAAACGTATGGAAGTAAGGTCATCATCCTACCGAGCGCACATTCACGATAGCCATATTTTTATCCCTTATTTGCACCCCATGCTTGCAATGTGTGAGGCTACATTCTGAGTCACCCACTGCGAGCACTCATGAGCAGCCGCAGCGTGTGACGCAGTGGCTGAACGCTGGAGGAAAATAACATGCCCCATCACTTCGGCTAGCATGATGTTGTATGCTTAGCAGCAAACAGTTGGGGGAGGGCTGTGCACTGACAACTCCGGAGGCGTCGAGGATGCTGTTATCTCCAAACTGTGTCGTTTTTGTCGCTTTGCTGTGGAAGACGTCGTAATTTAAACGAACCATTCGTGCCGACAAGAATTTCTCGGAAACTCCGGAAAATGCCAAGTTTCTTTGCCACCAACCGTTACGCAAACCGGCGGGATGTCTGTCCAAAATTTTGTTGTCGAAAAATTGTTTTACGATGGCCCCTCTTGGCAGGCTGCGGCCTATCCGCGTATCGATGGATCAGCTGCCATTGAACTCAACCAAGGTATTCCGTACCAAATACGAGTATAAAACAAAGTCGTCGCATCATGCGTCAGCTGTGTGCATGTCCCCCCGCACGTCACATTGCGGAGAAGCTGGGGAAAGGGAGCATGGTAACTGGGTTTTTCAAACTACCGACAAATGAATGCGGGGTCGTCAGACTCTTGGGTTACATGCTCGTTGTTTAGACATCGGTTCATCCCATGAGGTCCGGAACTCAACCTTGGTGCTTATTCTTCTTGTTACAAGGCGAGCAATTCCATAACAGAAGATGCCCCAGTCTCTGTATCATCTTTACCTACTCCGTATACCTGTGAGCATCTCACTTGCGAATGGCGACGAGCCAGACGCCAGCAACGATGCGCCACTGTTACTTGAAGATTTGTGTTGCCAGGTGGAACAACTGCCCTGTTGAGCTCCACGACGCGGGCCGGAATATCCGGCTTTCGAACAGAAGCGAAGAATCCCCGGTAAGATCAACACCCGATCCTGGATGCCGTCAGAATGTGTCAAGGATCCTACCTCGTAGTCTGGGGACCCCGCAAACTAACCTCGAGATCCACAGACTTCGGGTAATTTAAGACGAGCAGAGGGGTTAAGAATGCCTAGCTAAGGCTAGCACTCAAGCACAATTTCGTCGGCGGGATAGCGACTACCGAGCATCTGCAATGATGCTTGGAATTTGGTAAGTGTAAGGACATGGATACACGGGTGAAAGATGCCCGACAAGCCTCGGTGGTCTTGATTCAAGCTTGTATTCGTAGCTCTCCGTGTGATTGATGTATATATATGGCTCAAACTGCGGTAGCATTCAACCTCGTTTGATACAGGCCCTTCTAAACCTTTGTTCGCTGACTTAGGTGGCATTTTTCGAGGGTTTGCCCGTCATCATGGCTGTTTCGATATCTCAGCTGTCTTTCGAGCACCATCGACAAGCTCTTGGCATAGCCGAATCAGAGCCTCGCATCTCATGGCGGTTCTCTGGCAACGCCGTTGACTGGGAGCAGAGCGCCTACGATCTAGAGATTCTCAGGGGGTCAGGTCCCCCAACCATCCACAACTTTAATTCGACGGAGTCTCTCCTAGTTCCATGGCCAGTAGCAACTTTAGAAACGGCTGAGCAGGCTAGTGTACGAGCTCGAGCCCACGGCGGGCCCGGCCAACTCTCTACGCCTTGGTCGGATTGGGTCACAGTCGAGACTGGGCTTCTCAACTCTTCGGACTGGGCCGGGGCAGTACCCATCGCCGCCGAGAGGGAGACTGAAGTCGAAGCTCCGAAACGTCCGGTCTACTTCAGAAAGCCTTTTCTCATCAATGCCAATGTCACTCGTGCACGGCTCTACATCACCGCGTTGGGAGTTTACGAAGCGGAGATCAACGGCCGTCGGGTCGGTGACTATGTTCTTGCCCCCGGATGGCAATCATACAACTACCGTCATGTTTATGATACATACGACGTCACGGAACTTATTTCAAGCGGAGAAAATGCCATTGGTGCTGCAGTCGGCGAGGGATGGTTCGCGGGTAGACTGAGCTACGGTGGTGGTGTTAGAAACAATTATGGTGACACCATTGGCCTTCTCAGTCTTCTTGTCGTCACTCTCGAAGACGGTACCAAGATTATGGTACCGAGCGACGCGACCTGGAAAGCCAATACCGGCCCACTTATCACCTCCGAAATTTACAACGGCGAGCATTACGACTCTACACTTGAGGCAGACCTGAAAGGATGGTCATCCGCAGGATTTACCGCCGATGATTGGCTGGCAGTGAAAGAGTTGCCCGCACTCAAAGGCGCTTTAGTCCCTCCTGATGGGCCTCCCGTCAGGCGATTGGAAGAAAGAAAGCCAGAGTCCATCTTCGCGTCTCCGTCTGGCAAGACGATTATCGACTTCGGGCAGAATCTTGTGGGCTGGCTGAGACTCACGGTCTCTGGACCCAGGGGAACGAACATCACCCTTCACCATGCTGAAGTCCTCGAAGACGGGGAGCTTGCTCTGAGGCCACTCAGAATTGCAACAGCAGCTGACTCTCTTATCTTGCATGGGAACGGCACGCAAACATGGGAGCCACGATTTACCTTCCATGGCTTCCGCTATGCCCAAGTTGATGGTTGGCCACAGGAAACTCCTCTGACTGCCGAATCCATCACTGCTGTCGTCGTACACAGCGATATGGAACAGACCGGCTGGTTTGAATGTTCGAATCAGCTTCTCAACAAGTTTCATCACAACGTGCGGTGGTCTATGAAGGGGAACTTCTTGTCTATCCCCACCGATTGCCCACAGCGTGATGAGCGACTTGGGTGGACCGGCGATGCCCACGCCTTTGCTCCAACAGCAAACTACTTGTATAACGCCGCCGGTTTCTGGAGAGGCTGGCACAAAGATATCTGGTCAGAGATGCAGCGAAACAACTCGATGGTAGTTCCATTCACCATTCCAACAATCCCACCTGGAGGCCCAGCTACGCCCGCCGCAGTCTGGGGGGATGTAGCTGTTGCCAACCCTTTCAACATTTACCAAGCGTTCGGTGATTTGGGCCTCCTCGAAGAGCAATACCTTCAGTCTCAGGCCTGGATTGATACCGGCATCAGCCGTAACGAGGTTGGATTATGGAACCGCAGCTCTTTCCAATTTGCCGACTGGCTCGACCCGAAGGCCCCTTCTGATGCCCCCGGGAATGCTACTACTGCGAAACATTTGGTCGCCGATGCGTATCTTATCCACATGACCGACTTTCTCGCAAACATGTCTGCAGCTCTGGGGCGTGGCGATGCGGCAGAACAGTATCGAAGTCAACGGAAGGATTTGATCTCAGCGTTCCATGACGCTTGGATCCACGATGGCGTTCTTGCAAACCAGACGCAGACGGCGTACGCCATGGCTCTCAACTTCAACCTTTTCACTGATGAGGGACAGCAGTCAGCTGCTGCCGAGAAGTTGCGACAGATCGTCGCAGATAATGACTACCTAGTCGGCACAGGCTTTGCGGGCACTCCCCCTCTTGGGTTCGCTCTCAGAGACATTGGCGCTACTGATGACTTCTATCGCATGCTTCTTCAGACCCGAGTGCCTTCCTGGCTATACCAAGTGGTTCAGAATGGTACAACCACTTGGGAGAGATGGGATAGTCTTCTCGCAAACGGAAGCGTCAATCCTGGCGAGATGACCAGCTTCAACCACTATGCTTTCGGCTCCGTTGCCAATTGGATGCATCAAGTCATTGGTGGCATCGCTCCTGCTGAACCGGGCTGGAAGCGTATTGCCGTTGCCCCGATTCCTGGCGGTAACATTACCAGTGCTGATTCGAAATACGTTTCGCCTTATGGAGAAGTCAAGGTACAATGGTGGTTCGAAAACAATAGGGAGGAAAATGCCGTACATCGTAATGGGTTCCATATGATCGTTGAAGTTCCTCCTAACACAAAGGCCGACATCACGCTGCCTAATGGGGGAGATACAACTGAAGTCGGTTCCGGATACTACGAGTTCCATGACCCAAGTTATTTACTAGTTTGATTACAGAAACTCAAATCTTAGTATCATCCTTCCGTCAATCGTGTCTTCACGTTGTCCATCCAATTGATTGTTGTGTTGGTGGATGAATGACGGGAGCTTTGCCGCTAAGGCCCTAACAAGTACTCAAACTGAAGTCCCATGCGCCTCCAACTGACTTACGACTCCATCACCGATATGAAATCGAGAGTTACAAGTGAAACTCACACGTCGCTCAAGCCTGTTGGAAAGGAATTGGATGAGTAGACGAGCTTGATGTTCAGGACTTCAAGGGCGAAATGATGATACTGGCGTGACATTCTAGGTAGGGTTAATTGAATATGACCCAAGTTAATAAATTCTGATCTTGGTTATATTCTGTTGACTTGTCGTGTCGATCCAACGTTTCAAGACAACATAGAGTATATTCCGCAGCACCTTCAACAATTTGATGTCGCTTTCAAGTCCTAGTTCGTGATGTCGAATTCCATTGCCCCTAAGCCAAATCCTCTTGGCTCAGATTCTTTTGAGAGTGTAAAACTTGAATTCCTCCAGGACCCAGCTTAACGTAAGTCTACTACCTACATAGGAAGATAGGACTCATCGGCGGTAGTTTCAGCGCGCTTCATCGGATCATAGGACTCGTCGGCGCTTGTCTCGGCCCTCTTCATGGGAAGGTAGGACTCGTCTGCGCTGGTTTCTGCGCGCTTCATGGGGTCGTAAGACTCATCTGCGCTGGTTTCGGCACGCTTCATAGGAAGATAAGACTCGTCTGCGTTCGTCTCCGCCCGCCTCATCGGCAGGTATGATTCGTCGGCACTCGTCTCGGCCCTCTTCATCGGCAAGTAAGACTCGTCTGCGCTTGTCTCAGCCCGTGCCTTCATTGGAAGGTAAGACTCATCGGCGTTTGTCTGGGCTGCATATACTTAGCTTCTGAAACGAAACTCAAGACAAAAGTTTCAGTATGTCACCTACCATGACCTGATCGAGGAACCGTAGGTAACGCAACAACATAGGCCGCGAGAGCGGTCAACAAAACGGTCACCTTCATATTGTGAAATAGGCTTTGGCGAGTATCTTGGGGAGATCGCTCCAGAACCGTCTTTGAATCAGAGAACAGGGCTGAAAGGCAAGTAAAGGAGATCCAGTTGAGAGACGATTTACAGCGTCGTGGCCCTCTCTTATGATTGACACCTTCCGTGACAAGTCAATCGAGCTTAGAAGGTCCGCGAAGTTTCTGGGCTGGACCAAAATCCATCAGGAGCTGGAACCTTGCATGTTGATCTGTGAGATGAAAGAGGCAGGTGTCATTTGGATGACTCTCACAACTGACGAATCCTGGTTTCACCAGTCATGATTGACAAACTGTGGCTTCACTTGTGTAACTCTGAAGACTTGAGTTGACGGGGTATTTTACGGCGGCAAAGCAGTAAGCTAAATATTGAAGGATTTGTCCAGTCTTCTTTGGCATCTGAAGTAGCCGTTTAGAGCCAGGCTTACGAGCACCTCCATTATCGACCTTCTAAATTGGAATTAGTCTCTCGCCCCACAGTCATAGGATCTAGATGCATAGAACTTGACAAAGGCCAAGAAACTTTGCAGTCTCTCTGGCCGATGTTCGAATTCCCAGTTATACTTCTACGTCGGATTTGCTGCATTCTCTCGTCCGTCAGGTTAAATTGACTCGTATACATGCCAAAACTCTAACCCTGCAAACAATGGAGCAATCAAGTTTCTGTCAATGGATAGCTTCACAGATCCAAGTACGAAACCTAATTGAAAAGGTGTCATGTTTCAAAGAATTTGGTTTTAGTATGTGGAAAATGTACCGGCTTTGTCACGCCTTTGGTACTAATTAATCGCCAGAAATTCGGTCTTGACGTTGGCTTTCCATTGTTCTTGTTTCGAAGACCAACTTTTCATGCAGTGCGACGACAGGGGCATGCAAAACAGGATGGTGTAGTGATATCAGATTGGCTCGTCCGGACTCGAAAACCGAGCTGCTGTCAGACATTGGGCTTGGTCGGCGGGGGCTCTTCGAGCTGGGTATAGTGTTCATGCCTGAAGGATTCGGATGCACCGACATACTCGTCCATCTTCCACTCGGAAGACGGTCCACCTCGGACGGAGGTAAGCGCAAAACGCCATCACAGATAAGATCACCTTCACTGTATAGACCTTCCAGATCTGGAGGAAAGGATGGGATCATCAGTATACCTATGTCCCGCATGGGTCGTCAGACGGGACATGCCCGCCTGTATGACGGTGGCGGGATTTGAACAAGTCTGCGGTCCCTCGCGGAACCTTCGAGCTTTGATCCGGAGACGCTGTCCCGTGGCAATTCGCAATCTCCTCACTCGTGTCTTCTTCCCCGTCTTTTTTGTCCATCTTTGGGCCGTTCATTCATCCAAAAATCCAAAAGAATCGGTGGACATTTGTCTGCCTCATTCCCTTGCAAATCTTCCTCACACTTGAGTCTTTGATAGCTTGTCTGGCTGCTTCATCCCCAAAGCGCCTTCAAAACGTCAACTCAAGATGGGCCGAAACCACAAGGAGTACGCGCCTGTGTACTCTGATGAGATTGCAGCTTCGAGACTCGAAGCCGTTGAGGCCACAGTTGTAACAGCAAAGATCCGGCACACAGAAAAGCTTCGCAGATTCGGGGTGTGGACGCTTCATGCCGTTCTGATTACCATTTACACCGCAATCTTTGCCATATCACTGTTACCCAACAGGTCATTTTCGGGGGTTTTTAGTCTGGTTGATGGTAGGCTTTATGCTCTTAGAATATTGCTAATTTAGTTGAAAACCGTGAAGCTTACTGGACTGCAGCGCCGCCAAAAGCTGTTGGCGAGGAAACACATCTCGAAGTTTTCCCTATTCAGGGCCCACCACATGGCAAGTACACTGGTGAACCAAGACCAGAGGTAGACAAAGCATGGAGGGACTTGCTGCAATGTAGGCGACCGTCCAATCTCAGTGGAACATGTACTAATCGAAACCGTTTAGACAACAATATTCGTGTTTCCGAGGAATGGGTTCACCGCTGGGGACGTAAGCATGAGGCAGTTAAACTACCCGATGGTGGGTATCTCGGCATGCTTAGTGTCTTTCATGAGTTGCACTGCATCGCAAGTTATCTACATCTTTAACTGGGAACCTGAACGAAGCTAACCAAGCGTACAGAAACGCCTCTATCAAACACTGTCGCCAGATTACTATTTCCCCAACGCAACTGAGCAAGAAATCGCCACGAATCGGGAGCATAATCGTAAGTTTGCCATAGGAACTCTGCGGTCGTCGCCAGTGAAACCAGACCTGACTTAAACTACAGAGCACTGTCTTGAGGTCCTTCGTATGGGTGCAGCTTGCCGTGGTGACATTTCCATCATCACCCACATGTGGACCGATATTGACGCGAAACCCATCGTGAACCAAACGGCGCCTCACCAGTGCATTGACTTTAACAAAGTCATGGACTATTCCCGGGACAATACAGTAGACGTATATCAGGAAAACTACATTGTCCACCCGAAGTTCGGTTGGTAGATCTTGCCACAATGTTAGAACATGCGCTCACCAATGATAGGACCGTCGTTTCCCAAGGGCAATAGCATCAAGCCCTTTAAGGAGCAGGGAATGGGTCACCATCACTAAAGCTAGGATGCTTCATAAAGTTCCGCATGCTCAGTCAACATTGAATAAGCCAGGTACATGCAAGACGCCAGGTTGCAGGCCATGGTATTGGAGGTGTAGATGCTCACGTTTAGTAAGAAAGATTAAGAGGGATATGAGGTTTGGCATTGCTTTCCGAAATACTTAGCAAGCTAGGCTGCGTGGACTTTATGTGCATACCTCCAGATAACATTGAAGAAAGAGTTAGAATGCGTATGGCCACCAAAATAACTTTTTACAAAACAAAGGACTTGCTGTGCGTGAAATGAATTCAATTTGACTGCATGTTGGTACCCTGGTAAGGAAGCACTTTGAGGGACTCCGTACCTTTCACATTGCCCCACTCCACACCGAGAGACGTGGCCCAATTGATCTTATCGATTGGCTCCCGACCGACAGTCACGTGGTGTTGAAATGTCTGCATCGCAAAGCCAGAAAAAAAAAGTTTCTCCAGCCTGGCGTTGCACAGCGATCATCACCCACCGACAAATCAACACCAAACCCGGCCATCACCCCCCCGACTTCCACGATGCATTTGATGTACACTCTCGATGAAGCGGGTAGCCGTGTCTACACCCTCAAGAAGGTGGTTGACGGCAAGGTCACCAAGTCCGCCCACCCTGCCCGCTTCTCTCCCGATGACAAGTGGTCGCGCCAGCGCGTGACGCTGAAGCGTCGCTTCAACCTTCTCCTTACCCAGCAGAGTGAGTCTCCAGCCATCGTTTCGACTTAGAATCGTTCTAATGATGTTTCCAGAGACCGAGTAAATTCTTCAATTACATAAGAAGCAATCGAAAAACTCTATAGCCGGCCGATCGATCCCAGCTCGTTCACGATACCATGCGTCGCTGAGGACGACCTATCTACAACGAATGGAGCATGAGGCAAGGTCTGGCACGGAGGGGGAGCAACGAAGTCCTCGCGCACTGTAAAAGGCTCGTGACTAAAAGCTCTGGGATAAAAAAAATTGGCGTTGGGGAAAGGCTTGCATACAGGGGATCATCGGAGTCTTTTTACCAGGTCCGTGTTACGATAGATTGCTCTGCAGTTCCCAAAATCAGAGCGACACATCTAAAATTCAACCTCGTTTTTGTTCTTCTTCCCATTCGTTTGACTCTTTCATTGAGCGGCCCTTTTCCTGCCTTTTGAGGGATCTATCATGGTATCATGCAGAACATATAAACATCAGCTTCCAGCCAGCTACTGCCTCTTTATCTCCTCCTGCGACCATTAATGTTTCTTCCCGGACCCAGTCGTACCTTGCCATTAGCACCGCTTTGGCGGTCGCCTGTAAGAATGCTTGGGAGGTAATCCTCGTCCATGAGATCTCTCCGCCGAGCACGATGCTTGTCACCCATAGCTCTTTCGTACTCCTTTTGGTCTTCCGCGAAGATGAGGTTGGTACCCCAGTTGTTCTTGCCACCGGCGTTTTTGGAAAGTTTGCCGCTGGCTGTACCAGCGGAGGGCTTGGGGATGCTGAAGACGTTGCCTCTGTTGTTCCACTGGAAGTTGCGCTTCAGGTGGATCTTGAAGGTGCCGTCCTCTTCCGTCGTACAAGACGTGCGAATCAGAGTGGCTTGTCCGCAGCTAGGGCAGAACTGGCGGTCCATTTTCTTGCACACCTGGAAGCACCCGTGGCACCGCAGAACCCAAGTCTTGAGTTGGGTGATGCGCGACATGGACGGCGAGAGCAGATTGAGCCCAATTCTCAGGGCAACGTTCTGCATGGCATAATCAGAGGTGAGGATACCGACCTTGACGTCAATCGCAGGCGCAGTCGGCTGCAGCAATTTGCTGTCCTTCTCCTTTTGCTTCTTCACGTTGGACGGCGTTATCCAGCCGTCTTCGGAGTCTGACTCTTCCCCTTGAGCTTCGTTGGCGCCAGCAACGCTTGATAAAGCCGGCTCGGATGTTGTCTTGTCATCCACCTCGAGGTTGCTCATATCTTGTGTAATCTGGGTCGTCTCAGCGTCCAACGGCGAGGCTTCCACTGTCGCGCTCTGCTGAGTTAAAGTTTGTATCTCCTCGACACTTTGTTCAATTGATGTGCTCTCCACCACCTCTGCGCTCTCAATCGCGGGCTCTTCCTGTGGCTCGGTTCCAACCTCCGCTTCCGGCACCGGGGCATCGGCGCTGGGTACCTTGTCATTGGAAGTCCGCGCACCCGGCTGTTTCCTCAGATTCTTGTCGCCTCCAGTCTTCTCAAGTTCGAGTTCGTAGGTCAAGGCAAGCAAGTGTAAATCGGGTCTGCTGAGAACCTCGAGATCACCGGACCGGCGCGCAAAGTCGGACACAAATTTGATGCTATCGGGGCGGGGGTTTCGAAGTTTGACGAAAGGCATGAGGGTTGTCTGTACTCGAGTGCGGGTGCTGACATCGCGAATTTCGTCGACAATGGAAGGCAGCATGTAGAGCTCATCGGCTTGTGCGAGCAGAGTGCTGACAGGAGGGTCGTTCTTGATCAATGGGCCGGTATCCAGCACAAGAGCGTGGATGGGTTTGCGCGCCTCGACCACAGCTGGGCTTGCGACCGCCGGAGCGGCCACGGCATCGTTGGACATGATGGCGCCTTGAACTTTTCGATTGTTGTCAAAGGTTTCTGTGTCAAAAAAAGCGAGTTGCTGAGGAAAACGTCCGAATGCAGATCGTGTCAAGGGGTTCGTATGCAGATAGGCTGATGTTGAGGCAGCGGGCAGTGCGGCGAATGATTTTGAATGGAATGGGAAATTTCTCTATCGCGGGGTTGTGGTGGGGTGTAGTTTTTTCTCGATAAGACAGCCCAGACCACCCCTCTCCTTTCGCTCGGTCGCACGGCCACCGGGCCACACCTCACCTTGACCGCCTCCACTCACCGATGATCCTCGACCGCCTTCTCGGTGTAGCGGATCCAAATCCGGATTGAAACCTGAAGCATCCATCCGGACTCTCAGCTACCTATACACAGTTGTAATACGGAGTATGTGTTATTGCTATAAGTATTCAACTGGGCTTTTGTCACTTAAAATACTGGATCTCGCAGTGTGAAAGGCGCCACAAAATAGTAGCATAGTGCAGACTAGGTACCTGGTCTTTGGTTTCTCGAGATGTCAACAAAAGGACTTACAATCTTTGAAGTAAAACGGTCAAGATATGGAGGGGAAACAACCAAGACAGATTTCGACCGCTGTGGGACCCTGAGCAAGGCTCAATGCCTATGTTCGAAGCATGTCAGAAAATGGATCCCGCGTGACGGCACCAAGGACGTCGCGGTGAAGCTCTCGTAAAGGGCGAGGGGTGCGTAGTTCGGACGTCGGGCAGTACTAGACATTGGCCCCGACCTAGTAACCACAAAGCAAGTACATCAAGGTTTGGAGAATACCGTTGAAAGTCTCCCTCTCCGACCTCTTGGAGACGAGCTCAAGGTATTGGTCAAATTGCGATGGCGTGCGAAACGCAGAAACAACGTATTTGAGATGTTTCTTGAGAGCGGCTTTCGGGAGCGGCAATCGGCCTGGGTTTCAAAGCCGACAGCCGGGCCTTGTGTCTTCCACGCTTCTCAGCCTCCAGTGAATGTGCATCACTTGGATTGTGCCGCGTAACTTTAAAGACTTTGAGTGAGCTTCTGCAACAGGGTTTGGTCTGGGGAACCGTCTCTCGACGCTTGGGCTACTGTTCAGCGTTTAGCCAGTCAGACTCTGTTCGCAACAGTCTCACAGTCTCTCAGATGTAAACCACCCAGGCCACACAGTTTGCCGAGAGCCGCCCCTCCTGCCGGAGGGAGTGGTGTTGGGTGGATGGTCCTCCAAGTGACGGTGATCTCCTCAACGTCATTTTGGCGTGGCTCGTGGGAGATCAATCTCTTGAGAGGCATGCGCCTGCTGTAGCCAAGGTATCCAGAGTCGACTAATGACTTAACTCGTCTTTGCCTTGGTTAAATCTCCGTTAGTTGAAGTGCTTTTTGTCTTGTACGAAGTATGCCTTATAGACTCACCAGGTCTCTGGGGGTAGTGGATGTTCCTAGAAACTAAGTTCCTCGCCCTGCCCATCCCGGCGGTGAGATTTTCGGGGAGCTGCGCTGGCAGCAACAGGGAAGCGCACTCCACTAATGAACGCCCAGCCATGGCCTGGTTGTTCACCTGAGCTCGCCTGAAAGCTCCGATACCAAGGAATCAATACCACCTCCCAAGGTCCCAAAGAGACCCCGAAAGCCCCCGGTTGCGGCTATGACTTGGGCTAGGAACGTATTCAAACATGTACTGAAGGGTAGAGGTACTCCATACCTCGTCCCCTGAGAGAGACCGTTGCCGGGGCTCAATTGAGGATAGAGAAGTGAGAACGAGTGTGGTGCCGAGAGACACATGCACAGTTCACAATTTGGTCACGGAGCATCTCCCATAGCCAGTCTCCTCCGTCACCTTCTCTCTTTCCACGCATTCCCGGTCCTCCGTATCCCCAAACTAGACTGTCAATTCTCACTCTGCCCCTGCTTTACGTCAAGTAAGCAGAAGCTGCACAGTCACACACAGTGTAATTGTTCCCCGGATTTCTCCTGCATACCTAGTCGCAACTCGGAACGGATACAGTAGGTAGACACGCTGCGGCTGCGCGCGCGCTCAAATAGACCCACGCCGATTCCTCTCCGGAATGGGCAATCCATGAGCCCTAGACTGAGCCTCATCTGTCTCTCCATGTCTATTGTACGCGCCGCCGAGTTCCGGTGAGCAACGAGGGCGCGCGCCTATCGAGGTAATTGGGAGAATGGCAGACTTGTACGGTAGCAACACCATCGGCAACAGCAGCGTCAACAATAACAACAACGACAACCTTGGACATCACCTCCGACCCGACAGACCACCGACTGCCGCTGCCACCGCTGCCGCCGCTTCAACGACGGCAAACGCAACCGCAGACCTGGCCGCCGCCGCAGCTACCACCGTGACAGCCTCAGCTGCAGCCTCGTCCGTGTCTCCGAAACCGACAAAGCGATCCTCGGCGACCACATGTGTCACCTGCCGGGCCCGTAAGGTCCGCTGCGACGGCCGACGCGACATTTGCAGCAACTGCGAACGCCTCGGTTTCTCATGTACCTACGAAGACCCATCTTCCGATGCTAATGGTGTCGCTGCCGCTCCTACCTTTCCCCTGCCGAGACGCCGTGTCCGGCAAGCATGTCAGAGCTGTCACTCACGTAAAGCTCGATGTAGTGGCCACACACCGGCGTGTGATCGATGTCGTACTCAAGGCATCGAGTGTGTCTACAGAGCTTCCAAGCGCACCCGGCTGAGCATCAACCCTCCGGGTCTCGTCGACCACATAGTCAGATCACCAACATCATCAAATTCAGCACCCGCTACCAATCGTGACGCGCGGAACCGTCGGTCGTTGTCCAGAGAAGATGCGGCACACGATTCCGATGCCGCCATGGCCGATGCCATGGCCTCCAACACTCCGAGCACCTTTAATCATGATCTGTAGGCTCACATTCACTGTCCTCACTCCTTCACGTACCTTATCCACTGACTGAAACCAGCTCGGCACCTGATCCTCAATTCGAGTCTCTGATAAGTCGAGCTCTAGACAACTTCTTCCGCCATGTTCATCACATTCCCATGCTGTCCTTCCTTCATCGAGCCTCTCTCATGCAGCGGCATAACGTCGGTGGTCTGGACCGGCCGCTGCTGCTGGCTCTCATTGGTATCACGAGCATGCTCACTGACCTTGGGCCGGGAACCAGAGAGTATGGGGAGAAATGCATCGACGAGTCTGAGAGTCTCATTCTGAAAGGCCTTGAGAATGCGTCAACGATCAAAGTTCAAACACTTGCTCTCATAATCAAGTATCGCATCTTGACTCGACGCTTCTCAAGCGCATTCATGCTTGCCGCAACCGCGGCCAGATTCGCCACGGCTCTCCGGCTCAACTACGACAACCCCGATCTGTGCTTCCTCGCCCAGGAATCCAGACGACGCCTGATGTGGGCACTATTCATGATTGACCAGGGCATGGCTGGAGGATACCGCGATCTCACCTTGTGGACGCCAGAGACGATTCATATTTCCCTGCCGTGCAATGAAAGAGACTTTGAATTCGATCTTGCGCCGCCTTCGTTACGGCCGCTGGTCCCTAGTCCCGATGAGTCCGAGAACGACGACATTGGCAGCTTGGCGTTACACGTACGCATCCTCTGGCTCCGCGGCAGAATTCTCAAGTTCGCCAAACGAGCGTCGAATTGTTCCAACGACGATCTCGGGCGCCTGCAGGAACAGCTTCAGTCGTTTGCAAAGGAGCTTTCAGACTTTGCTGAGCGCTTACCTGTGTCGTTCCGCTGGTCCGACAACAGCCTGCGGTTGCGAGCATACTCCCCCCGTCTCTGCGTCTTCATCATGATCCATGTCTGGTTGCGGCAATGCAACTGTGATCTCTTCAGGATAGGACTTGTTGGGCTTCGCGATTCTTTGACTCGGTCGGCTGCTGAGCGGCTGGGTCCCGAGTTCATCGCCGGATGTCAGCGCCAGTGCTATGAGCATGCGATGGAAATGTCAAACATGTTCACCTCCATCAGGGCGTTAGACCATTACCCCGTTGCGGACCTCGACATGCCGGTATGCGCGTATCAATGTATCCGCATGCTATACTATATTTACCATTTAAACGCGGAAGAGTACGGTCTCACGCCGGATATCCTTCGCAAAAAGGCTTCAATATGTCTTGAGGTAACCAAGGGCTGTTGCTCTGGGACAGCCGCAGTCTCAATTGTAAGTAACTTCACCGTTTTTCCTCCTATCAATGAGTATGCTGATTAGTGATCTCAGCAAGCCGATCTTCAACGGCTCATGGATCATGGTCTCTCTATACAAGCTACCCCTAGTCGGCTACTTAGCGAGGAGCCCCAGGACGAAAGAAACGGCAACGGTACTAAGCGCATCCGCCTTGCTCGCGCGAAGCAGGTACAGCTGGCGGATGATCCAGACAGAGGCGCGCCGGCGGCCGATGAGCTCACCAATCGACCATTTGGCATCGGCGCGTGGGAGGACATACAGGTTCCTGAAGCCAACAAGCCCGATGAGCAGGCACCTGTACCACCACAACCCACTGCGCTTGGTTCACTAGAGGTCAACAATGCATTCGAGGGAGCCCTTGACAGTCTCGATTTCAACATGGAACCCATGGGTTTGGATTCCTTGGCATGGTTCTCGAATGAGTGGGCACAAGGCGATTTCCAGGGAGAGTTCTAGTGTCGGAGATGTACATGGGAAAGTACACCGAAAACCATGGGCCCTGGAGCAAACTTTAAAGAGACATTTGATGCATACGATTGGTCCCTGGATAAACATCTCAAGCTTTATTAAGTACATTGGCCAAATCTCCTATAAACAGAACCTTGAAGTCGCATGTTGACCCATCTTATCTCGCCGGCGTGTGGATTATTTTTTCACCGTCCGAGCAGGTCGGATTGAGAAGCTTCCCGGATGCACGGCAACATTGATGCTATCTCCGCGACACTTATAAGACTGGCTGCTATTCCGTCGAGGCATATGCAACGTTGCCAGGGTCTACTCCAGAGCGAGAATACCTGGGACTTATCGCCGCATATTAGGGAGACTTGGCAGTAAACGTGTACATGAACTGTACTCCGTAGAGCGACACAGATAGCGACAGCTGGCGTTCGAAGGGCACACAATAAATGAGACAACATGACGAAAGATACGGCGTGGCATGAATGTAATGAGCTTCCACGAGCATAGTTGAGAGCGAAAAGATTGAGAATCAATTGAGAGCAAGTGCAAGCGCTATATACCCTGCCGTGACAATCTAAAGAGTCCCAGAGCAACGTTTTGTTGCCATACAGTCGCGCATTCACCGCCTCTTGATATTGATGTCCAACGCCAAAGGCTTCCTCAAGAATCCCTCGTTCGTCTCCATGATCTCCTGTCTCAACTCAACCTTGTACCTCCTGGCCCATGTAGCGACAATAAGCTTCATCTCCATCTCCGCCACGTTCCTTCCAACGCAGGCCCTAGGTCCAGTGCTGAACGGGATGAAAGCATTCTTCTGTCTCGGCGTCAGCGACTCCCATCTCTCGGGACGGAAATCGTCGGCGTCAGGTCCCCAGATCTCCTTGGAGTGGTGCATGGTGTACGAGGGAACGCTGAGAACGGTGCCGGGAGGGAAGAAGTGGCCGCGAATGGTGACGCCGGGCGAGTTCTCCGGGATCTGACGCGGGAGACCGATGCCAGAGGTAGAGTGGTACCGGAGGGTCTCGTCAATAACCATGGCGAGGTAGGGAAGGTCCTTGATCATTTCGTAGGTCGGAACATCAACGGTGGGGGAGATGGCCTCGTCGAGTTCCTTTTGCAACTTCTCCAACACACCAGGGGTTCTCGCAGCGTGGTACAGGAGCGCGCAGGAAGAGTTGGATGTCGTGTCACTACCCGCAATCAGCTGCGTCAACGCCTCGGCCGTGAGCTCCTCTCTACCCAGCGGCTCTCCCTTGTCGTCACGGCCCTCCATCAGTCGCGCAAGAAGATCGAGTCTGTCAATATCGGGCGGGTTGTCCAGTCTAGCCTTGACACGTGCAATAGCCATGCCCGCGAGGTTCTGTACGGCCTCCAAGCCTTGGCTGAAGAAGGGATCCGGAATGTATTTTGCCCAGGGCTTCAGCTCGGGCATGATTCCAAGAGTAGCAGAAACCTCGCCTCTGCGGTTCAAAATCTCAATGGCGGGTGCGTAGATGGGCGGGCTGTTGGGGGATTCGCGGACCTCGGCGATATCAGCGCCGGAGGCAAGCATGCCGAACGGCGCACCGAACGCCAGATCGCCAATGATGTCAAATGCCAAGTAGTTGAACCATTTCAAGCAGTCAATGGTGGCGCCGGCCGGGTTGTTCTTGGCGAGCTCATCCCACTTCCGGACGAAGAGGACCAGGTTCTCGTGCATATACGGCTCGAATTGGCCAATAGACTTGACGGAGAAGGTGTGCGACACAATCTTGCGCTTGCGGGAGTGCTCATGGCGGTCTCTGGTATTGAAGAGTCCTCTCCGGATGGAGACGAAGGCGTCGTAGAAGTCTCTGGTGCGGGGTCAGTCTTGGTTCAAACATTGAATGGTCTTGGCTCGGGACTTGAGTTTAGAGGCCACTGAATGAGTGTATAGCCTCAATTCATGAGTGAGAAACTTACGCCTTGAGGAAGCCATTGCCGTGGCCGTAGATGGCTTGAATGGCCTCATCGTCGGCGATGCTCACATGGTTGGGCTGAATGCGAACCACGGGCCCCATCTTCTTGTGGATCTCATCGACGGTGAGGTATCGCGTGCCTCGCCGGACAACGGAGAGGAGCCACAAATTGGTGAATTGTGCTGGAAACGGTGCCGGAATTCCACGAAGGGAACCGAATGTGACGAAGAAAGGGTAGAGGTAGTAGACAGCTACGCCTACTACCAGCAGGGCCGGTGCCCAGGGCGTGATGAGAAGCTCTAGAATGGCCATGGTCAAGATTTTCTCGTCATGAATGAAGGCCGATTCACCAGGTGAAGAGAAGAGAGAGGCCAGAAAGAGCTGATATATGAGAAAAAAGAGGGCCTCGACAGACGTGATGCAAATTTAGAGTTCCACGGGAATAATCAGAAAGTTGTCGACATGTGGACGCCCGGGGGCCCTTCTTGTACTTGTTTCTCATGAGTATCCGTACTTGGGGTGCTAGGCAAGGTCAGTTACGTTACTAAACCCAAGCAGCAGCCATTTAAAAAAAGATGATAACAAACCGAGACACCCGTGACGCTACGCCATGCGTTAAGCTTTCTTTGGGACCCTGTCCTGGTGGATATCGCGGGGCGCGGAGAACCGACACGCCCCCTTGACTCTTGAGCGCTTGGCCTCTCCCCTCCCCCCGTCCAAATCCTTTGGCTAAGACCAGACGACGCCCCTTTTGACACAGCCAGCCCGCAACAAGTGTCCTAAAGCCCCCCGCGAGTCCCCGCGAGTCCCCGCACGGCACTGAGTACGGCAATCACGGTCGAGACGGCAGTCAAAGTCGGGATCGCGAGTCGGGCTCTGACACGGGGGATGCCCATCCTTTCCGGCCAAACGCTCCGCTGGCATAACCCACAGGTGGATGTGCTCGGCCACGCAAAACGGCTTGGCCGCACGTCATACGCCTCCGAGATTTGCGTTGCCTCGGGTTTATACACGGAGCTCTGTTCATCGCGAGGGCATACCGAGGCATGCGAAGATGTGCTTGAGTCAAATACTATGCGTACCTAGATTGTACAATCACTCCCTATATACGATATATATGCCAAAAAGAGGCCCATATCCAAGGCGCCGTTACCATACGGACCTATGGGGTTTTTCCAATGCCCACCAAACGCCAGAATGAATGCAATATACATGTATACTTTAGGTGTATGGCTAAATGATGAGAGAAAGAATGAAGTATGGGTACAGCAAAACGCTACCTAAATGCCCCGTCCTCTCGCGCTTCTACCCTAGCTTGCGTCGAGGTACTTTATGTGAATAGTGTCAAAAATGACCCAGAGAAAACGCTCATCTAAGCATATACGATAAATCTGGCAGCTCATGCACAAATTGCTGCACAAAATCATAATCCTCGGTGCTCGTCTTGGACGGCAGCGCCGTGGACGGCGTCTGGAAGCCCGTTGTGCGTGGGGTTTCAGCAGGCCCTCCCGCAGATACGCCGGCTATACCAGACAGCAATGGGTCCGGCGGGTCGTTGAGAGTGGCTGCGATGGAGATACTTGCTGGTCGCTTGACCGTAGACGCCGGCCTGAATGTGTATGGAGATGTTACTGACGGGCTGAGAAGGCCGTCTTGGCTTTGGGGTACGCCTGCTGCCGCAGAAGATGTGGAGGCGGGGGCGGGGCTGCCGATGACATTGCCAATATCCCACAGTCCTGATTTGTTACGGGAATCATTTTCTTTGTTATTCCCGGTGCGGAGTGCATCGGCTCCCGGGTGGCTGCTAGTCAAGAAAGCATCGGGAGGCGGCATGCTTGTGACTTCGGCTAGCGGGTTGGTTGAGAACGAATCCCAACTAGTCTTGGGAAGGGAAGTGGAATCCGTTGCTTCAGCCGTCGTTGGAGAAACCATGTCTCCCCATTCATCATCCTCCGCATCCGCGTCCTCCACCTCCTTTAAGCTTGTGGTGCTTGATGCTGGTAGAGGAGTCGGCGCGATCGGCTTCAGAAACGCCGGCAGGGACGCCCGGGACGTTGGCGCATTATCGAATCCGGTGAAAGCCAGAGGCAGTGGTATGCTCTTGACCTGAGGATCTTGCGTTGCCGTTGCCGTCGGTGGTTTTATATCACCAGGCCCGCTGCTCCAGCCGAAGGTCGCGAGACCTTCCCAGTTATCGCTGCCTTGTCCCATGGCTGGCGTGCTCCCCGTAGAGCCAGGGAGTGTAGGGGCCGCCGATAGAGAAGGCAGGCCGCTTATTGAGTGCGTTGGCCGATGAATCGACGCCTTCCGCTTCGCCTTACGGCCGAATACTCTGTCAAGGTCGACCGGAGATGCTGCTGTTGTCGCGTCCCAGCCAAAGCTTTTGCCGCCTGCAGTTCGTGCCAGCCCTCCCCGGAAAGGCCTTCCTCCGAATGAATCTTCCTCTATCCAACGACGAACAGTCTTCAATGTTTCTTGCCGCAGAGTCGAATTTGTCCAATTGATCCGAACATAGTTGTCATCGTCTCCCGCATTATGCTTACGCAAAGATTCGTGGCGGGATAATCGATACCACATCTTGCGCTCGGAGATGCTCGCGAAGCTGTCATGTATGACTCGATCCGGTACATCTTCGGGGGAGATTGATGAATCCAAGGCGATGTCTGGCAGGAGAAGCTCGAGGTGCTGGAGGTCAACCTTGAAGGACTCGTGATTTGGGCGTGTCGGTTTGTCAATCTTGACGGGGTCCTCTTCAGCTTTGCTCCCTTGGTCAATAGATTCCTCCGCGGTCGAAGCCGTCGTGTCGCGAGATTCCGTAAGCTCCTGATCCCCAGCTGCCCTGCCATCTTTGGTGATGTCCTGGCCAGGTTGCATATCCTCTGGGTCAGCATCTGGTTCCCGGCTTACACTACGGCGTAATGAAGGCGCCCGCTCAGGGGAATTTGTGGTTCGCTTGGCAATGCCATCATACATCTCAACGAGCTCCAGAACCTTGCCAGAAGCTTTCCTCTGCGCAGGTTTGGGCAAGGCATTGTCTTCAATGGATGTTATGGGGGAGTCGGCGTGTCTCGCGTCTGTCTGATCGTCGTTTTCGTCGTCATTGTCAGACGAGGCTGAGGCTGAAGAGTGAGCAGCATCGCGACCTTGCTCAGGGGTGGTAGGGAATCGGTCGAAAATCGGGGTATCGCTGAACTGTAGGTATTCGTGTGAGGGTTCGGCAAGGGATTCAGTGAATTGTGTTGTTATTGGTGTATGGGCAATGAATTCTTTCTCGAACGCATTGGGAGGATTCGTCAAACCCAGACCGATCTGCGCTTGCTCGAGCACAAGCGGAGGCACGTTTGGTATCTGGGGAAGATCCGCTAATGGTTCAGGATCGTCTTTTGTGTAGTTCGATACGTGGTTCGCCCAGGGGTCGGGTGAGGGCTGGCCTGGGGAAGCCAGGTGAGGGGCGGTGTTGGGAGTAATGGGAGGTCTTAGCCCCGGCGAGGGTGATCGGCTTCGAGGCCATCTGGGCGTGCTGCTCTTCCGTCTCGGTCTTGGTTCATAACTCGGTGTCAGACCTTCAATTGGCGTAGCATCGTTTCCCCAAGTCCACGGAGATGCATTCGTGGTGTGTCCGGCGTCGGAGGATGCCCAATCGCCAAAGGCATCATCATCGAGCCAGGCCGACTGGCTGGAAGGCAAGTTCAGGTTGCTCGGGGTGGAGAGGAAAGCGGGTGGGGGAGGTTCGATGATGGTCTTGGAGGGACTGGTAGAGGGCGCATTTGTGTTGTCGGTAGATGCCCACGGGGAGCCCCATGGATCGTCCATAGTGAGAGACTACAATTCATGATGTTGAGGGAGTCGATTCGGGGAAGCCTGCGGTCTTCCGCAAGTGAGGGCGTTGCGATTGAGGGGCAGGCTAGGTAGCCATGTTATTGTCTCCTGGGTTCGCGAGCCGCGACTCGGTTGGTCGCAGATGGCAATACCCTAAGCTGTGCAACAGGAACAGAAGCGATACTGGAACAAAGAGAGAGTGCCGAAAGAGTGAACAGGATGATGGCGTTGTCTCAATGGAGTGGACGCGCTAGTGTCAGTGAGGAACTCGACAGCAGAAACAAGCTTCGCAGATTGGACTGTTAAGAATAATGGACGGAAAAAAGGGAAGGGGAGATTGCGAGATTGAGATGGGAGATCAGACTGGGAAAGGCAAGGGACAGATAGAGCGCCGCAGAAAGGCAGGGCCAGAACCAGAACCAGCAATGGCATCCAGCTGTGCGGCGTGCCAGTCCCCAGACGACCCGTCGTGGATTCCGGACGTGTCGGAGAGTATCCGTGCACGACCAGGAGTTCCTTCTCCTTCAACTTCAACTCACTGCGTGTCTGGGATTGGAGCTTGGCGTTCTAGGAGTGGGTCTCACGGTTCCAGCCGCGTCCCTTCCCTTTTAGGCTTCCCTTCCCATTGCGGGCACGGCACACACGCACTCCGTCCCGACATTTAGCCACAATCGATAAGATACTCGATAAGACGGAGATATCTGATAAGATAAACAACCTAATGCCCAGCACCGCATTCCGCCGATTGCGGATGACATGCCACCAAGCACTGGAGGGGCAGTCAAAAGACCAAAGGATGCCATGGAATTCTTCTAGAACACGTCAAACGCTGTGTACAATACCTACCACCGACCTCCCCACGAGCCTCGAGCAAGTTAGCAAGACCAGCACTCCAACACATTAGGCCTAGACCGCGAGAGGCAAACTTTCTGGTTCTTGTGGTAAGGTTGTCTTGCCGGTGCTTACAAACCCCACGGGCTCACACAATCAGTCACACTGCCATTGGGTGGGGAACAAGTACAGCTTTGATTTCAAATGAGACGTACTTGACTTGCTCTTTAACCTCACTTTCAGCTCCATTGCCAAACTCGGTATACTACGCTTTTTCGACATACCCCTCTGCGCAGCGTCTCTCTCTCACTTATCAGATTCATATTCACTTCTATAATTGCAAAGATTCCATCATCGGCATGTCGCTTTCCAAAGTGAAGCACATCGTGCTCGTAGGACCCCTCATTTTCCCTCCGTGTAAGCACCGAACGTCGACTGACTGGCTGTGTAGGTCCTGTCGGGTAAAGGTGGCGTCGGAAAGTCTTCAGTGACGACACAACTAGCCTTATCCCTCGCTCTGGCGGGCCATTCGGTTGGTGTGCTCGATGTCGACCTCACTGGACCTTCAATCCCTCGCATGCTGTCGATTGAAGCCGAGAAGGTGAAGCAAGCCCCTGGAGGCTGGCTCCCCGTGCCGGTCCACGATGCCGTCGAAGAAAAAGGCATCGGCTCGTTCCATGCCATGAGTCTCGGGTTCCTCTTGCCCAGACGCGGCGATGCCGTCGTCTGGCGCGGGCCTAAAAAGACGGCCATGGTCAGGCAGTTCCTTTCCGATGTCTTGTGGGATGAGACCGATTATCTGCTCATCGATACGCCCCCGGGTACCAGCGATGAGCACATTTCCCTTGCTGAGACACTGCTGCGAGACGCTCGTCCTGGCCAGGTTGCGGGTGCTGTTGTAGTCACAACACCACAGGCGGTTGCCACAGCGGATGTCAAAAAGGAGCTCAACTTTTGCGTCAAGACCAATATCAAGGTTCTCGGTGTTGTTGAGAATATGAGCGGCTTCGTCTGCCCACACTGCTCAGAGTGCACCAACATTTTTAGTTCCGGCGGAGGAGCCGTCATGGCCCAGGAGTTTTCCGTGCCGTTCCTCGGCACCGTACCCATCGACCCCCAATTCGGCGAACTTGTCGAGTCCGGCAGGAGACCACAGTACCCCCAAGGGACGCAAATCCACGGCCAGGATATTGGTCGCACCGAGGAGGAGGGCGAGACGAAGGGCGATACTCTTGTTGAAAAGTACCAGGACTGTTCGCTGTCCCACATCTTCAGCGAAATCACATCCAAACTCACAACAACGGTTGAGGCACAGGCACAGGCACAGTCATGAGCAAATGAGCCATCTACATTGTCAACTCAAGCAGTAGACTCTAGGCTCACTATCCGTCCCGTGCTGCAGGTTTTGGTCACTGGCGAGATGAAGACGTCCGTCTTGGTGCCCAAGTCTGACGTGCCAGGGGTCGAGTACTGTAATCGCAAAGCTCGCTGCACAGGAACACTGGGCATGGCGAAGCCGAAACAGCATGCAAATTGGCAGCCCAAGACGCATCAGCGATACTGGGGAAATTCACAAAACACCAGGTACGAATAGCTCCACGTTGACGGGCCTGACTCCGCCGTCGTTCACAATGTCCGATGTGCGGCCCAGTCATCGATTCGCAGGAGGCTTGGAAGCACGTGAGGAAGCATCGAGATTGGTGGCATTCCTGGTGCCTCGGATGGGGAAAGCCCCATAAAAACATGACGGTACCTGATTGATAGGTATCTTGCCTAAGCCGCTGTCAAACGCCTAGAAAGTTGGAAGAACACGAATCTTACGGTTTCACCGCATGTCTAGATACTTGTGTGCATCTACTTAACATGGATATGGGAAAGAGATGCATCCCCTTTACACTATCAATCTACCGTACAATTCATCACATGCTGCGTCTGTTCTTTCTCTCAGACTCAATCGCCTTGGGTGACATGTCACTATGCCACCGGCATGACTGTACGAAAGGGTAGGCTGGTTCTGGGTGGTCCCTAACCTAGGTACACTCTCTGTACGGATACAGGCTGGAAGTTGCCCCCCTCCATGACAGGTCGGGTGGTTTTCATCTTGGGTCCAGGCCTGGGCTGCGAAAAATGACGTCTGAATCCCGTTCTTCAGCGAGACACGTCCCCCCTGCAGTCCCTAAGCTACCCAAGCCACCAATGTCTCTCCCTGTCTCGCAACCTCTAGGATGTCTTTTCCGTGCTTTCCCGGGCATAGCTCTCCACTGGCATAAGGTAGGGACTGAGTATGATTGTAACGTGCTCCGGTATGAAGAAGATGGGGGGAAGGACAGGTTCATCAGCAGGGAAACATTAGGCAATCCCAAAATCGCCGTCTGCAGCGGAGAGTCGGTCAATAAATACCGCCAAAGAAACGTTGCCAATCGAGAAGTGCGCAATGGCAGTGAGAGGGAAGGGAGGTACGGAGTACATGCGAGAAAGTACCTCCAAGTCTGCTTTAGCCAGAATGTCCTCCCAGTTATAAGCTCCTGCAGGCTGCGGCTTGCATCCTCGTAGCTTGGGCTGAAATTTTTGCGTGGGGAGCCGGGGAGGGGTCGCCCCATGCTGCCAATTGTCGCTCAATTTGCAGAAACAACTTTTTTTTTTTTTTTTTTCCTTAACCCACCAGAACAACGCTTCCCCTCCACCACGAACCACAACAAGCCCATCCACATCCACATCCACCACGACGGAATCTCTCCCGGAAGCTTCAAAATTGACAACCTACCTTTCCACGCCGACACCTTTCTTCGGTTGTGCGACACGCGAGCCTCTTCTCTCAATCCGACAACACCTCTATGATCAATACCCAAATCTAGCAACCCTGCGACGGTGATCTCAGTACTGGTGGCATTCACGCTGCCCCTCGCTCTGCGACCCCAGCCGATTTCTGGCCATCTATGAACCAAGTCGACCTCTTACGCTTCCTCTCCAAGCCCGCTAAGTAAGCCTCTCATCCTTCTTTTGGGACATCCAATGGAACTACTACCTATCGCATGCTCGGTCTACTGTTCAATCCCATCCTATAACCATTGGCCTTCTTCACAACATCGGCGCATCCCGCTAACATCATCCTTTCCTAGGCCCAGATAACACCTGCCTAACCACCAAGCACAAAACACACTTCCATAGAATCATCGCTCTTCTACTACACTCCTCTTCCGCCATCTCTCCAACCTCCCATCGCGCAGATAACCTCGTCTGCCGGGTCCGATACTCCACCACAGGTATCGGTTTCTGCCAGAACGAGGCCCTACAACAAGACACAATTCCGATCCTTAGGGTTATTTTCCTACCCCTCAACGCCCGACCTCCCTAACGTCCTCAAGCGACGTTGCACCTCTTCTACACTGTTTGCTGCTGGCTCCGCCAGCCTCAAAAATTGTCCACCCTCCTGTGGGCCTACTCTCTCAAACGAACGCCGCAAAGTTCGTTTGAGCGGTAGCTAGTGTCCCGCGGACTTCTAGCCCTTTGCCGGGAAAGTCATCAACATCTCAGCCTGCTCTCTCTCAAGCTCCCGGGTTGCGCCCCAAAAGCTGGTCCTGCAGAAGATGGTCAACCCTTCGGTCCCCAACGACTACGCCCTCTCTCCGGCTGAGGCTACTCCTCATCTGACAATCAATCATGATGTCGCTGCTGACCTAGACTCGACAAACGCCTTCGAAGGTAAGATGGCCCAGTACCAGCAAACCTCCACTACTTCAGCCACTTACTAACAAACATGTTCTCCAGGCCCTGAAAAGCTACTCGAAGTGTGGTTCGCCCCTGGCCCCGAGTCTCTTCCCGCCAGCGCCCAGCCCAATGGCTTGAAAGCTGTCTCCGCCGATACTTGGGTTACCATGCTCGATATGGTCAACTGCAAGATCCTGTCCGTCCTCGAGTCTGACTCTGTCGACGCCTACCTCCTGTCCGAGTCGAGCTTGTTTGTCTTCCCCCACAAGCTCATCCTCAAGACTTGCGGCACGACTACTCTCCTCCTGGGCTTGCAGCGACTGCTCCATATCGCGGCCGAACATGCTGGCTTTCCGTTCCACAATGCCAAGGAATCCACCAACATCAAGGCTGCTGCGACCCCCTACCGAGTCTTCTACAGTCGCAAGAACTTTTTGTTCCCTGACCGCCAGCAGGGTCCCCATCGTAGCTGGAGATCCGAGGTCAAATACTTGGATGACCTTTTCGAGGGTGGCAGCGCCTACATGGTCGGTAAAATGAATGGGGACCATTGGTACCTCTACATCACCACGCCGAACAAAACCTTGACGCCCCCTAGGACCCCGGACGAGGCTGAAGAAGCTGCTGCATTCGCCGCCAGGATTCCCACTGGTAGCGTGGCCAGCTTCAGCAGCGGCTTCGAGGAGCGCAGTGACGAAACTCTTGAAATCCTCATGACTGATCTCGACCCTGAAAATGCGAAGCAGTTCTACTTGGCGGACGCGAGTGCGGTCGCTACCGACAAGTTGCACTTGCAGCAGACCCAGGCAGCTCGGGATGACGCCCACCAGAGTTTGGGTGATATGTCTCACGTTCATGAGAAGGCGGGCGAGGAGCATGTCGATGTCTTTGAGAATATTGGCGAGTCTGACCTCAACGATGGGGATCGTGCCGCTACTGAGGCTCTGACTACCGAGGGTCACGCTATTGGAACTGTCGTTTCCGAGGGTTGCGGCCTCTCCAGCGTGTACCCGACCAGGAAGTATCCCGGAGCTCGCGTCGACGCCTACCTCTTCAGCCCCTGTGGCTTTTCCGCCAATGGTGTCATTCCTGCCATTGCCGACGAAGAAGACGGCTCGCAGAACGAGAAGGGCGGGAATGCCGCTCACTACTTCACCGTCCATGTCACTCCGGAACCTAACTGTTCCTTTGCCTCTTTCGAGACCAACGTTCCTGGAGGTCAGAGTGGCCGTACCACGGCTGAGATCATCGAGCACGTCGTTGACATCTTCAAACCTGGCCGCTTCAGTGTGACTCTGTTCGAGGCTAAGGGCAAGAGCGCAAACCCCTACGGCATGGGAGACTATGCCTCTCGAGGGACTGCCGTTCAACGTCTTGTTGACCCTGTCCGCGGATACCGTCGTATTGACCGCGTAGTCCATGACTTTGAGGATTACGACCTCGTCTTCCGTTTCTACGAGCGGGATGACTGGACTGGCGACCGTGAGGCCCGTCTTGGAGAGGAGATTTGAATTGCCCTCCTCGAGGCATCGGCTATGTTTCCCTTCATCGAACGCGTGGTGCATCCGGTCATATTCCGTGCGGTTGCCATCCCGTCCAAAACACGCTCGTTATATATTGAACACATATCTACGCATGGTAGTTTCATGGTCGGATACTCCTCATCATTAGCTTTAGCAACAGGATTTGTATTTGAAAACAAATTGTTCCGTCAATATATCATGATTTAGAGTCCCCCAGACGCAGACGCCGCCTCGCTTTTTTAGCCTTGCCTATTTGTGTGATAATCCGAGCTCGCTGCACTCGGTGTCTGACTACTCACTCGGCTTCGATTCCGGTGCGATCGATTGCTGAGTAGATCATGTTTCTTCCACGCTTCACCAGGCCGGCTAAAATCACAGCCATCCGGTTCAGCTACAAATTCTTGACCAGCCTCGGGCCGTTATTGACATGTCTACTGATACTGGCCAGGGGAAGCCCGAGCTCGAGCTGGATCTGCCAACCACGCATAGCTTTCTGAGGCTTTCAACGCTGCTCAGTAGCAGCCATGTTCTGGAATGCATCGGATCGATAGACCTTTGCGTTCCGATGCAACCGTTCTCCAGCCCACAACTACCCCAGATGGCCATTGGCCCCCAGTGGCCAGTGCCTGCTTTAGTCTCGGGCTGGAATGTTGAAAGCACACCCGCCACGCCAGCAAGTGCTAGCAGCCATCACGAAGACACCAGCCATCCCGCTTCAGGTGATATATGAAGCTGCTCCGAGAAGGATATCTAAGTGAAGATGGTGGAAACTCATGCAACAGCTAAGTATCCGATCAACCCCTTGCCGCCTTCTGTCATGGCAACTTCTCTCAAAGGTGACGACACCGTCAGTGTCGTCGAGTCGTTGGAGACAAAGTCCTCCATGTCGGGAAGCGATGTTTCCACAAAGTCCCCGCCGAAGCCTCTCCCGATTGTCATGATCGCTGTCATGTTCCTCATGATCGTCGCGTCCGGTGGAGGTCTCTGCCTTTCGGCTCTTCAGTTCCGGCCTTCAAAGACTGGCGAGCGCGACTGTCTCAGTCAAAGCTTCATCCTATTTGGTGTATGTTCTCCCCCTCTGGTAGCTGTGGCTTACTGGAATGTTGTGGCTAACGATTCTTCCAAGTCGATGATCTCCCCCATGTACGTGGTGTTGCACATCATTGTGTCGTTCCGCAACTACCAGGTTGTCAAGAGACAGTCGCTGCAATCACCTCTGGTATCGTGGGCAGTCATCGTCGCCCGACTGGGTCTCTTGCTCTGGATTCCGGCAGTGATTCTCTCTTCGGTAGCTCTGTCACATTACCCCGGCTTTGTGACACAAAGCCCCATTACCGAGTTAAACTTCTCAGTATCCGTCGTCGGAATGTACGTCACAACTTGGTGATGTTTGCGTACAAAATGCATCCTAACTGACATCCTTCCATTAGACTTTCCAGCATTGTCGTCATTCTTGTGCTGGAGATTGCTTCACACCCATTCGAGCTGCCCTGCTTCAGGCGGCGAAACGTGGTTACATGTCTAGTCAGCGCTTTCGAAAAGGACCTCAAGGACGAGGAAGCCAAGCCTTCAAGCCGGCCTAACAGCCGTCCTCCGACCCCTCCCGCCTACTACTACTTCCCCGCCAACCATCGACACACGATCCCGGCCCCAGCAAGAGCCAAACTCGTCCGCAAAGCCAGCTACCCCAGACGCCGGGAGCAAATCCCGCCCGTCCCACCGATTCCGTACCCGCACCCGGACTCCCTCGGCATCATGCTCCCCATCGCAGAGCCATTGCCTCCTCTTCCCGAGCTGGAACAGACCTCCGTCGCGCCGGCCATCAAGATCACACCTGCCAACGCGCCCGAATGCCTCTGCCCTGGGAACGGTAAGCTCGCCCCGCCGGCGAACAAGGACAAGCCGTGTCCCCCTCCCCCCGGAACGGCGTGGGCTAAGGATTGGGAGCAGCTTGCCGTTGATACCGGCGTGCGGCGGAACGGGTCATTGAGCGACTACGGGTCTACCGTCGGAACGGATACGCTTGATGGGAGGTTCGATACCCGTGGCGTCGCGTTGAGGCCGCCTCTGCCTTCGATTATCGTCACACATAGTCCGGAGCAAGTCTGACAGCCGAAATGTGGTAAAAAATTGGATGAAGTCTATTTCGGTGCGATTTCTTAGAGTCTTGTACTACTTGGTTGTCTGGATAAGACGAGAGGTTATGGTCATAGGCTATGGGTCACGGATTACGGATTATGGGTTATGAGCAGATGAAGCGTTCTTTTGTTGTCTCCGCAAGTCATCTTATTGGATTTCTTTTGTAATCAATTTCATCCAGATTCTTCTTGAACACTGTTCGCGTTGTAAGCTTGCGACAGCCTGACTTTCTTCCGACTATCGTCTTGAGATTGAAGTTATCTCCCTGCGAATCTGACACGCCTTCCAGCCACTTACATGCTATACCCCAAAATTCCGCCTAGTGGCTTGGCTTCGTATCTCGTGTTGGCCGGGAAAGGACCCTTGAGGTTGCTCCGCCACTCCGACGCAAGCATTTGTTTTCTTGGCATCGTTTTTCGCATTATGTTGAAGTTGCGTGAGGTTTACGCCCGAGCAAGCAGACCAGCCATATCGCATGAAGTGATCGCAGGCTTCGTAGTGATTGATGTGATGATCTGCACATACACAAGATGTCAGATGGTCAGCATGCCTCGCTAGGCAGATATCCTGGATCGGTACGAGTCTTTCCGCTGACTTCGGTTTTCATGATCGATGCTGTTATGCTAGCGATCTTTGAGGCTCTCGGATGGATTGCGAGGAGTATATAAGTAAGGGCACGACGTGAAAGATTTAGTAGCCTGTAAGATGTTCATTCGTCGCTACTGATTCAAGATTTTGAAGCTTACTCTTGCCGAAATATACCCATATTCAAAGGCAAGACTGGTTTATCACTTTCGAACTCACTGATCATGAAGATCCAGAAGTTGCTCCTTTCGTCTGCTGTTTCCTCGGCCACTTTAACAGCCTTTCCAACTGCCACGATATCCTCGGGTCCGATCCAAGGCATCTCGACGAGTCGTCCAAACGCAACAGCGTCAGTGAAAAAGTTTCTCGGGATCCCCTATGCCTCTATACCTGAACGATTCTCCCTACCTCAACCACCGAAGCCGTGGGTCGACATTCTCAATGCTACAACGTTTGGGCCAGCATGTCTCCAGAACTTTGGCATCAACGGTAACAGACAGCTATACTCACCCGCCCCTCTGCCTCCTTTACTGACTTGATGTTTCTCCCAAAGAGCTCGGCCCAAGACCTGAACTCCTCGAAAGTCTCTTCAACACCCCAGCATCACCTGAAAGTGAAGACTGTCTGAGCATAAATGTTTTCGCCCCCGCAACCAGATTCCCCGATGCCAGGCATGCTGTGGTTGTCTTTATCCATGGCGGTGGATGGCAGCTGGGTCATGGCAGACTTGATCTTTCTGCTTTTGCGGCATATGAAGGCATTATCGCCGTGACTCTGAACTACCGCACAAATGGTACGTTGCGTCCAAGCTATGATGATGATGATCATCTATACAAGGGTCAAGAACTAACGCATGCGCTGTATAGTCTTCGGCTTCCCTGCATCACATGAGATCCCACCGAGCGAACAAAACTTGGGTCTACACGACCAGCGTCTGGCTCTGGCTTGGGTACAAGACAACATCGCCACCTTTGGCGGTGACCCATCCAAGGTGACAATCTGGGGCCAGTCCGCTGGATCCTTTTCCGTGGACCACCACCTTAAAGCCTACGCCAACGACACTTTGGTCCCTTTTCGTGGTGCCATCATGTCCAGTGGGCAGATGAGCTTCGGGCACCTTGCACAACCATCGCCTGGAATCAAGGCCTGGACGGGACTGTCGGGTCTAGTTGGATGCGCCAACTCGTCAGATGAACTAGAATGTATGAAAGCCGTCCCAGGAGAAACCCTCATCAGCGCCATGCGGAAGTATCGTATCACTTTCGGACCGCAGCTTGACAAATCGACGGTTCTCAGCAAACCAGGCGAACTCTGGAGAAACGCGTGTGTTGTTAAAGTTCCGATCCTGACGGGCACTGTGGAGGAAGAAGGGCGCGGTCTGGTCAACGACAAAGTCAACATGACAGCCTTCTTCGATGCATATCTTCCGCGGGCCCTCATACCGTCCGAAGACCGGGAGATGATCAACTCCATGTACCGCTCTGATCCTAGTGTAATTACCGACTTTGATCTTGCTTCGGCCATTTACACTGACTTGCTCTGGTCTTGCGTACGTTCCTCCCCAACTGACCCTCACCAGACCTCGAAGTTGCTGACGACAGGCGCAGCCGCAATCTATACTTGCGTCGGCGGCGTCTTCGAATGATATCTCTACCTGGCGCTACCATTTCAATACCTCAATCTTGAATCTCTTACCCAAAGAATACGACTGGCTGGGCAGGTTTCACGGCTCAGAGATCATTCTTCTCTTCACCGATCCAGATACCACACCTTATACCCCTCAAACGTACGCAATGTATGAATACTTTAGGGGCGTCATTGCGCGATTTGTCAAGAATCCTTCCGCAGGGCCTGGGTGGCCGGCCGTGGGATCGTCTTATGCTCCGCTCGATGTCGCGATCTTGGGGGGTGTGGGTGATACCTCGAGCGTCATGACGGTGTCGAATTCTACAAACCTGGATGAAAGGTGCAAGCTTTTTGAGAACATCTGGCCCAAACTGGACGCTATTAGTTGGAGATATGATGGGTCGTCGCCTTCAGATCACCAGCATGCTTAGCCGGTGGAATCGATTATGTTGGTCCAAGTACCTTACGCATCTTCACCAGATTCCACACCATTCGATAACGCTAGCCAGAATTTTCTCTTTGCTCTGTAAATCATGAGTTACGAACTCATGACACAACCCTCACCGTGCTCCCAGCCACACCCTTCTCAACCCCCTCCACCCTCGGCCCAATCTTCCTCCAAATCTCCTCCGCAACATCCTCCAGCGTCCCCCCAGCATCAACCACAACCAAATCCTCCTCCTCCTGCCGGAACTCCCGGTCAACCCTGCCCTCCTCGCCTAACCCGCCATCAGGGCCAACTCGCCCCAAGCTCAGCCCCCAGAACAGCTCACGCACCCGCTTCTGGAACTCGGCCTTTTCGTACACCTCCCCGCCCCAGCCTCCGCGCTCCCTGGCGACGGCCTCTTCGAGGTCGAGAAACAGGACGAGGTCCGGCCGGGGGAGGCCGATTTCCGGTTGGCGCGCCCAGTGGAGGTTTAGGTGGGGGTTCTGTTTCGCGGCGGAGTAGACGATGCCGGAGTGATAATACCTGTCGCAAATGACGATGTATCCTGACGCCAGGAGATTTTGAATGTTTTTTCTGTTTGATGTGTAAGTTTCGTGAGGCTTCATGGGCTATCGAGATGTTGGAGACTTACACTGCTTCCCATCTGTTTGCGCTAAAGAGGAGGTGGATGACGTGGTCTTCCATCTCGACTGAGCTCTTGAGATAGGCATCGATCATCTGGCCAATGGGCGTTGTTCTGTCTATAAGATGAGTTCAGTTAGCAATGGTACATACTTGATGAACATGCACATGGCAAAAAAAGGGGAGAAGCGGCGTTAACGTCGTCAAGTTGGAATACACACACCCGGAAACCGCATGACTTTGACCTTCTTCCCCTCCTCAATCAAACGCTGCTCAAGCAATTTCACCTGCGTAGTCTTGCCGCTCCGATCAAGACCTTCAAAGGCAATAAAGGCGCCGCGAATGACACCCGCCGGCGGCGTGGTGACAGGGAGAGCATCCCCGGGCTGCCCGTCGGTTGCGGCCGAAGTCGCTATGGCCGCCGTTGCGAGGTCATTGATCGATGCCATTGAGTCTCGGAATGCCGTTTCACAGGGAGTCTCGGTACTGCAATATCTACTCCTTGTGATCCAATGAGCGGATGTGAGTGCGGGCCACTGCGCTGGTGAGAGATGGGAGTGGCTGTCGAGTGGGTGGCGCGGTTCTGGATGCTGAGGTGTAGGTAGTGGGCACATGCGGGCCGAGTGGAGCCCCGGAATACGGGCGTTGGAGCGACCGCGCAGGGTGCGTGGGCGGCTGTCACGTGGGACCAGATCGCGGACCAACACCAGACGGCACATCTTGAAGCAACCGGATGAATCGGTGGATGATGCGACGACGGATGATGAAGTCCTGAAATGGGCTACATAATTACACGGCCAGAGTTGATGGCTGGGGTTGATCACGGGTATGGTAGCACTGATGCTTCATGTGGTCACAAAATAAACCCGTCAATAGTGCTTTATTGATGAGAACATCAATCGCTCAAACGAAATCCAACAATAGCAATACTCCGAACCCGGCTTTGTACAAAACATGGCACCCATATCCGTTGTTCCTACACCAAGAGTGCCCCAGGGTTCCCCGTCGCTTAGTCCTTGCTTTGTCCATCCGAAATCCCGAACAACCGTTGCAAACGCCGCATTCATCATGGACCCGTGATTAAAAAGATGGTGAATAGTTGGAAGCGAAGCATAGTCAAGCCCAATAATCACAGGAAAGCAAGCGATTATCAGCATTCGGCAACCGCCACCTCTGTTTCGTCTTTGGCGCTTCCACTTTCCCACAGCTCAAAGCTCTCACCCGTGCCTTCCATTGGCTCCAAGAGCGCAGCCTTAGCTGCTGTCTCTGAGGATTTGCCCATGAGCTCGTCTACACCTTTTTCTTCCACGGGAACCTCGAGCGAGGCTACTGTGGGTTCCGGGACAATCTCTTTTAGTTCTGGCACTGCGGTCTGAGGGGCGGCCACCTCGTTTTCTTCTTCTTCCTCTTCGTCGGCAGGAATGATGATGATCGATGACTCGTCGCAGCCGAAGGCATAGAATTCGCTGGCGTCCATCTCGCCCAGAGCTATCCTCTCCTTCTCAAAGATCATCTCGTCCTCACTGGTACGACGAGCAGATCGACGTGCAGATGTCTGGCTCACATCATCGACAGGCGGTACATTCTCCTTGTCGCGACCCTCTGCGCGGTCTCTGCTAGCCTTGCGTTCACTCTCTTCATCCGAGCTAATGTCAAGGACACAAGTACCGTGCTGCAGCATGTTGGTCATTTCTTGCTCCGGCGTATCCTCGTGGATATCAAAAAACCAAGATGCCTTCAGGTCAGGCTCGTCAAGGTCCTTAACGACATTCCGCGAAGACGTGGCAACGGTGGAACGGGCAGCATAGCTCGGGATAGTCCCCTTGAGCGCAGCATCGAGGCTGAATGGTGCCGAGGAGGATGAAGGCAGGTTGAAGGCAGGCGGGTCTACGCGCGTATAGGGACCAGCGGTTCTACGACGGTTGGAAAGGATGCCAGAGCGCTTGCCGCGAGTTGGCGAACGGCCAGCGGGGGCCGAGAGTGGGGAGGACTTGGCGATAGCGGTGTTGATCTTTGCGGACGGCGATTTGGGCTGGAGCAGACTGCGAGGGCGAGGGAGGGTAGGCCTCGAGGAGTTCAACACGGGGCTTGCGGCGAGCGGCGCGGCCTTTGTGAGGATGAAGGACGAAGGCTTGAGGACATCCTTTGACGGGTAGAAGGTTTCGGAGCTTTTAGATCGCTTAGAAAAAGCAAACGGGTCGACATTTTCGCAATCGTCGGTCTCTACGCTATCTGAAGCTTTGCGCTTGCCGCCAGTGGCTGATGGAGCAGCTGTTGAAAGAATTAGCAATCAATTTTGCCCAAGTAGTTCGACATGTTTTGTGGCAGGTGCTCAAGTTGGGGGTTTAGGCGCATTCCAGCAGCATGGCGGGGGGATCTCATGTGAGAGCGCCACGTCCAACGTCTGCGACGTCGCAAGTACGGAACAAGAGAACATGAGAATTGCGGGGAGAGGAACGGGTGTGTTTGGTCGTGGATTGATCAAACATACCATTCTGTCTATTCTTAATGCTCGTCAGATTCTGCAGTCGGGTGCCGTCGAGAGGCGCAAAGGGTTGACGGGAAATAGATGCCATCGTGTGTGGATCGAAGCGGTTGTGCGCGCAACAGGGCGAGTGGATATGGTGTTATGGTTCTGCAGTAGGATGCGATGCGGTGCGGTGCGTCGGGAATGGGAGCAGCCCAGCCAGCGGCTTTCAGTTGATGCCTTGGGTCCCAGTTGCTCTGTGATCAACAGTCGGTTCGATTCGTGGAGAATGGGGACTCGTGGTTGATTTGCAGCGTCCCCTCGTCGATAAGTTCCCCGAGAAAACAAGTCGGTGCCAGACAGACTCGACGGTGTTGAAGCTCTGCGGGTGGCGGTTAGGTGTGCGTTGGGATGGAGTAGCGAGGGTGAGGATTTGTTGTTTAATTTTGTTATTCTCTTCCGCGCAGTGGAATCGTCGAGTTGGTTGCAGGAAGAGAGTGACCGAAACGGAGTCGACGAGCTGGCGTGGGGTGGGAAGGGGGGGATAGAGAGAGAAAAGAGGGCGAGCGAGGTGAGCGTCGGTAGGGAGCAGGGATTACTCTCAGGAAAGGTAGGGACTGAGATTGAGATGCGGTCTCGAGAGCGGGAGAAAGACGCGGACAGGAAGAGAGGGCGCGCGCGCACGGAACCGGGGGTGGGATAGAGAAGGGCGTGTATCGGTAAGGTACTCCGTAAGGCCTGGGTTTGGGTCCTGGGCCTGGTCTCGGTCTTGGGTTCGACAGAGCGATAGTCTGGCGGTGTCTTGTTGGATGGATGCCGATGGAGACGGTAGCAGGCGGCGTTGGTCGCAGGATGCAAGGCCCTGGGGCTAAAAAAGTGGTTTGAAGCTGAGTTGCGCTACTGCGTGAGGGACAGAGATGGACCACCCAGTGCCTAGAGAAGCAAGTGACGGTATGGTATTTCGAGGAAGACGGGTGTGTAAGGAGTCAACTAAGGACGTTTGGAGAGTAGAGACCAGGAGGAACCTAAGTGCAGGCGCCTTGTCAGCAGTTGGAGAGAGATACTTTGATGATGGGATTTGTAGGAGGGGAAAGAATAGGGCAGTCTAGGGATGACGGGTACCTTGCTCTAAAAGAGACGCGGAGGCAGCGTACAGCAAACACGGTCTGGCGTTTGGGTGGAGTAAGACTGTAAGAGTTAGTTCTCAGCCGATGGAGACGGAGATGGGACGTGGAAGATGGTGTGCGGCGTGCCAGGGCAAGGGGGCGAGGGATGCCTGGCAGGGTAAGGGTAAGGTAGGACAGGATAAGATGGGGGGAACAGAGTAGGTAGGTGAATTGATCTGCCAACTGCGTTGAAGGGATTGGGATCATGGATGCTTGCTCTCTTACCTCGAGAAGTTGGAAGCTGAACGAGTTGGGTCGAACGAATGCTCAAGCCTCCAGAGACGGGCGCGTTCAGCAGTGTGCCGGTGCGAGATTGGGTGGTTCCAAGACGTCGAACAGTGAACCTCTGGTGCATCGACAGGCAATAATGGGAAGTGTTCCATACGGGTAGAGAAAGAGAGATGAGACTGAGAGAGAGACTGGAAGCGCCAGAGACAGTGACGAGACAGAGACAGAAAGCGACGTGGTAAAACGCGAGTTCCGTGACAAGGCCAATGAAGACGTCGTATTCCTGGCGTGTCGAGATGGGCCAATGCAGGTGAGAGACACAGAGTGGACCACACCAATCATCCATAGATCAATCAGGGAAAGTCAGATGCAGCTTTTCTCTTTCCTTGCCGGGCTTGCCAGTCGTCAGTGCCTTCCCTGTCTGCGAGTCTGACCGGGCGGGCAGGCGAAGAGCTGTAATGTGAGAGTGGGGCAGACACGTACCCACGTACCTATGTACACTAAGAAACACCACACGTAAAATCCCGTCAGGAAAGAGAGACTCGTTGGAAAAGTGGGTTAAGAGGAAAGCGACGTTCATGCGACGGGCTGTTTCCATCATGTGATTGGTCGGCGCGAACAGGAAAGGCAGCAGCGGCCAAGTGCACCTCACCCAGAATGCAACTTCCCTTCCAGTCTCCACTCTCCGTACCGCGATACACGGCCAATTAAACGCGTCTTCGATAAGTGGGGTTACAGCTTGCGACCAGCCAATACCATCTCGACTACGGATACCTTCAGGATGAGCAACACCAAGAGACCTGAAGCGGGCTGCCTTTACGTTACCTTTACCTACCTGTAAGATACCTTGTCTGTAAGTAGAACTGGCCGAAAAGAGCGCGACTTGAATCCAAGGGAGAGTGCGAGACATGCGAATCTGCCCTACGCGTTGATAAAGTCCACCATGCCCGCTAGATTGCCCACTAAGGATCCATGTCCGTACAGTGATCCTCGTCCATCAGTGATCACGGCCCACGCGCAGGGCCCCCTCGCACCCGTCGGCAGTGCGTGTGGGCATTCACCTTCCGAAATGACAGCTGCCCATGCAATTGCATCCTCTCACCTCTCATCCCACCTTTCAAGTCTCTCACTTTATCCGTCCACATCCGTACAATCTGTCACTTTACGGAGTATTCGTACCTAGTCCATACAGCACATCATCTTAGCTACGGATATCTTTACCTTACTTTGCTCAAGTGGGTACCTGATCTGACTGCCATCACTTTCATCTCAACTCCCTCCGTGAGCCGTGAGCACTGTTGAACCTCTGGCCATAGCTCCCGCAGCTCATCCGTACATGACTTACATTGATTATTCTTCATTCTTCCGCCCTTGGATGAATAGAAAACACTACTCTCAATGTTCTGCAAACCATTTGAAAGTATTGTCAAAGCACACGTTTGCCACATTGCTTATTCCTCTTTTCACTCTCTCTCTCTCTCTCTCTCACTCTACCTCACCATCAAACAGCTCCCCTCATTCCAACGTGCCTGGCCGTGACCAATCGAGCCCCTCAAGGCTCACCGTCGTTGGCTTAGGAGTCTTAGCCGCCCTCACCCACACTGCGGCCCTTCTGACGCAGGGGGTAATATCGCCTACTCTGCTCTGCCACTCTTCCAAACCTCGTATTGGGACCTTCGTTCGTCAGTTTGCAGAGCACGTATTCGCCAGGTGACCTCATGCCTCTTCTACATAGCCTTACTTGATGACCCCTCTCATGTTAGCCCTGACAGCTGCCCGCAGAACCGCGAGAACGGCACGCCAGGTCTCTCGTCACGGCCGCCCAACCTCACGGGTGGCCAGACGGCCCATGGCCTCTCGCCTCCCGCGGTCCGGGTCTCTTTCTTTGCGGGCCTCCGCGCTTCTTGGACGAGCCTGACAACTCAAGTGCTGCCCTATAATGCACCTCAACCCTCCTCATGCGTTCGTCATCCGTTGGCCCTAAATCATCGAGGTGACGCCAGCCTTTGGCCACATTCAACGCTAACTGGGAAGATCTCTCTTCGTATGGTATTTTCCAGGCTCTGGCTGAGCCACCCTCATCGTCCTAGCACTTCAGTTCGTCGGTTCGGGGTGTAACTTTTGTGTTGTTGGCCACTTATCCGGGCCTCCCTCGCTACTAATTGACAAGGTTGGTATGTGATTGCATGAAGATTAAGCATCAGGGTCCTAGATTCGCCACATCAAAACAACGTGTGGTCACAGTTTCCTTTGCTTTGAAGCACATCTGCGTCGTCTCTACAATGCCTTCGAGAGTCTACATCTCGAAATGATGAAAGGGCCCGACTACTTGGCCCAACAGACTCTCCCATGTGCCTCGCATAGTCTGACGCGAAACATTCACTGGCGCCTATCGACTCGGTGTGAACGAGTGCTCAGACAGCATGATCATCCTCCAGGTCTCTTGCAGACAGCCATCGGTACTATTGGACGTAAATGGCAAACGTCTTTGCCCTCGCTAAGGCGGTTCATGCATGCACAAAAAAATGACGTGCTGATTGAGCCACGTCTTTAACCCTGATTCACAATCACCAACCTCTCTGTAATGCTTCCCCAGACTAACAGATATGACGCCTGTGGCACGCAGGGCTCTGACACTGATGCGTCGAGCTTCCAAAGTAGTGCAGGCTGCCCTTGCTTCAAGCTGTTTCGTCGAAGCTATTCTTCACTTCTTAGCTGGCCGTGGTGAGGAGGCTAGGTAGTCTTTGAGTCGCAACTCTGCATCAGTGATCATGGATTGGTCCTCGGCTTATTCTTGTTATGTATTTCAGGCCTGCTGCAGGGCAGTATTCCTTCTGGACTGACCAGCCGGCAAACGGTCCACCAAAAGCAATCATATTGTGAACTGATGCGGTGGAGTGGTGGTGTCGTTGACGACGTAGCACGCCGAGCAATGACATAGCCGCAGCTCGCCAATCCATTTGCAAACTTTGAGACATCTATTGTTCTTCCGACTCATCGAAGATCATCCGGATCAGAGAGACACACAATGAGACACATCTCGTCTTATTGTGTATATCGTGGCGAGACATGCTTGCCGGCATTTCATCCAGCGGCTGGGAGCTGCATGAAGTCTGGTGGCATAGCGAGTCTTAGTGACCACCTCTAACGTGCAAATGCGGTGGTTGGGCTTATAAATTTCATTCCAATGAAACATTCCAATGTCAACTTTTCTCTTGAATCCCTCTGATATTGCATTCCTTTTGCCTATGACTCTGCATCATCATTAATGCCCGCTGCGCTGCAGTCAATGATTTCCGGGCGGACAATCGGCGCCACGGTGGATCCCTTCGCTTCCGATGCTAGCGGGCGACGTGCAGAGACATCGGCGTTTCAGACGACATCTCGGCCGATAGGCGATAAAAGGGGAACCAAAAATGAGGAGGCTGGGAGAATTTCCAGACCAGGGGCGAGGGATTCCCAGCCTTTTTATTTTCTGGAAGAAAAGGTCTGGAGATTGCTCGAGTGTTTAACTGTCTTTACCCCTCTCTAAGCCCCCTGCTGCGGACGTGTAATGCGGGTTTGTTCGCCCCCTTGCATGGCACCATGGGCTTACACCGGTTACACCGTACGACGCCGTCGGCAATGAGCAGCCTGGTAGTCGAAGCATCTGTTCGGTGAAGTCTGCCATTGGATTGAGTGATTGGGTCTGTTCTCAAGGGGGTTCTGCATGATGATGGACACGTGGCTAGATTGTGGCAACTTGTGAGACGGACTCACGGAGCGCTCATGGCTGGGACCTGGCAGCGATGCAGTGGTGCACTGAGTCGAAGGCTGCGAGTCTCCGTTACGCTTTACTGGATGGCCTGGGTAAATTTCGGTTCTTACATCCAGTGAGGCGAAAAGACGATGAAACGAGGTGGCTGGCAGAGCCGTTCCAGCTTTCAGGTACTGTGAGGTTGACGTGAAGCTATCGCCAGATTCAGTATTGTCTCAGTGATGTAAATCTTGAACAACCCTACCAATTTCGGTTTGATATGGTGGTAGAAGCTCAACATCACTCGCTACAGCCCTAATAGCATTCAAATGACTGTATTCGGCAGCATCTGACCAGGGACATGATGTAGTGATCTCAAACAGTGGAGATATGTATCGAGGCACAGAGCCCTGGCGAGATGAGTAAACGGCAATACATCCACAAAGAATTACTAAGATTGCTATGGAAGTGAATGATTTGATGTCGACAGTTATTGAAGTACGAGTATGAGCTTCATGAATCTATGAGGGATTGATCTTAGCTGAATCTTCAAGACTTCGAATGACGGACCTTACGGAAGTGGGTTCTTTATTCTTACCCGCATTGGTTAATATCAATTGATGATCATGAGCATGCCGTGATCATTATTATCCACCTCATCTGCGTAAGTACACACATATTGAGATGATTCCATTAACTTAAGGATACTACATTATGTATCTTGAAATGTTTCATCCGCGACTGTTTCTGTCTACATCACGCATTCTTTGTATCCGAAGTCTTGTTGTACAATAGTGAGAAGGTGGGAATTCCACATTATAAGGTATACGCTTACTATTTTAATTGTTGTTCTTTCAACCTCATTAGGGTACTACTGGTCATGGCTCTGGGTTTGAGCAAGCTAGCGGAGTGAAACAATACAGATTTCTGATATTCTAATCTAGAGGCAATCGACCAGCCTTTGGCTCCTTACACGTCAATCATACCATGAACACCAGTGAAAACCCCCAGTCTGCCACTGTATGATACGAGTGCTCACGAAACGCTTTGTATCTCTTGTCAAATGTGTTCTAAGGTCAATTTATATGAGTTGAAATTCTTATGTGGGCTTTTGAAATAAAGCAATACTTCCGTGGGTTGAAGCATGATGGTATTGAAGTCAATCTGACCCCTGTTAATGACGAAATGTCTACCAAGTAGTAAATATGACCAAAGCAGAAAGGCTTTTTGTTTAGTTCTCATTTAACTTGGTCGGGGTTCTTCCTGTTGAAAATAATCGCAAAGCCTGTATCTCAGGCTTATAGATGAACTTCTTCTGGGTACATGGTATTGTTTCGAGGCACTGGAGCTGTACAGAAGACTAATATATTTTCAAAAGCGGACTCTGTTAACTCCATGCTTTTCGGATTGAGAGGAAAACTTGTATACGTATGAGTCTCAAAGTGCTTGACATGAGGTGGATGCCTTGGCCTGGAGGCCTGCTAAGATGCAAGATTTGGGCCCATCAGATGGGAAACATATTGAAGCCCAGGCTTTTAGAAATATATCCATCGACACTCTCTTGGAATGAGAGCCCTGGTCTTCTCTATGTGGTAGGTCGAGACAAGGACTCTAGCTTCACACTTCACTCACGTATTCCATGGATGCTATCTAGAAGAATCGACATTGAGAATCTATATTTCGCCGTCTTTCCTTTTCTCTCGGTAACAAGCATACTATCTATCTCTTATAAAGGCTCTAACGGCTGTCATATTTTTGAACCATCCTCCCAGTAGCGCGACGTATGATCTATCTACGAGGCCTACGGAACGAATGTTGGTGTCTCTCAAAGAACAAACCCACAGATTGATGACCTGTTGTAGAGCCCATACTGGCCTGTTCGGATGGAAGACGATCCGGGAAAGCATATCTGAAACGCAATGTGAGAATCGAATGTGGGAGATTACTTTGTTGTTCACGTTGCTGTGAGCTTTCTATCTTACTGAGAATACGCGAAACCTCGTCGCTTTGGCCAGGAGACTGTCACAAAACTACTAATGACAATGCTTAAGAGAAACTCTTGCGTTGAACATCCCCGAGTGAAAATTCCAGCCAAGAGACCTGACAATACGAAATCAAGCTGCTTTATCTCCAAGGAAAAGTGTCAGATACACCAAGCCTTCGTCACATCGCAGTCTGGTTTAACTGTACGAAGAATGCCTTTTAAATTCATGTATGAAAACACACAAAGATATAAATATACACACCTCTCTCTCTCTCTCTCTCTAAATATACATATATATATAGATACCTAGCCTGTGGTGCCGTTAGACAGTTACGATCTTACCAAAGGAACGAGATGTCACAACATGGTCACTTGACAACATTCCTGGCACCATGCAAATTCATGACACGTGATTTATTTCATTGAGCCCAATGTTTGTGGACTTTCTATTATCATTATACTCCCATACCGCATAGGTCTGTTTTCTCCATCATCGCCCGGGTTACATTAGGTGAGTATGATAGTCGTCAAGTTCCAAGTTCTTGTTGTTGGGCAAGCCAGCATCGTGCCCAGTAGATGGTGAGAGAAGACGTATGGGTTGGTGAAGTGCGCTTAAGGAATGTGATTATTGCGTATGGCGTAGTGGGTGATGCGGAAGATATGTGTGATGCCTTTACTCGAACCAGCTCTTCACCCAGTCGACGGCGCGCTTGTAGCCCTTGTAAGTGCCGTAGGCACTGTACGTCTGAGGGACCGGGGTGGGGCTCGGGGTTGTGGCCGGCGGGGGGTAGCTGCCGTAGCTTCCGTACTGGCTATAGTCGTATTTTCCGTAGTTGGTGTAACCCTGTGTGGCTTGAGGGGCAGGAGCGGGAGCGGCCTCGGCGTTAGCCTCCGCAACAGGAGCGGCGAGGGCGGCCGAAGCGGCGGTGATCATGAGAATGGCGGAGACCTTCATGTTTGCGAGTGGTGAAGAAGAGGAATATGTAGATAAAACGGCTTGGCTGATGGGTGACTTGGGCTCTGACGACTTGACTATGTGAGATTATTGTTGTTTGGTGTGTGATGAGAATAGGAGAGATGATGAGATTGATGGTGGGATCATGGGCAATACTTATGGAAGAGCCAAGCCGATGTTCAAGTTGCAGACGACGGTGTTGTCTAGCATCCTTCCTTGACTACTACATCGGCCACCCTCGAGCCTGGGTGATGAGGGCATACGCCGCATCTGGCATCGTGCTGATGACCTAGGAATCGTTGAGATGGCGTTTCTCTCTGATGGATGAAGGGTCTTCGGGCTAATGTGAACAGCTGCAAGGGAGCCCTTGAACTGAGGGCTCGCTAAGGTCGAAGACACAATGCCTCTGCAAGCGGGGGTGCGCCTTGGAGGCAGAAACTTGCAAGATTACAGGGTGAGCGGTTGAATGGGTTGTGAATGGCGTCACAAGCTCATCCGGTTGCGTCCGGAACGACCGCAGGATGGAAAAGAGTAGCTTCACGATGTCTCGAAGCCATCGGGCGATGTGTATACCACGCTAGAAGGCGGACTCGCATGGCTTAGAGGAGTCGAATAACCGGCTAGGAGATCGTCCTCGTATTCTTGCATCTTTGATGGTGTAGATGATGCAGAGATCTTTCTATGTGGGTGTCATGACCAGGCAAGGGAGCCCCCGAAAGGTCGCAGTGGGTTGTTAGTTAGGGTCGCCTATGGATCAAAGATCACGCTGACTGCCACTGCTGAAAATGGAACCACGATCAAGATCAAGATGTGAACTCTTCACCTTCTGTTGGAAGGTTGTACTGCAAAACATGTCTTGTCACCCAGTCACAGAAACCGCGATGCGAGCTCGTGGAAAATCCGATCCGGGCCGACTTCCAAGATAGCAGTGACCGACACAATCGCGGACGGTAACACGAGTGGAACCATCCTAATGGCTACCAGGCTGAACCCGCTATGTCTAAGAAAGGTGTCTGACATTGATGAACATCGTAATATGCGAGGTCAAGCACGCTGTGAAACCCAAATTGGAATAGCCTCAGTCTAAGTTGAGTAAACTCCGAGGTGAAGTCTCTGGTGGGGGAGCTTCTTCTCTAATCCTGCACGCTGACGGAGATCAGCCCTACTAACACGGAATTGGCGGCGGGACAAGCGGATGCGTTAGTGTCAGCCCCCGCCCTGCTTCTTATGCTATTTTGGTGACCGATCAAGAAGCTTGGGTGGCTCCAAGACATGGCAGCGTGGATAGCTGGGAATGGTCGAGGCGGCTTTGTTGTGAGAGGTTGCCTGTTTACTGTAATCTTGAACTTTCCCATCCCGCTACCTCATGCAGATCCATGAGTCGACACAACCATGCATGAGTCCATGCTTCTTTGGTACACGAAGGTCTCTCGGCAAAGGCCCGGCAAGGGACGCTTGACTCATCTCCTTCTCGCGCTTATCCCGACGGCATGGCTTTAGGTCAGTTCGGCTCAGTGTGATTGCGACGGCGGCTGTGTTTGGTGCCGGATACATGGTCCCGGACACGACCGGAGGAAATTAGAAGGACGTGGTACAATAATATGGCTCTTGTACCTTTGCTGATGCCGAACGTAGAGGACATTGTGAGACCTGTCTGTGTGACATGGAAGTTTGACTGAGGCCGGAAACTTGGAGGCTGCCACGTTGGGGGCGGTGGCTCCGTGGGCTGGAAGTTTACTGTGTGGATTGCATCTAGTGTTGCCAAAGATCATGTCAAACCAAAGAAGGGCTGGTGGTTGAGATTCGGTCTCATCGGAGCAGGACTGAAGCCGATCTACCACGAGTTCAGTTGGACTTAGACTGGGTTTTCCACGAGTTGGTGTTTTTCCCACGTCACACCCAAGGGATGACACCAGATCCCAACGAATTATGCAATTGCGTGAGAGCGGCCTTGTCGAAAATACCCTCAATACGAAGCTCCAAAAGTCCCTCGACATATACGGCCACTGTCGACATTGTAGACTGGTCAGCTCCCTACAGATACGAGATCTTACTACCCCAGACCGTCCATCTGGCATCACGTCAGGCTTCGGGGGAAAGGCTCGGAAACTTTGCGATTGGTGCCCGCAGGCTTCAAAGCTGCAAACTACCAGCCTAACAGTAGACAAGCGAGACAACCACCACACTAGCAATGGCGACCCGTCGACTTCTCTTCGTTTTCCCCTTCTTTCTTGGGGCGGAGAAGAGCTCGTGCCGAGTTCTCCCAGTCTTGGCAACGCGTGAGGTGCTAGGATGCCAGCAAGACTGGCGGGCAGCAATTCCCGCCTCTCTGCCCACGCTGCGTGGCTGCTGCCTCTCTTCGCACAACAATCAGCCGCATGCGCCGGCGGATCAGCTGCAGCCAAACTATCGACGGCGACATTCCTGCCGCGGATGCCGTGTTCTGATGCCAAATCTGGTGTCTTGGTCGTGGCAAGTGGGGTGTTCGTGTGGTTGTGTTGGCGGGCGATTGAGTTTTGAGCATTCCAGCTGCTTTCGGTAATTGCGTGGCAACCTTGACGGCGCACCAAGATACAGACGCCTCATCGTTTTGTTTAGTAACATGGACATGTGTGAGCCGTGCTTGTAAGGCTAGCGAGCATTCCTCATGTCAGACAAGAGTCGTCGTTGGGTATTCCGTCTTGCCCGTTGCTCCCTCGGCCGAGCTTCCCTTGGATCACGATCGCTCATTATTCTTCCCCTCTTCCAACTCTCTTCCGGAGCGTTTCTGGCAGTTCTTTGATTAACTCCCTCTCCTTTTTTTTTTTTTTTTTTTTTTTTTTTTTTTTTCCACACTCCCTGCTAAGCGTGACTCAATTGATACCCATTTCTTCGACACCATGATGCACGAAAAAGAAGACGAGTCCAACTCGAGACTGCTCGCTAACCGGGTGGATGAGTCTGAGGAGGATCTCGAGTCCCTGCAATCGGCCCCCGACGCGAGGCAACATGATACCCAAAGGAGAGGAGGCTGGAGGAGAAATGCAGCTGTAGCGGCGGCATTTGTCTTCTCAAACCTCTTTTCTATGCACTTGGGTTCTTATATGACGTCGGCTCCGACGGACCTAGATAATGCTTGTGCTGCACACACAACACAATGGTCGCCTGTGTTGAAGGACGTGGATGTCAAGTATGACTGGAAGCATTTCAACGGATCGTTCCTACAGGAAGACATCTTTAGGAAAGAAGCCTCACCAGAGGTCGACGCAGCGTGGGAGTCTATGGGCGTGGATTGTAAGTAACATTCAATACCCTATGTTCTTACCTTATGGCTGACGGTGTGAAGACCGCGCCGGAGTCATCTCAATTGAAGATGGCTTGAAGAGCGGCCTAGACATGTCATTTGTGAGGAGGTCAGAAAAGTACGGCGCGGGCTTCTTTGTCAACGTTGAGGGAATGCATCACCTTCACTGCCTGGTAAGTCAACGGCCTAGACTCGGCATACCATGCCTGGTGCTAATGATTGATGCAGAACTTGGTTCGGAAATCCCTCTACTACAACTACGACTACTACAAGAAGATGGGCACGCACGCCTTCGCCAACGAAGAGCACATTGTTCGTCTTCACGTCTGTAAGTGGCAGCCATTTTCCTGTAGTCTTCGATCGAAACTGACCCCTCGAAAGCACATTGCCTAGACACAATCAGGCAAGTCCTGGTCTGCAACGTCGATACCGCTGTTCTCGGCCAGGTCTGGGCCAGCGATCCCCCGGCTCCTTTCCCCGACTTCAATACCAAGCACATGTGCAAGAACTACGGGGCGATACAAGAATGGGCAGAGAAGCTTCAGGTGAGTAGAAATTGGCGTCTGGATTCGGTTGTACGGACGAATGCTGACAGAAGACTCATAGGCTCCTCCCGTCGATACCCTCCCTGGCGACTACACAGCACCTCCCGAGCCAAGTGATGTTCTTCCCACAACGCCATGAACACTAGAGTAGAGAGGTGAAGCCTGTGTAAGATGAGAACGAGTTAATAACTCTAGAACATGACAAATATAATTGAACTCTATTTCTAAGGGGTGCTAGCATCTCATGTGAGGCCTGTAGATCCAAGACTACTTGTACTTTAGCCATCAGTAGTTGAACTCCTGGCTAACAAGCTTCTCGCTCAACTTCCACAACCTATCCGCCTCAATCTTGTTGATCGCCCAGGGATATATCTCCTCGTCGTACTGGTCGGCGATGCGGCAATCGTTGAAGTACTGTCCGTTATGACCTGCGCAGTGTTAGCTTTCCGGTTCACGACCTACGACTCTGAAGCACTGCCGAGTGACTCACTCTTGATATTAGGACTGAATGCGGCGTACACATGGGTGGCGATGCCCTGATCCTCCGTTTTTGGGTGAAATTCCGTCCACATGTTCTTGGTGCCCATGGTGATCTCTATCTCTCCTGTTTTTGCACCGGGATTAGCGACATGTCTCTTGACTGCAGCGCCCTCACTTCACTTACGCAGTGAATCAAAGCTTTCCAGGTGGCTACCCAGATTGGTAAAGATGACGCCCGGATGCAGACTGACGCTCAGGAGACCTTTGTTGCCCAGCTTCTCCGCGAGCGAGAGAGCCATCAGGCAGTTTGCCGTCTTGGATTGCGCGTAGGCGATCCACTTGTTGTAGTGCTTGCCGTCCTGTGATGCAACCCTCCAGTCAGTATCTACGGCCAAGGTACGATGCAAAGAGAACGAGTACTCACGTTGAAGTTATAATCCGTCCAACGAATCCGGCTCAATCGGTGCCCATCGCTGCTGACAGTTACGATCCTCGGCTCCGGTGCAGCAAGAACCTTGTTGATGACCAAGTTTGTAAACAGGAACGGACCCAAATGATTCGTTCCAAACTGGCTCTCAAAGCCATCTTCCGTCTTGCTCCAGTCCACAGCCATGATGCCCGCGTTGTTCACCAACACATCGATATGCGGTACATCCTCCCACCCATTCACAGTCTCCGCAGCCGCTCGTACGTTCTTGAACGAGCCCAGGTCCAGCTCAAGCGTCTTTACAGCAACGGCCGGGTATGATGACGTAATGGCGTCGGCGGTCTGTTGGACTTTGGTTATGTTGCGACCCGCGAGGATGAGGAGGGCTGGAGAGGCGGCGGCGACTGCTTGGGCAAATGCCGCGCCGAGGCCCCCGGGGGAGACGCCGGTTACTAGGATTGTTTTCCCGGCGATGAGGGAGGCGTACTCGGTGACGAGTTCGGTGCCGGTTGTTTCGCGGCCTAGTGTGGGTGTCATGGCTGCTCCTTTGGCCTTATTGCAGAGTATTGCAGAGGGATTGTGCAAATGCGTAGATGTTCAGAGTCCAGTGGATGTTTCGTTGGAGACGGTATTGTCTGCAGATTGGAGGGTTGTTCATCTTTATAAAATCTTCATGGGAATGACCTTGAGATCATCTACATTTACGGTCTCACTCCCGCAAGTAGTACGAATGAAGTCCCTTAACTCCAGATCCCAATCACACGAAACCAGTGGGAGCCGGAAGCCAAGAACTCATCTCGAAGAAACATGAGATCATGGAGCTGTCGTCTGCAGCTTGTCATTCCCCATGTTTGGCTCAACTCACAGAGGAACGATCCAATGTATCTTGGGTTGGCTACAAGTACCTACCTGATGTAGCCCGGTGGGATAGCAGTGTCTGAATCCGTGTTATTCATTCGGTGATTACTGCTAGGCTTGGGAGCCCCAACCCATTTCTCATCGGCGTTAGGTGGAAAAGATCTTTGTCGTGCCCTTTGGTCTTGTATTTGAGCTGCTAAATCATCTATCGCCGATAGATTTGGGCCTTGTTGTCGGACATTGTTGGAATTGACAGGCGAGCAAATGGGCGCCTAACACGGAGTTTGGAGTTAGAGAACCCTCCAACATCCGGGTCTTGGGGGAAATGGGAGAAATCGGTGCCCGAAACTTATCCGTGTGTCCGTCTCCCGCGATCTAACCTAAGCACTCCGTAATGACAGAGATCAACGCCATGGAACACATTTGGGACAACCTGAACCTCCCTCCCGCCCACACGGCAAATATTCCTTGGCACACCGGCACAGGCACCGTTAAAACAATTGAAATACAACGGACCGCCCCGATGGTCCCCCACTCCGGAAACCCACGGACCCCGTCGTAGCACCGTCAGTTCCCCCGGAGGCGCTTACCGGATCTCAGCCACCGATGACACTCTCGCCAGGGACGGATACCTCTCCAACTCCCCAATGGCTTACTCCCTGGCAGTGATACCTTAGCAAGTAGTTAATAATGTATGTGGCTTGGTCCCCAAGGCAGCAAATAAGAAAAAGCCATACGAATGAGCTTCTAGTTGCACAGCCCTGCTTCACTTCCGGGCGTTCCTATCCGCCCTAAATACTGGTGAGAGAAGCTCAATGGCATCTCGGCACGGGAGCACCGGCTGCTTCTACAGTGACACCGCATTGTCATTCTTCAGTAGAGCACCTAACCGATCCATCTTCTCACTAGTGCCTCGACTTCGTACCCCCCTCCCCCCCCCCCCCCCCCCCCTTTTTCACCAACCAAAAGCCATAATCCGTGCCCTCGCCCTGATTTAAATCGTCGCAGCCAGGCCGACCCATCCGTTCACCATTGACCATTCCAACTAACCTGCTTCTTATCGACGCCCTTGCAACGTATTCTCTGGGTCTTGGCAAGGGTACAGGGATGCGGGTGGGATGGCCTAGTGGTTCCCCGGGTCCAATGAAGCCTCCGTCCCGGGACCGGCGGATCGTTGCCCACTATCCTCATCCCACGCGGCCAACCTTTCCGGATATCCACAGTTACTTTACCTGATGGTAGATATATGGCTGAGCTGTTTTTTCGTCCTTCCAAGGTGCTTCGTTTAAAAGACTAGCTTCCCCCTCCTTTTCTTGTGTAGCCAGGCATGTTCCGTGTCACGTTGCCTCGTACCTTGTGGCTGGCCACCTTACGTTGGATTTGTGCGACATGTCAATCAAAACACGCAACGACAAGAGGCTCACACCGGTCGAGGCTCAAGACGTCCTCTGTCCACCTCCTCGGCTTGCTTCACAGAGAACCATATCCGAGACCGAATGACTGAGAGATGTAGGATAGTGTTTACTCGAATGTCATCACGACTCTAGGTGTACCCGGAACCAACAAGACATCTATCACAGTATTTAACGCCACCAACGCCGATATGCCACCTACACCGTCACATCCGATGCCGCCCCCCCGCGCGCGTGGCTCGTTACTTTGACGACTCGTCTCGCGTGCAGAGACTCTCGATCCAGCGTGCCAGCTCTACGCTTTTGATATCGACGGTTCTCCAAAAGACATCGCTACCCCAGACAGTCGGCACACCAAGCAAGACAATTCCGATAAACCACGCCACGAGTCGACCAACCATGCCAGTCTCGTCCCTACCGCCGACAAGCGCCCAGACGTACGGCATCCAGCGATGCGAAAAGACGTCGAGAACGGGTCCGTGGACAAGATAGAGCGCGTAGCTGATGTCTGCGAGGTACTGCGCTAGTGGTGTAACGAATAGGTTCTGCAACACTTTGATGTGTTGCAGCGTGACGACAATCTGGAATGCACCAAGGGCGTACCAAGGGAAGGAGACGAGGTCGCCGCCCATGGTGAAGAAAGGCTCCATGGTGTTGTGCCAGAGCGGGGACATTCCCGGGGTGATGTCGGCCTTTTGATTCGGCCAGCCGGCCACAAACAGGGCAAAGATCAAGTTGCCGACGAGGAAGGTCTTGAAGACGCGCACTGCCAGGGAGGTTGAAGACGAGTCCGATGACGTAGTGGAAGATTCCATGTCGGATGCTTCCTTGTTCTGCAAAGCAGCCGCCTTGCGCTCCTGACGAGCTTCTTCGATCAAGCCGACCTCGGCAAGGAACATGCCACCCAGGAATTCGAAGCCGGCCCAATGGCCACACTTGAGGCAGTAGATCATGATGGAGAAAACGGAAGCGAGGCGCAAGTACGTCTTCATGCGGCTCACGCCGGTAAGAACGACGAAGAGGAGTAGCGAGTGGGAGAATTCGATGGGGATGGTCCAAAGATGGACATCATAGGGCAGAATTTGGGTAATATCCCACTGCCAGCTAAAGGTGATTCTCCACACAGCGTTCTTCCAGTCCACCAGCTGCTCCCAGAGTGTAGGCAAGGGTTGGCCCATCATTCCCAAGCGGATCATGATGAGGATCATAAAGGTAGACGCAGTAGTGGGCAGAAATAAGCGGAAGCCACGGCGGAAGACGCTGCTCGATAGAGTGCGATGCAGTCCATCGTAGTCGTGTTTCCTTGCCTGCTTCAATGACTTGAGAGACAGAACAAAGCCCGAGATGATGAAGAAAATGTGGACCATGGGCCGGCCGCTAAAGATGACGCGGAGGAAGGGCAACTGCAACGGGGAGGAAGCGACATGGTCATTCTCATCGGGAATGCCGTATGCCCTCGCGGTAAACCAGCCCACGTGTTTCTCGGTGAAGTGGCAGAAGAAGACAATCAGCGATGCGACACCGCGCAGACCATCGAGCCACGAGGTAGGGTATAAGCGCCGGTGCTTGAAGTCGTTGGGTCGGAGTCGGCGCTGGACAAAGGAGGGCAGCAGGAAAAAGAGGATTGCCGTCAATCTTGCGAGGAGAGACCTGGATTGGGCGGGAGGATTCGAACCACCAGGTGATGAGGGTTCGGAGTTGACGTTGCCTAGAGGAGAGTAGGAGTGTGCACTTGGGGAGATGCGCGCGACAGCTCCCCGGAGGGAACGAACGACGAGGGGGATCATGTCGATGGCGATGGCGTCGGCATGCCCTTGAAGAGGAGGAAGAGTTCTCGAAGATTGTCGTCGGCCGAAGGAAAGATGATGTGCAGAATGTGTGGTCGTTGGCACCCTGGTCTAAGATAAGGTATTGCGCGTGGCCGGACTGGGTGTTCAACGTGGATTCGATGGGCGGCGGATTGTGTGAGGCGTCGGATGTCACAGTCGACGTGGCTCGGCAGAGTTTCGAGACAACCCGGGTAGACGGACCACAAGGTCAGCGACGTACGACTGAAGACGAGCCGGGAACAACCGACAGTTCGGCGACGAGGCACAGATGGAAGCGAAGAATGTTGGAGATCTTAAAAGGTGTAAAGAAAGGTTGAGGGAAAAGTTGAGGGGAAGGAAAGCTAGTGGTGCCGCCTACACAGCAGGATGGAACTCGACTCGAGATTGGGTTTGGCGGCAAAAAGAGCGCCAGAAGGCGACGGCGGGAGCTTGGCAAGCTTGGCGTCGCGTTGCTCCTTGACAGATGGCGCTAATCTACCCAGGGACAAGGGGGTACCTAAACCGCAAGGGGGGAATGGCCCGTTGGTTTGGAGGTGTCGTACGGATAATCGTGGGTGCAGGATCGGGATCCTTCTTGCAGGTCGGGTGCTTGAGCTTGAGTGGGAATGGCAGCTTACTGACCGGCCTGTTGTGCTAGGCCCGAAAAGTAAGGGTTGGGGAGGGGAGGGAGGGAGCAACTCGGGGAAGACGGCGAGTGGATGGATAAATGGGCGAGGTTTCCCCCCTTTTCTTCTCGATTTGAGGTGGGAACTCAGAAGCGATATTGTCTTTGAGGGAAAGACGGCCTCTGACTTGGAAACCAGCGTAGGCGGACTTGCGCAAAGATACGATGCGGCACAGCTCGTGTTTGGCAGCCTGACTTGCGTCGTTTGCAATGGCGAGAAGAAAGCACGAATACGCCGTGGGTTTACGAATTGTAACAACGGCAAGAGCTGCGCGCATTCGATCCCGAGGTGCTTGCCTCGCCTTCGGGAAGATACGAGACAATCAGATGGGATGAAGAAGCTACGACTCGCTCAGCCCACTGCAAGGCGTTGAGAAACAGAAAGAGGGGATGATGAAGGCACGCACAGTGACGGAAGGCACAGACAAAATGGCATGGAGGGAATCAATTTTGGCTCGCTTCACTCCGTATCAGGTATTCCTTGTTAATTGACGTAGTATTCCCTTGCATCTGCCGTCGTCGTGTCTCTTCCCGTTTCTGTTGTACTGCAGTATTCGCCTTCTGTGGTGCAATCATTCTGAAGCAGAGGAAGAACTCTATAATAAAAAGGGAAACAGCTGCTGTGTGGTGCTTTCCCCAGATATCTCCACCCGGCTGGAGTGCTCCTTCCTGGTCCGTCACGCCCGACGTTGCCCCCTTCTGATTTGAGTTCTGGGCAGCTTCCAGTGTCCACTCAGGAAGGAATCCACTGGTGACTCCTGCTTCCCGAGTCCACGTCCTCAGAACCATAGCGGTCCTCATTTCTGGGGACCCTGAATCTAAACTCAAAATGTCCTTAGCCGATGCCACTCTCAAAGTCAATCTCATTCTCCAGTCTCTAGGTAATTTTTCCATCTCAATTATCCACCTGAATGAATTGCAGAGGATGCAATCACACTTATTGCCCGGCTCTATTTTCCCAGAGAGCTTACATTCTCATGAAGTCGAGTGAAGGAAGTTGACATTCAGAGAGCGTGGCTTGTTGAGGCTGAGACATTGAGAGAACATCAAGATGACTGGCAGGAAGGCAGGCAGGCTGGTTACTGGTAACGTGCTTGGGTACGTATTCGTACAGATACCTAAGGTAAGGTGCGGAGTACCTACCAATCTGCGGGTGATCCTCCTTCCCAAATGGAGTGAGTTGACCCGCTGAGACAGTGGAAGGTACACAGGACTCATCGCCATCCACCTCAGGCAGGCACTGATTTCATCTGGATGTCCACGGACAGGGAAAGAAGCAATTGAGTTCAGGACCCAATTGTTCGCAGTGAATAGTCTTCATCCTCAACGACATCTCTCGTCGGCATACTTGCACTTCTTCATGATAAAAATGAACAACTTGACCTGACCACTCCCATCCAATATCCACACGAATACCGCTCTGCAACAGTCACATTGCTCGTCATACGCATCGCATCGACTTTGCGCCAACGATGCCGACGCGTCTCATCGCATTCCTCCAGACCCGGCCCCAATCCCCTTTCCATGCCTCATACCCGAGAACTGCCCTTGGCGACCCAGGCACAACACATTGTACCTTCGTATGGATACAACAAGACTGCCACCCTAATATGACCCGGACTTAGGCGGGCCTACGCTGCATTGACTCTTGAATTGGGTTGCTTCAGCCGTAGCCAGTTCAGACATCCTCTGTTCGAGATGGCTTGCCCACGCCATCATCTTCCACTCTTGGACCCCCAAGTACTACAAACCATGGGACGACTTCACTCCTGCAGAACCCGTCATGGCTCGTGGGTCTAACTGAGAGAGAGCGTTATCTAAACTTTGTTCTTCAGAAATATTATTTCCGTCTCGCGGCGCTGATAATTACTGGGCCATAACCAGCTGCCCTCCACATGGCACTTGTTCGCACATACCCGTTGCTAGTCGCTCGTCACTTAACACTGGCCAGTAATCCAAATCGCTACCATACTCTTCCAACCTTCCTCAACGCCTGAAACGGTCTTAGGCTCTATTAGTACTGTAGGCTGTTAGGCCTCCTCGCTATGCCATTGAACGTTTAACAGAAACTAGTCTCTTCAGCCTCCAGCGTGAAAGAGGTCAATACTAGGCCCGGAAAAGGCATCCTAGAGACCAGTCTCCCTGTGCGCCATGTGCTGCACTGCACAAAAGTAAAAGTGCCCTTCGCCTGTCAACTGTCAATCGGCCTGTGCGAGCATCATACGATCCCTCGCATCGCGCCAGTACCCTGAACTCCTAGCTTCACGTCATGCCACAGGCCTCCAAGTAAGCGGCCAATTGACGGAAACTAGTACACGCGCATGTGCGGTACGGATATGGTATGTAAGCTGACTGCAGTGTTCAACGGTATCATCCCGCACCGGGTCCCCCGAACTTCATGGAGCGGTCTGTGTGGCCACGAACTCGACCTCTTGCCACCAAGATTAAGACAGGTTCAACAGGCACCATCTCAGCCCTATGGGTATTCTGTGTACTGCGTCGATGGTCTCCAGAACTCTAGGGTTGCTGTTGGGGCACCATCGATGGCGTACTGGCCCAGCGCAACATGACTTTTCTAAGGTGGCCGACTTCCACAAGTCAGCAATTGGCGCTCGAATGACTCTCGAATGGCACGAGAGAAGTTCGTCAGTCATTGCAGTTTGAGTCGGCTCATCGAAATGATTATGCCAATCAGAATTTGCCTACATTTCGGTCTGTTTCTACCTCGCCCGAACTACCACTTTGTTTTTGTCTGGCAAACCGGCAGATAATGCCCCGGAGATTCGAGTTCCAATTCCATCGACAAGCCGGATCCTCTCGCCAATTACCCCAGATTCCTTACATTTTCCATTCACGGATAGGACCTGTCGACGGCTGCGAAATCCCGTGTCTTAGACCCCGCAATCCAAGGGAGTGAGAACGGCCCTCTCGGCGGGGAGGCGTCTCATCAAAAGAGTCGGCATTCTATGGCCTCGTGAAATTGATCGGTGGCGGTACAGTCCGAGTCTTGTGAAATGATGAGGCATGGTTGCAGATATTGCGAGCACCAGATCATCACCTTGTGCACTTCTTCGGTGACGACGCCCATGACAGGTTATCCATGATCTTTGAGAGCAATCAGTTACTCGCCAATGGACACTGTTGCACCGCCCAGCGGCACAGGCAATGGATATGTAGTCCGTATTGTCCGGTGAGATGGAGGCGGGCGGCTGAAGGATCATTGCGCATCGGCCCCAAAGGCCCCCACGCAACGGGAAAAGAAATGGTGCGACCCTTCTTCTTTGTTTGGCTCGAGTAGCTTGCACAGAGTGCTGACAGACACCCATCGCCAAGCAGCTGACATCACAAGCGGGCCTAGCCGACCTCGACGACCTCAAGTGCCTCACCGGCTATCGAAGCATGTTGGTGCAGAGTAGCAATATCGCATTACACCGGGCAAACGCAGTGCTACAGTGCAAGCAAACTCGTTAGTAGATCATGTAGCCGGGCTGTTTCCGGAACACAGCAGCGTAAGCACAGTTGCGGCCGCTCACCATGCTCTCACCAACAACGGCCCCCGGCCGTGGTCAAGTCCAATTGATCCGAGCCAAATCGTTCCAGGCATTATCAAGTCCCTGCAACTCTGTCAAAAATCGGGGACGGCCAATCCACATCGCACTAACAGGGTCAACAAGGCAGCTCCCGTGGAACATACGCATTACGGCAAAGACGTCCGAGAATGAAGACAACAAGTTACAGGCTCGATTGGTCCCTGCTAGCCTACGACATTATCACATGTTGACCATGCCCAGCAAGAGATCGACTCATACTTGAGGTATCCGTAGGTATCGCGCAGATACGATCTCATCTCCCCCACCGGCGCGGCGGCACCCACACATTCACCGAAATCCCGGCTGAGACAGAGTCATCGCTCCAACTGGCATGACACCAAGAAGAAGGCGGCCGGGCATACGAATCATCTCCTCAATGATTGGCCACCGGCGCATCTCTCTGGCCTCACCAGGAACTCGTTGACTTCAGCTACTTGTCAAGTAGCCTAATGTATTGCACAGTGCTCGCTGTTTTCGTTCTCTCCTAGCTTGGCGGAAGGGGGGGGGAAGCTCTGCAACTCTTTACTGCTTTTGTTTTCCCATCACCCAGACCCGTAGTCGTAGGCAGGCACGCAGGGGACATTCAGCTGCGCCCTGGCAGCCCCCACGATGCAGAAGTTGGCCTGCGATATCAACCATTATTGGTTCGGCGCCGTACGACAGCAGGGGGGGAGCGTTGGTCCCTAGCTTCGCATCCCGGCCAATCGTCTCCCACGTTTAGTCAACAGACGCATTTCTTCATCACCGTCGACTTCTTCATCAGGGTAAGCCTGGTCAATGATTGGCGTACCTCAAGAGTACCTCGGGAGCGAAGCCCTACAAGACGACCAGACTAGTAGCGGGAAGCCTAGGAACACATTTGCTTCATCGTCTTGCGCTATTGCCTAGCACAACCCATGACGGCCTTGTGGAGCTTCAAGAGCTGACCTCAGCGCCAACGAGGGGGGGACTAAACGATAGAAAGTATCCAGCCTGGTCCTCAACACCATGTAGCACAGTGTCTGCTGGCTCACCCGATTCCTCTGCGCCTCGTCATGGAGGGGGTTATCTGTGATTCCATATCTGCTCGCCTCGGACAATATTGTCCGCTGTCATTTCCATGAGGCAAGAGGACTTTGCTCATATATAGGGAAGACCCCATCCACCCCAACTCTGAGCCTGCCCGTGTGATCAATACCTTCCTTTTCCCTTCAAGTCACCTTTTCTCTCTCCTTCAACTTGCAGTCGACTGGACCATACGCCAGGATGTCTCAAGCTCAGGAGCAATTCCCCAAGCACCAGCCTCTCCTCACCGAGGTGTCGGAGAAGTTGACGGCAGTCCGCGACCTCGTTCACAAGTCCATTTCCGCAGTCCCGCCGCACCCTGAGCCAACTCCAGGTGCCACTGCGCAGGAAGCTGACCCAACAAACCTTTTGCAAGACATCAAGAAGCTCGGATTTCATGACTTTGAGACCTTGGCCGAGTTCGGTATCACTGCTGTGCAAGGCAAGATCGACGACAACAAGTTGCTCTTGGAGAACCTCATCCAGCTTTTCGCCAAGCTGCCGCGCGGCACCGTCAAGGGCAAGAAGCTCGAGTATGGCTTGATTAACCAACTTTGGAATGGCATCGACCACCCGCCCATGACGACCCTGGATGAGAATTTCAAGTATCGTGCAGCAGACGGCTCTGACAACAACATCCACAGCCCATTAATGGGCGCAGCTAACACAGCATATGCTCGGTCCGCTCCGCCAATTACCTATCAGACTCCCAATCAGCCTGATCCCAGCCTACTCTTTGACATGCTCTTTGCCAGAGGCGAGGAGTTCAAGCCTCACCCCAACAAGATCTCAAGCTTCCTCTTTTACCTGGCTACTATCATCACCCATGATATCTTCCAAACTGTAAAACACTATTCCCCCGACTTTTCATTTCAGCTTGAACTCGCTTTACTAACTGACTGAATGATAGGACGGCCTCAGTGGCATCAACAAGACATCTTCCTACCTCGATCTTTCTCCCCTCTATGGTCGCAACCAAGCAGAGCAAGATCAAGTCAGGACAAAGTTGGACGGCAGACTAAAGCCTGATTCGTTCTCCTCCAAGAGAGTTCTTGGCTTCCCTCCCGGTGTCGGTGTTCTTCTCATGATGTTCAACCGCTTCCACAACTACATTGTTACACAGCTTGCAAGGTAAGAACTCTCAACCTGTGATCTCATCAAAACCTGTACTAATGATATATAGCATCAATGAGAACAACCGCTTCAACAGACCCCCTGGTGATGCCATTGACCCCAAGGCTGAGGCTCCGAAGAAACCGGAACAGAGGGTCAAGAAGGAGGACCCAGAGTACCCGAAGTATCTCGAATCCCAAGAGTACAAGGACTACTTGGAAACCCCTGAGTACAAGCAGTGGGCCCGTTGGAATGCTTGGGTCAAATTCGACAATGACCTTTTCCAAACGGCACGTCTCATCACTTGCGGTCTCTACGTCAGCATCGTCCTCCGCGACTACGTCCGTACCATCTTGAACATGAACCGCTCACCTTCCAGCTGGGCTCTGGATCCCCGCACCAACGAGGGCAAGAGCATCCTCAGAGCCGAGACCCCCGAGGGTACCGGAAACCAGGTCTCAGTAGAGTTTAACCTCATCTACAGATGGCATTGCACCATCTCTCCCAAGGACGCCAAGTGGACCGAAAAGGCGTTCCGCGAGCAACTCAAGATCGAGGGGGACACCAGCAACCCACCCAAGGAAGTCAAAGACTTTACTCTCATTGAGTTCGGCCACGCTGTAAGGGACTGGGAGAAGCGCATTAGTGATGACCCCGTCAAGCGTGACTTCGCCGGCCTGAAGCGTGGCAAGGATGGTGCCTTCCGCGAGGAGGATTTGGTCAAGATCTTCAAGGAGTCCGTCGAAGACGTTGCTGGCTCTTACGGCGCCAACAGAATCCCGGAAATCATGAAGCCGATTGAGGTGCTCGGTATGATGAACGCACGAAAGTGGAATGTCGCCACCCTTAACGAGTTCCGCGATCACTTTGGCCTCACTAGACATCCGACATTTGAGGATATCAACCCGGACCCCGAGGTTATCAAGAAGCTGAGATACCTCTATGGCACTCCAGACCAGGTTGAGTTGTACCCTGGATTGGTCGCTGAGAAGGCCAAGGAGCCCATGGCCCCTGGAAGTGGATTGTGTGGCGGCTTCACCATGACCAGAGCTATCTTGTCTGATGCCGTTGCCCTGGTTCGTGGTGACCGATTCTACACCATTGACTACACGCCGAAGAACCTGACCAACTGGGGGTAAGCTTTTCATCAATTTTAACAAGCGGATAAAGACTGCAGCCGCTGACTCTTGAGCAGATTCAACCAATGCAGCTACGACCTTAATGTCGACCAGAGCCATGTCCTGTACAAGCTGGTGTACCGCGCTTTCCCCAACTCGTTTGAGCAAAACAGCGTTTACGCCCACTTCCCTCTCACGGTGCCCTCTGAGAACAAGAAGATCCTCGAGGGCATCAACAGAGACTATCTCTACTCCTGGAAGGAACCGGTCACCAAGCGCAACATGATTCCCATCTTCTCCCACAAGGCTGTCAGCGAGATTCTGTACAACCAGTCAGACTTTAAGGTTGTCTGGGGCGAGGCCATCCGTCATCTGGTCGCGCAGCCTGGCAAGGAGTATGGCAAGGACTTTTGCCTGGCTGGTGATGGCAAGGCCAATATGCAGAACCGCACTCAGGTTAGGAAGGCTTTGATCACGGGCCCTTGGGAGAGGGAAGTTTTCAAGTGGTACACTCACATGACGCCTCGGTTGCTGAAGCAGAACAGCTTTCCTATCAGGAAGGGCGTCAGGGAGGTTGACATTGTTCGGGACGTCATCAACCTGACAAACACACGATTCAACGCCGCCCTCTTCCACCTGCCCATCAAGAACGAGGACTCGCCATGGGGTGTCTACACTGATCAGGAACTGTACGTGGTTGTTGCCACTCTTTTCCAGTCAGTTTTCCTGGATGCGGACATTGGCAACAGCTTCAAGCTACGGACGATCGCGCGCGAGCTCGGCCAAGGCTTGGGCAAGCTCATGGGCCTTGTCTGCCAGACCATCTCCAAGGCTGGCTTGATCACGGACATTGTCGCCAAGATCAGAGAGGGAGAAGCCTCGCTTCCCACCTTTGGTAACCATCTCATTGAGCGCCTTCTCGCTGACGGCAAGGACATTGATGAGGTCGTCTGGGGTACTATCATGCCCGTCGTCACCGCCAACGTTACGAACCAGTCGCAGGTCATGGCGCTTTGCATCGACTACTACCTTGGCGAGGGCCACGACCACCTGAAGACGCTTTACAAGCTAGCTCATGAGAACACGCCCGAGGCGGATGAAAAGTTGATGAAGTAGTAAGTCTTACTCGAAAAACTTTCCTCTTTGGGACACTCCTCTAACCCTATCCCAGCATGCTTGAGGGATGCAGACTCCGTGGTACCGTCGCCGTCTACCGTGAGGCCGTCACCACCCAGGTCATCACCGATTACGCTCCTTGCCTCCTTGATCCCAATGACCCGACCTCGCGCACACCCAAGGTCAACGACGACATTGACGGCACCAAGTACGAGGTCAAGATCCCCAAGGGTACAAAGGTCCTGTGCAACCTGATGACGGCCGGTCGCGACCCAACCATCTTTGAGGCCCCCAACGAAGTGCGCCTCGACCGCCCTCTCGAGTCCTACGTCCACTATGGTCTCGGCCCCCATTGGTGTGCCGGTAAGGAGATCAGCCGCGTGGCGCAGACGAGTCTGTTCAAGGAGATTGTCGGACTCAAGGGATTGAGGAGAGCCGACAAGCAGTCTGGCGGAAACGGAGGTCGTGGAAAGCTCAAGAACATGCCTGCCGGCGCTTGGAATGGCCAAGTCGGTCTTCCTGTGGGCAGCAATCAGAACGGCGCCAGCAAGAAGGATGAGCCCTGGCTGGGCCTGCGCACCTTCATGACGGCCGACCAGAGCTCGTACTGGCCTGTGCCAACGACCATGAGGATCGAATGGGACGAGTAAGAATTGGAAACTGTTAATTTAATTTGTACGAAAATGGAGTGTAGGATTATTCATGATGGAGTACTATACGAGAATGGTCAATGATTATCGGGTTTGAATCCAAGTATTCTTTTCTTGGATTTCGTCGCGATCGACTGCAACTGAATTAGAGTGACTTCGATTGATGCCAGAAAGGAGGAGTGGTAAAATGGACTTGTAATGCGAGCCAGCTGTGGGATTGAGAGCAACCCACCAAACCTATCTCAATTTGGACGAAAACAAGGTATCGTTGCTTTGGAATGCCTTCGTTAAGTATCTCCTCGCTCTTTCTCGTCAGTCGCCTGCCACACCTCGCAACTTCCTTCCGTCGCGACCCAGGGACCTCTCTCGTGTGCTCGCCAGGTTCCTTCTTCGTTTATTTCAATCTGCACCTGCGGCCCGACTGCCTTCCCTGATGTACGCCAAGATCACGGCACCCAATGGCACACGAGATAATCCGTATTGTATTAGGTAGAATGAGGTATCTAGGTTTCGAAGGAAAATTACGTTCGATTCTCGCGATATCGGCAGGCAGAATGGCAAATTGCATCGTTTGTCCCGGTACCAGAAAAAAAAAAGCAAAAAGAAAGTTGTTCTCCCCTTCCAGAATCGAACTAGAGACCTTTCGATGACAATGTAACCATTACAGTCGAACGTGATGAACCAACTACACCAAGGGGAGGATCGGAGCTAAAGCCCCGCTCGGTGATGGCAACTACCGCGATCTACAATATTAAGTAGGGTTCTCAACAATGCTTACGAAATTCTACACCAATTTCCACATTGCCGATCGCGGATAGACATCTCTGGGCAAGTGACAATCATGTCTCTTGCGCTGACGATTAGCTCATTCTGCCGCAACTAAGATACCTTTTTTCAATTGACATTGCTACCGTCATTGGCAACACGTTTGATAATTAGACCCTGTTTTTGAGTCGTCATGGACATACCGGCCGCAGCCAACGCTCTCGGCACACTTGGTGCAGTACGCACTTCACCCCGTCCGCCAATGGTGAGGTAAAGCTGACAGAGTACAGGTCTGCTGGTCTATTCAGGTGCATGTCATTAGAGCTCATAACCCAAATTCTCTTCCTGACAGTTTGGTGTAGCTCATCCCGCAAATTGTTATCAACTACCGACGCCATAATGCCACCGGGCTTCAACCCTCAATGATGATGCTCTGGGCCTGGGCCGGCGTACCGCTGGGCGTCTACAACATCGTCGAGGACTTCAACATTGCCCTGCAGATCCAGCCCCAGATCCTTACGTTTCTGAGTCTCGCAACTTGGATCCAATGCTTCTACTACCAAAGAGTACACTCCCACATGACCATTTGTCGCCCCAACTCATCTTGTTGATTCCGTCTTCAGAACTGGTCCATCCTCCGCTCCCTCGCCGTCGTGGCCCCCATCGCAACTGCCATGGCCGGCATCCAAGTCGCCCTCGTCATCGGACTCCGCATTATAAAAGACCGCGGCACAGAATGGCCCTTGATCCTCATGGCTTCCCTCTCCGCCGCCCTGCTGGCCGCCGGGGTCCTCCGGCACTACTGGGATATCTACCTCCACCGAACCGTGCGCGGCATATCCTTCATCTTTGTCGGCATTGACGCAGCGGGCGACGTGTTTTCCCTCGCGTCTATATTCTTTCAGCCTCGGGTTGATGTGTTGGGGATTGTTATTTACGCGACTGAGTTTGCGCTTTGGTGCGGGGTGTTTGCGTGTGGGGGGTACTTCAATTTATTGCCTTGGGCGAGGAAGAGACTAAGGGCGAGGGAGGAAGCTGGGAGGACGAGTGAGGAAGAAGAGACGCCTGGCTCAGCTGTTGTAGCTAACGGCATTGCTTTGCATGACATGCCTTCTTCGACGTCCGTCTTCCGGACCGCGTCTAGAGATGATTCCGGGCTTCGGTCTAGGACGGTCGCTTCGCTGTAACTCCGGAGCCACATTCAACATCTAGCACAGCGTCTGTGTTAGAAATTCCAAAATAAGGCAATGATTTGTCACGAATGGCATGAAGGACAGAGTCAACGCCTTCGAGGTCTAGATAGGGCTTAAGAACGCCGGACTATTTAAGAATCCACGGACCTCCGTTCTGTCCCCAATACTGGACCCAATACCGCAGGCAGGAGGCTAGTTCGCGATGCCCACTTTTCGTGGATTAGGAGGTATCGTCGGGTGCTGGTTTTCCAGCCGTCCTTTATCCATAAGGGATTACGATACTCTGGAAATCTGATGGAGCATATGTTGTCCGTTTTCAGGGTAAACCGTGTCTCTCTATTATGTCTATGATCATTCCTTATAATGTATTCCTTAAGGAATACGCCGAGAGGTTGAGGTAAGCTGTGGCGGAGTTCCTTCTTCAAGTACCCAAGATAACCAAGTCTTCAGCTCCTGTCCGATACAGACTTAAAGCTTTGTCAATGAAAGAATCATCCTCTCGAGCCTAGGTGAAGTGAGAGTTGCCTGTCGAGTATAAAATGTTTCTTCTTCCTTTCCAACTCGAACAGTCGAACTTTGAAGCGAACTGTAGCCGAATCCCTTCCTTTGGCAAAGAGACGAGTCGCTAGCTCCTACCCAATTCAGATTCAACCAGCACCTTGTAAACTCGATGGGTATATTAATCTCTTTGATCCCCGACTCTCTTTTCTTTTCCTTTCTTTCTCTTCTTCCTTCTCAGAATATCCTTGTCTACAAGGTCGATACTCCAGCTTCTTCGACACAGCCTACCCACAGAAAGAATGCCAACAGGTCCCTTCTAGCCTCGGGCACAAATCAACTCGTGCTTAAGGTATATTGCATCCCAAACTTTTCCTTCCTCAATACCTCGTGATGATGAGAAGAGAGTAGATATTTCCTGACTTCTCTCATTCCTCTCCGCTACTCAAGGGCCGACTCCAAACCCTACGTAGTTGCCTCCAGCTAACGGTCCCATTACCCACCACTTCAGTCCGCACCAAAGTGTTCCCTCGCCGAATCTGATCAACGGTCGGTTCGGATTCAATGTGAGTACCGAATTCCTCAGACGTTCTCGGTTTACTGACGAAGTCATGACTTAGAGAACCCATCCTCACGTCTTCGGCGACCTCATCATGACCGACGCCAACATAAGGGACCCGTCCCTGAGGAGCAGTGCACCGCAACTGCCTCTAACGGGACGCAACTCTGTCCCCAGAGAGAAGCCGTGGAGCGAACGGTTCCCCAGCAAAGACTTTCAGGACTATCAAAGACAGACGGCGCTGCGGCTTGCCAAAGCACAAGAAGCCGGTATACAGTTGTGCGATATCTACTTCGATGCCGCATGGGGACTTCCTTGGTGGGAAGGAATGGAAAAAGTCGATCTGAAGCCGGGTGAAGGGCAAAATCTGGTGGAGCTGTCGGGCGATGGGCAGAAGCTGGTGAGGCTGTCGGGCAACGGCGAATCCTCGTACGGTTCTAACAAGAGAGCCAAAACGGTACCCCATGAGCATCTCAAGGCACTGAAGGAGCTTGTTGATAAGAAGCGCGTCAAGACTAAGCTTGAAGGGGCTGAGGATATCATCACCCAGAAGCCCGCGATCCCTGGCCCGGAACCTGGCAATGATCAAGACTCCGCCAACGAGGCAGCAGCTTCCCATCAAGCTATTCAAGATGGGCTACTCAGCGAGTACGAGAACCGGGGCGAGGAGAGCATGCGTAAGATGGATAACAAGTTACTCAAGACAAAGCTCGAGAAGGATGAGGGGGCCATCTCCAAGGAGTCCGAGATGCCAGGTTCAGATCCCAGTAACAATGACGACCCTATCAACGGAGCAGTAGCTCCTGCGCATATTTATGGAGACAACTTCTACAACGAACACATGGCTGTATTTTTCCCTACAGACAGGGAATCATATGACAAACTTGCGGATATTGTCATGAAGAAGCCGGAACCGGACTATCTTTGGATGGGCGGTCCCGATTATAAGAAGTATCTCGAACGAGCCCGACCGATCCAATGAGGGCTAGTGCGAATACACTACTTTACAGAGCAACGGCCACTACTTTACAGAGTAACGGGGCCGACGACTAGAGAAACTAGGCCGATGACAAGAGCAAGAGGGTCATCCACAAGATGGATAGGCCCGAGGAGGAGTGAAACAATCTCGGGCGACGTTGGATTGGGGGCGCAATTGCGATCAGAGGATAGCAGCATTAGTCAGATGACGAGGCAAGAGTTAACGGAACGTATTGGGACCTTAAATGGGCGTCGGTCTCGATCAACAGAGGATAGATAGCCTGCGGGCCTAGGATAGGGACGAAGGTTCATAGTTTCACAACGAGTGTTTCGTGCTTCAACGTGTGCACTCGGCCTAGTCCCGAACCTCAACACAACCAGCATGGACGTGAACCCCAGTACGACGCGCTCAATCCAAAGTCATGGGTTTGGGTACAACCTTGATGTGCAAGAAAGCAGGCTTCGCATTGTCTACCCGAGCCCGTATGATACAAATCTTGGCACTTCGCCGTCATGCCCGCACTCGAAAGGAAAAAGGCCATCATAGACAAAGTGTTGGAATCTTCCATATATCCTCCACTGATCTTCTGTCCAAACCCCAAACTCCTGTTCAATCTCCGCACGAGACAAGCTTACAGCAACATGACAGCAAACGCCGCCGCGGCGATGGAGCCGAGACCGACGGAGAGGGTAGCGGCACCAGCCTTGGCTGGGGAGGAGGTCTTGGGTGTGCCGGCGTTGGTTCCGTTGCCGCCACCGCCCATACCGTTGGCGTTTGTGCAGTTGCCTGCAGCAAATGACTGCTGCGTGGACTGAAGTGTTGTGGCGAAGCTGCCGGCAAGTTGGCTGGCAACAGACTGGACGCTTTGAGGAACCTTGGTGACGACGGTGTCGATGAGCTTCTTGGCGCCATCGCCAACGGAACCGACTTGCGAGGAGATAATACCGCAAAGGCTGGCCTTCTCGAATTCGGGCTTCTTCTTCTCGAGGTTCTTGGTAAGGGCGTTTCCGTCGCTCTGAAGTCCAGAGACGAACTGCTGGAGCTGAAGGGCCTCGTTAAGGGTGATCTCGCTCGTGCCCATGACCTGCTGGGTGCCCTGGTTAAGGGTGTTGGTGAAGGCGCCAGCAGCACCGGCAAGGGCACTGAGGTCGCCGTTGAAGCCGTCCACGGCCTTGTTCAAATCCTTCAGTGAGTTGCCGACTTGTTGGATGACACCCTGGATTGTAGCCAGGTCACGCTCGGCGACGACCTTTGTGGGGGGCTCGGCGAAGACGCCCATGGCCAGAGTGAGGAGAGTGATCTCGGTGGTGAACTTCATCTTGTCGGTCTAGGATACCGGGGTTGTGGTAGTAGTTGGTATTGGTGGTGATGATCTTCCAGAGATTCAGGTGTGTGTAGCGTACGGTGGGTATATCGACGTGTTTGGCCAGCAAGCATGAAATACTGGAAGGGTAAGAGAAGGAAGAAGGACTTTGCAGGCTTATAGACTGGCACAGACTAGATCAGACCCTCACATACGGGAGGGGCAAAACAACCTTCGCACAGACGGTGACATTATATGAAATCTCAGCTCATCGCCTTCCCAAAAGCGTAACCCGTCTCACAAGTTGCCCACGGTTCACCCTCATACCTATTTACCCCCCTTCATACGGTTTGGGGGAGTGGGAGGTAGAGGAGGGGGCGAGGGGCCCGAGGAGGAAGATTCGACTCGACGCTTCTTCTGGCCCTCCATCACGTCTTCCTCGACCAGGGCATGCCTCTGGCCCGCAATCGCATTGACTGCTGTCTTTGTACTTGACGTCAATGCATGGATCAGGGAGAGTTCCTGGCACGGCAGGCCTACTCAGATTCGAGGCGGGATGGGATATGAATGACTTTGTTCGGCCACTCGCATCGCGCGAATCGGCGTGAACCGCATCCCACTGCCGATGGATGAACCTTTGAGGTTGATCGTCAACATGGGGGATGGCATCCTTGTTTAAGGTCCGGCGCTTATTTCACACAAGCTCGACGGGTAGCCCACAGATTTGGCCCGTACATGCAGGTTCGGGTAATATTGACGATGTATCCGTACCTGGCTAGCATTCAAGCCTCACTTTATGGGTGATGGAGGCTGTGCAGTACCTTAACCCTCGGGCTACCTATGCGTTATTTGACTGATATGTGAGGCGCGGGGCTCCCTCCGTCTCTCTCTCTTCGATATTCTCACCAGCCAAGACTCCTCGAACTGGCCCCAAGCCAAACAACCTGCACCACCACCGGGCGGCGGAGTTATTCTAAAACAAAAATATAAAACGGATTCGTCCCCGAAGCTGGGGTGTTAAACACTCTTCAGCCCATGAGCCTCCCCCTCCCAAGCACAGCCTGACACGACGTCGCTCGCCGAAGTGAAACGTGAAACGTGCGGACGGATCCCTGCTCAACTCTCTTCCCGCGCTGGCGGATCTGGCGATCCCCCACAGCACCACCGCTAGAGAAGACACACCTCTCGCTCGTGAGCTTCCGATTTGCTTCGCTGCGGATTCCTCTCCGGACCTCTGATAGGAGAAGATTCGTCGACAAGTTGACTAGGGTTTGTTGGGATCATCCAGGCCTGCCGTCGCAGAATTTGTTAGCGAGAGCGGGATACGCCGGCAGAGGTCAGACCGCTCTTCGGTGCGAGCTTATTTCTTCCTCGGCCGGTCGGCCATCTCCCATATGCGTGAAGGGTCTCTCCAAGGGTCCTATCAAACTGTTTCCAGGCCTTTCACAATTCACGAGTTATACCAGATGTTGGGATATTGCACGTTCTTTTAAAGTCAGATGGCTTTCAACTGGCCGACTGATTGACGTGAAGAACGGGCCGTCTTTGGCGTCTTGACGATGCAGAGCTTCATGTACGGCACTGACAGTGGCCTAGCGTGTAAGTCAATGTCAGTCAAGTCGGCTTTCCACACGGCCTTCCACACAAACTGGGTTAGTTGGAAAGCCTAAGAAGAGGCGACGCCCGGAAATAAACTCTGGTAAAGTGCAAATCGGGACCCGCGAATCAGCAGTGTCCCACGAGTCGATTCAGGAAATACCCGATTCACTCCCGCGGGCCGGCGAACGAAGCCAAGATTCTTTTGCACACACTGGAGCAGTCTCCGTGTGTATGTTAGTGGTGATGGTGTGCAGTCTCGTATGAACTCGTCTTTTTTTACCTCTCCCGCAGCTCAGTGGGTGTGGTAGGCGGTAAACCACTTACACGACGGCTTCCACGGCCGTGGGGGTGGCTGAGGCGAGAAGTTTGAGTGGAATGAGAACCGTAATTGTAGCCGAACTCCAGGTGTGTCTCGGGTCTCAGCGAGAGAACACCCCCGGTAGCCTGTAGGAGAAGAGGGAGACTCAACACATGAACCTCTGGTGCGAAGGATGAGGGGGGAAAGCTCTTTGTACGAGTATCAGAATCCAGGTGAAACGAGGCACGGCTCAGGCCACATATTTCCCAGGGAGACACGAAGCGATCAGAGTGCCCGTGGATTAAGAAAACTTCCGACCTTCGGCCGACTCTGCCGCGCTAAAAACGCGAAGTGAGGGGATGACTGGATTCCGGATCTGCAGCACCGTACGCACGGCGCGTCAAAGTGTTCGTGCCAGCAGCCATCGCTTGTCACCGTCGTGTCAGTCTACGAGATGCAAACCTGTCGTGCCTGTTCAGCTCCGCGCCCCCTTCGCATCGGGACGGCCAAAAAGGGAACCTCTTCCTGTTTGTTGTTGGTTTCCTGAGCATCTTGTGTCGTTTCTGGTATATCAAATCCCAGCCGAACTTCCCGTCTCGGTCTCGTCTCGATGCTTTCAGCGGGCTTCATCCATGTTTGGCTCGCAAGTCAGCAGCGTAGCATCTTCCCCAAAAGGTGTTACAACGCTGTTCCTGGGCCGAGGTCAGAATGAACTCAAGCTTGTGGGTGTATCTTCTGGTCTTCTAGAATGCCACGTCCGAGACGGAACCTGTTCGCTGCTGGTTTCCGGGGAGACACCGGATTTTCGGCTTCGGAGCCGGCTTGTGGAAGCCGAAATGTGGATCTACGCCCGGAAGCCCCATTACGTGTGCGCGGACAAAGAGTTCACTAACGAGCACTATCAGTCCGACTCAACAGGAACGGGTCTTCAGGGTCGCTTTTTCCAACCAAGACTGCTTCTCGAAGCTCTGCTGCTTTATCTCTAGACCCACAGAGTCATCTCCGCATCCTCTCAACTGCCAGATATGTACCCCGCACTGCAATCTCCAGAATATCTTCGGCTTGGGCTTATCGGTCAGACCGTTTGTTCGCCGGCTTTTAACAGCAAAGGCGTATACTACTCACTCCGGCCTTCTACTACTGCCCCGGTCTATCGGTTTGGAAGACCGGTGCAGGGCTAGACAACATGAACAACCTTGAAGAAGGTCATCAAGTGACGATATGCGATGTAACGTGATAAGATGGGGAGATTGAGCAACGGTGAGAAGCTGGGAGGATTCTGAAATATGAAAGCGCACCAAAGCCTGTGATTGAATGTTGGATATTTGTGTCAATCTGTCTTCTCTCGTGAATTGTGTGCACAACTGAAGATGTGGTTGACCTCTACTCTCCGGATCGCCTCGTTGGTATCAACTGCCTACGCGGTTCAGCCATGGCTCGACAAGACACTCAATTACGAGGAGCGCCTCTCGTCTTTCATAGCTCAGCTCAATGATACACAAAAACATGCCATGGTCCAAGGCGACACCGAAGTTAGGCTTTCAACACCACGTTGCCCATGAGAAAAAGAGAGCTAATGCTGATATTCCCATAGCTGACAGATAATGGAACCGGCGTGAACGCATGTATCGGACACATCCAAGGGAACTCTTCTCTCGGTATCCCCGGTATCTGTATGGGCGATGGGCCCGCCGGAGTCGGCAACTCTCTCGACAATGTCACTGCTTTCCCGGCTCCGGTTGTGGCGGCGAGCTCTTGGGACACGTCCATACAGTATGAGTTTGGCCAGGCACTTGCACAAGAGCACATGGGCAAAGGCCGCAACATCGTCCTTGCGCCCACCATCAACATCCTTCGCTCTCCCTTATGGGCTCGCGCTGCCGAAACTCTGTCCGAAGACCCATGGCTGACCACGCGTATGGCGGTCGCCGGCACGATGGGCATCCAAAGTCAGGGAGCCCTCGCGTGCCCAAAGCATTTCGCTGCGTATAACCAAGACACGAATAGGTTCGGTAATGGCCCGGAATGGGTAACAGTCGATGCAGTGGTCGATAAGAGGACGATGCATGAGCTTTATCTGCCTGCCTTCAAGGCTAGTGTGCAAGAGGCAGATGCGGCGAGTGTCATGTGCTCATACAATCGACTCAATGGCTTCTTCACCTGTGAAAACGACTGGCTCCTCAACCAGACACTTCGTCAGGAGTGGGGGTTCGAAGGGTTCGTGGTTGCCGATTGGTATTTCTCCACAAGAAGCACCGTTGCTGCTGTCATGGCTGGACTCGACATCTCAATGCCGGGCGGAGATCTGACAGATAGTTACGGCTTTCCTGCATACTACGGTGACTTATTGGTGGAGGCTATCAGTAATGGATCGATACCACACGCACGACTTGACGATATGGTCCAGAGGGTTTGGCGATACATGTTCAAGCTTGGGCAAATCGACAATCCCGTGACCGGAGACTCGACAGCCCATGTACGTACCCAGGAGCATCTGGATCTCGCACAGCGAATGGTTGAAGAGGGTGCTGTTCTGCTGAAGAATGACGAAAGCGCCCTGCCTATCTCTCGAGACAAATATTCCAAGATTGCAGTCTTTGGCATCGGAGCAACCACCGAGAACCAGGTCTCTGAAAACCACGGTGGCTTCGTCATTGACTCGACCATGGTTGTTCAAGCACCCTTTGATGCGATCAAGCGTCGAGGAGACGCAGAAAACATCACGGCCAAGTACTCCATGGCGTACCCAGGCACTGGGCAGTTTCCCACCGTTCCCTCGAGCATGTTCAGAGATAGCGGCGTCAACGTCATGTACTACAAGACAGCTGACTTCACCGGCCCCGTACACACCACTGAGATGGTCCCCAACATTACCATTGCTACATACCCACCAGAACTTTGGCGTGAATACCCAGACGTATTTTCGGCTGTTTACGAGGCGGTTTTCCTTCCAAACACCACAGGAATGCACCACTTCTCCATGTATGGCCAGGGAACCGCACTGCTGTACTTGGACGACGTTCTGGTAGCCAAAATGTCCTATGCCAACTTCGGGAATTATGTTCAAGGTGCAACGTATCTCGAGGCGGGATCCGAGGTCAAGCTTCTATTGAAATACGACATGGGCTACTCCTTATCCACTGGTGCGTATGGGATCACTCTTGGCGTAGACATCGGCAACCAAGCTCGAGACACAGCGGCCGACGAGCTGGCCGAGTGGGCGGATATCAGCATCATTTTCGCTTCGGACCGGATCTCTGAAGGTGCTGATAGCGGCCTTGGACTCTCTCTACCTGGCGACCAGGATGCCATCATCAGCCGGCTTGCCAGTATATCCAAGAAAACCATTGTAATCCTGAACACAAACTCGGCTATTTTGATGCCTTGGATTGAGCAAGTCGAAGGCGTCATGGAGATTTGGTATCCTGGCCAGCAGGTGGGGCTCGCGCTTGAGCGTCTTCTCTTCGGCGATATGAGCCCGAGCGGGAAGTTGCCATTGACGTTCCCCAAGAACCTCAACGACACCATACGCATCAGTACCAACATTGAAGTACCCTATGGAGAAGGTCTCTATGTAGGGTACAAAGCCTATGACCGGAGCGGTATCGAACCATTGTTTCCGTTCGGACATGGCCTGACATATTCCAACTTTAGTCTTTTTGGACTGGAGGTATCTTCAAATGACAGCGCCGTCTTATCCAGAGTTACTTTGTCGAATCAGGGAAATACCAAGGCAAAAGAGGTTGTTCAGCTCTATGTTGGGTTTCCGGAGGCTGCGAAAGAGCCACCAAAGTTGCTCCGAGCTTTTCAAAAGGTCGAGGTCGAACCTGGGGAGAGCAAGGCTGTAGAGTTGTTGGTGAAGACCGATGATCTCATGGTGTGGAATGCCTTCACTGAGGATTGGATGTTTGTGGAGGGCGAATATGAAGTTCTCGTAGGGTTCTCGGCGGGTAATATTCAAGATAGACAGCTCGTGGACCTGAGTCGAGGCTAGAGCGATGGTACATAGATTTAAGACTCGTTGCCCTCTTATCAACGAGGCATCGCTCAGCAACTTAATTGAATACCATGGATTCAGAATTGGTTATTTGCTTCAAGTCATGATTACTTGTTGATTTTCCTCATCCGCTTCTTATGCCTTTTTCCATGTCCGCCTAATCACTGACGATAGGTGAACTTCTTGGCGAGACACCATCACCGTATTCAAAGGGGAATGATGATATACAGCGCAAGCCACATAGATTTTGATAGTAGTAATGATGTGACAAGTATAATAACTCTTATCATAACCGACAGATAACCAAGTAAGACCAACGTCAATAATCAAGTTCTAGCGATACTCTCCTCCACAGTCTCCCATCGCCTCGTACATCTCTAGCCTTCTGCTCTTCTTCAAAACCTCTTCAATTAGCTCTCGATCCTGCTGGCTTAGAGACCATCCCAGACTCGCTAGGTTCTCATCCGCGCGCTCGCTGATGCCCATTCGAGTCCCAACGATGACCGCCCCGACATAGGGGAAGTCCAACACCCAACGAGTGGCCACATTGGAAACACTGACGCTGTGTCTTGATGCGACTGTTTTAAGCACCTGCAAGAGATCTTGGAACAGATCCCACCCTCCCCAACTGCGGATCATGGCATAATACTTGCGCTGGCTGGGCGTGATCGCCTCATCGTAGAGATCCGGTTGCCCCTTTCCCAGCCACTTTTCAGCGAGGAATCCACCACACTACATCGATAGCTGTTAGCCTTTTCGCGAGCGAATCAATAATGCCATTGCTTTCTTTCTTTCAGCTTACCAATGTTCCGTAAGTCAGGAGTCTGATGTCGTGTTCCTGGCAGACCTTGCCCATGTGAACCTCTGGCCTGCTATCGATCAACGAAAACTGGGAACCGTCAATTTCGACCCCTCGATCTTTGAGTTCGCGGGGCTCGAGCATACCTGCACTTGATTCGAATGAATTTTGATGCCTTGGTCAATTGCGACTTTCATGTGCTCAGTGTCGAAATTGCAGAGTCCTAAGGTCTTGACGCGGGGGTCTTCTTCAAGGAAACGCAAAGCCTCCACATACTGAGGGTCCTCATACTACCACAGAGGATTAGCTTGTCATTCTCATCACACTGGGCAGGCCTAGGTGGCTACTCACGAATTGCCAATGGAATTGGAGCAAGTCGATCTTGTCTGTCTGCAGCCTTCGGCACCTTTCAGCGACATTGGCTCGTATAGCAGCACGCGTAACTGTCATCGGGTTGAAGACACAGTACTTGGTCGCTGCAAATGTTGAATCGCTGAATGGATAAGACGAACAGAAGCGGCCCTAGCTCATTTAGCAAGACAACTTGAGAGATAACCAGGTGTGATCAGACTTACAAAGATAATCTCGGCATCGCCGTAGTGGTCCGCCATATCGAACGCTGAAAGACCTACTTCCATGTGTTTAGAGAATTGAGCAATGATCTTGGATGTAGGCGCTGAGCCCCAGGATGGGCTAGACATTTGCCAAAGCCCGGTGAACAATCTAGGCAGTCTGAAGCCGTTCATCTCAAACATCTCCTTCGCATCTACAGGGCCTGGGAGGGATGCACACAGACCCGATGAATCGCTCGACGGCAGATTGAAGACAGGAAGTGGTTCTCCAAGAAGCATGGAAGTCGCGAAAAGTGCTCTCGCGTAGGGGTATTCCAGCCCCTTCTCTTCTATACTGACTCTGCACTCGACAAGAGACTTATGCAAGCTGGTCACAGCATCGCGTTCGTCTTCCAGAAGACTTTCGCGAGCGGCTGCTAGCAGTCTTTTCTCAATGGCGGTCATGATCTGGACAATGTCGCCATCAACAGACGCCAAGACAGCAGTTGTATTCTCTTTGGTGGTCTCTGGGACAATGAGAAGCTTGATGCCGCCCCTGACCACCCTGGTAATGAGCGGGAGGCTCTCTAGACTGAGCCCGCATCCTAGCATGCAACGGATTGTCGTCTGTGTCTTCTTCAATGATGCTTCCGAAGACAGCTCTTCCTGAGCTGCTGGTAACGCTACATCTTTGATGTAGGTTCTTGTCTCAGCCTCGAAAGTTGCGGTGATGTCTGGATGCGCGGCCAATAGCGAACGCATGATTACCCGGAGATTCTCAGCGGGGAGATTTGTGATTATGGTGTCCGTCATCATGTTGACGTGCGCCGTCTTAACGCTTTGGCCTTCTGAACTTGCCGCCATTTCGTTCGTGTCGTCTTGGTCTAAAGTGAGAGACTATGAGTTTCTGGAGGTCTCTTGACGAAATCTAAGTCCTGCCTTCGATCTTGAATATGAACGGCTTGCATGTAAGCCTTCCCTTAGATGTACGGACACAACGAAATCGGTGTTGCTGCCGCACGGCTGCAAGCTGAACCCTGTTTTCGAGCTAGTACCCGTCGGCATTCATCTCAACTATCAGAAGCCACCGGCGATCAACGAGTCGAGCCGTAGCTTGCCGGCTCATTAGTCGGTTATCTTTACCCAGGCCAGGCGGCTACTGGGAACGGCGGGGAGAAAAGTGGACGAAGATAGGGAAGTCCCCAAAAGGATTCACAGCACCCCCGAAGCCGGCGAATTTCCCCCCTTGACCTTATCAGGTCAAAGTGCTTGTCAATTGTTGATTCTATGGTTGGTAGCCGGCGATCTACGACAGTGAAGCAACACGATGGACCTGCATGCCCGACCATCACCAAATCCCAAGCCGATGTAAGACTCGATGGTTTGTAATGACAGCAACGTCTCTCCCGACTAATAATCATGGCTTCGCTTAGTCCCAAAGCATGTCTTCAATGCAGGAGCATAAAGATGAAATGCATCACTGTAGGTGATGGAGCAGTCTGCGATCGTTGCACCCGGAAGTCATTAAAGTGCATCTTCCAGGATCACCGCCGAGGGAGAAAACCAGGAACTCGGTGCGTACCACCTGGAGGAGCCTAAGCAGTGAGGTTACAGAAGTTAACAATTAAAGAATTACTCCTAAGCGTAAAGCGCAGAGCTCAACCGCACCAGCCACTTCTTCTCCGTCAGTACAGCAAAGACAGGTTGGAGAGGGAAGTAGTCAGACGCAGGCAGTTCAACGAAGTCCAGACTGGAGCAATGGAAGCCTTCAGCCCGCTGGGTTCTTCAATCGTGCAGCAACGCGCGGCAGTTTCTCCCTTGGGAGCATACTGAATGCATCAGAATCGACCACCTCAGAAGTACAACAGGAAGAGTCGCGGATTCCTTCCGACGATCCGATTCAACTCGGTCTCCTCAATTCATCCATCGCCTCGTCCCTGTTCGAAAAGTGAGTCTAGTAATGACAACCCGGCTGTTCCGTGCCTATCCCATCCCCCGTCCTTCCAAAGTTCTACTCCCGCCCACAAAAGACAAATCAATGACCTCTCCTCAGTTTTATGGAATCTCTCAATCCATACATCAGTCAATTAGATCCGCGCTTGCACACTTTCGGTCGTATCCGGCAAGAGTCTCCATTCCTTCTCACGGCAATCTTAGCTGCGGCTGCGAAAGCCTTCAATCCTGCTCTGTACAGGAAGCTTCGCGAACATGCCGAAGATATCCTTGCCACCACTTTCCGGAAGGGAACCAAATCAGTTGAAACTGCGCAGGCGGTTCTGATCCTAACCTATTGGAAAGAGTCCGAAGACGCGCGTGCCTGGATGCTCTTAGGATACGTGATTAGGATGGGCATGGAGCTAGGCTGGCATCGGCTTACTCCGTATTCTTCACAGTCGAACACAGGAACCGACTTGGAGAGACGTCAGAAGAGGAATATCGAAAGAACTTGGCTTATCCTTTTTGTTTACGACCGCAGGTAGGATGAAGCCCGAGACTGAGTGATGGCTCAAAAGCTAACATGGCCTAGCATGAGCTTGCAGACTGGAAAGCCATGGATGATCGAACGAAGCGAGTTCATCGAGTCCATTGAGCCATGGTGCAAGGATCCAATGGCAACTCCTGGCGACCGTCTACTGGCTGCGCTAGTGACATTACGCTTGTTGAGTTCAGAAGTCTTCAGGCTACTAGGACCGAGGTCAAGTCGAATTCGCGCGAGACAGTTACATAGCCTAGAATCTCTCCTTGCAATCATCAAGAGCAGAGTCGAGGAATGGGAGTCGAGGTGGCTCAGCGTAGCAGATACAGGTATGCCCAAACTCCATCCAGGCCTTGACAGTCAAGCTACCTAGCTAAAGCTCTGCACCATTAGACAGCTGTCATCCGTTCTTTATCCAGTTCTACGGCACACATCTCAGGTTGCAACTGTTCTCTTTGCCGTTACAGGACATCTTGGCGCAGTCGGACCAGAACACGACATACCATATGGAGGCTCTTTGGGTTAGCTACTCGAGTGCCCTTGAGATGCTGCATCTCATCTGCCGACACTCCTCTTGGCTGTACTTTGCCCAAGATTCTATTCACGTTATGACTGCTTATAGTGCAGCTTTCTTGATCAAGGTAAGACCAACTGAATCTAATTCAACTTCTTTTCTTTTTTCGCAGTCTAACCAGAATATAGCTCATGTTATCCACGTCCCATTCAATCGCCAGCCAAATTCAACCCGCTATACAAAGTGCGATATCAGGCGCCGCCCTGGTTTTCTCCCAGCAAGCTGCTCCCCTGGGCTCGAGCTGCGCACTTCAGTCGAGATTTCTCGACAACGTCCTGGCTAGAATCTCTGAGCCCGCGGCCGAAGCGCCGACAGCAACCGATCTGACCGAGTGTTGTGGCCAGCTTCGAGTCGGTGAGCGGGATCCGACTCGGGAGACCGGCGTTGCCGCAGCTTCGGGGCGAGCCTTCAACCAGGCGGAAGGAGGACTGAGCCTGGACTTTGCAGATGATGAAACCTGGGTTGAGCTCATGGCCGAAGCTGGGTTCAATGCTCAAGACGGCGTATTTTTTGCTTGAACATCGCAAAGACTTAATGTTAAGTAGATGAGTTTCTACAAGCCGTCTACTTGGGTGCATCGGTGTTGTTCAGAGGAACCGCGGTAGTCTCTGAGTGACGAAAAGTTCTGATGCCTTCCCGGACAATCTTCAGCTGGGAGGGACAGCAAGGATCAGGACATGCAATCAATGCATCGGTTGTCATCCAATCGTTTTTAGAAGTCACTCGTTGTTTTGCGGCCAGTAGGGGTAGCACTGATGCTGTTGTTAAACATTCAGAGTTAGAGACCATAGCTTCCGAGTAAAACTCCAACGAGTCAACTTACACAAGCTGTAGATACTAATGCCCTGGTCTGGTGGCAGATACAACATCTCGCCTTTCAAAGTGAAGTAGTCTCCTTCTTTCGCGCCACACATGATTCTTTTGCCCGGTGGGCAAACTACCTCAACGCGCAGGTCGAATAACTGAAAGGCGTCCTCGGGACTTGAAGAAGCGGATGCCATGATGCTTGGACCTAAGGAAGTTAGAGTATTATCTTTGGATACCCTTTAAGCCGGGCTATCGGGTCATAGATCGCGTTTTCCAGGCTTTTATCCAATCTTTGAAGCCGTTCTGCCCCCGCACTCATGCGCAACGGAGCTTATCAACCGGCGTCTCAAGCCGAATCTTGACCCCGGCACCGGCGACTCAAAAGTCGATCATTGACAGCGACCCAGCGCCCGATTGGCTGCGGAGTTGCGCCTATCCTACGACCCTGAATGGCAGCTCCGGGGGCGTTATCAGGACCGACTTTTGGGTGCTTACAATGGTGTTATTCATTAATGTTGATCAACCCACTCCGCTGCTCGGGGGATGTCATGACGAGATGCATCTGTGAACTCCAATAGATGTGTGCAGTAAATCTACTTGCATCGTGTACTGCCCAATATTCAAATTGCTTTCAAACCATTCACCATGGAGGGGAAGGAAAAGGACGAGACCACCATTGGCGCCGCTCCTGAAGTGGACTCCCGCTCCGGCGAGAGCGCCTCTATTCCCGGAGATGGCGAGGGGATCAGGCGTGACTTGGAGTCTCGGCATATCAACATGATTGCCATTGCGGGAATGATTGTAAGTTTGAGCAGGAAATGAGATGTCGTGGAATGGTCTGTCGTCTAACACTGGATCAAGGGGACGGGCCTGTTCCTCAGTTCCGGTACAACTATTGCCACGGCAGGCCCTGCCGGGGCACTTTTGGCTTACATCGTAATGGGGCTGGTCACCGCTGGCGTATCGTACACAACGGGGGAGATCACGTCCTTCATGCCATCAACTGGTGGTTTCATTCGACATGCGACCAAGTTTGTTGAGCCAGCACTCGGTGCAGCTACTGGCTGGAACTTTTGTAAGTCGATTCGAGATGAGAAACCTGCCCTAGAAGCATGTTGTTGACTTGAGAATAGGGTACACCATGTCGATTTCTGTTCCTGCAGAGATTAGTGCCGCTGCAACTTTGATCCAGTTCTGGAATACATCAGTGAACCCCGGAGTTTGGATCACGATATTCCTGATTTTCATCATTATAGTCAACTTCTGCGGCGTCCGGCTCTACGGTGAAGTAAGACATCCACTCCTCTTGACCGCAAAGAGCACATGTGACTTACAAGACACCTAGACCGAAGTGGTTTTTGCTTCTCTAAAGATCATGACAATTATCGGCCTCATCATCGGCGGCCTGGTCATAGATCTCGGCGGCGGACCCAACGGCGACCGCATAGGCTTCCGATACTGGCAGGACCCAGGGGCTTTCAACAACTACCTTGTCACAGGATCAGCTGGCAACTTTCTGGCTTTCTGGAAAGTCTTGCTCTCCGCAGCTTTCAGCTACGGCAATATCCAAGTCGTTGCCATCTCGGGTTCTGAGACTCGGCAGCCGAGGAAGATCATCCCGGCAGCTACGAGGAAGACTTTCTTCCGGGTGTTCTTCTTCTACGTTCTTAGCATCCTGATCGTGGGAATGATCGTGTAAGACCTACTTGGGAACTGAGGCTACTCGAGAACCTGTCTGACGAAACCACCTAGGCCATCCAATGACCCATCTCTGAGCATCTCAACAGGGACCGCCCAACAGTCACCCTTCGTCATCGCCTTCACCCGATCCGGTGTCTCGGTGTTGCCGTCCATCATTAACGCCGTGGTCTGCACCTCTGCCATCAGCAGCGGATCCGCCTGTGTCTTCATCGCGTCTCGAACCCTCTATGGTCTCAGCTGCGATGGCCACGCCCCAAGGATCCTTCAGCGCTGCAACAGGTTCGGAACACCTCACTACGCGGTGGGGTTGACTTGTGTCCTCATGCCGCTTGTCTATCTTAATGTTGCCAACAACACCTCTGTTGTCTTTGGCTGGTTTGTCAATATTACGACAGTGGCCGGACTGATTGGTTGGATAGTGATTGAGATCACGTATCTTCGCTTCTTTGCCGGGCTCAAGGCACAAGGCTACTCTAGGAATGGTAAGTCACTCTTTGTGAGGGTTGTCCACCATGTATGCCCAGCTGACACCTTTAACAGAGCTTCCATACAAGGTTCCTGGCCAACCCTACATATCGTGGGCAACCCTTATTATTGTTGTTCTCGTTGTGTTCTTTTCAGGTAAGCTATCACCTGCCTTATGTTGCCGTCGCACTGTCGTGAGCCATTCCCAACTTATACTACCATTCAGGCTTCGACGTCTTCACTACTGGGAACTTCACTGCCTCGGGATTCCTGACATGCTATCTCAACGTCTTCATCTTTGCGAGTGAGTTTCCAGCTTCTTTCTTCGACGCCACCGGCATGAACTAATGCTGCATCATAGTCCTCTACATTTTCTTCAAGTTCTACCTCAAATCTCGAGTAATCCCGGTAGGTGAAATAGACTTTGAAACAGAATTTGCGTCAATCCGACACGAGAAGGCACAAGAGGATATGTACGGACATGAGAAATCGGGTTTCAAGCAATCCATTCGTAGAATAATCCACGCTGTGTAGATAAAAGACTGGGACCGGAAATGAGACGAGCAGTTAGTAGACCTTACGATCGATGAAAAGCGAATCTACCGCGGTAATCAATGATAATACCTGATACTGCTATACTACAATGGGTTCATGGCCAGTTTTAACCTGTCAAGTGGGTGTCATATCAATTTGCCGTTCAATACCTGACCTCTATTCCTACTACCTAAGTATTCTAAAATACGTTTGATCTAATATCCTTAGAGAATACTCATTCAGAACCGTGGCATGGTAGAAATGCTAGTCGTTATTAAAAAGACGCTGCTAGGCTGACAACTCGTTCTATAACTTACTTGTCTATGCATAACTTTAGCTCTGGTGGAGTTGCTCCATACTTAGACCGTCATCTAACGGCTCCGAACATCTCACCAAGCGGGGCTTAGTCCCCGACCCATCTCCCCTTGGTGTAGTTGGTTCATCACGTTCGACTGTAATGGTTACATTGTCATCGAAAGGTCTCTAGTTCGATTCTGGAAGGGGAGAACCTCCGTTTTTGTGTTTTGGTGTATCGTGTTATTCTGTACAACTGGTGTCGCGAGAGGGTTGTGGTGTTTTGCGGGGTTTGGCTTTTTGTGTTTGCTCCCTTCTCACAACGCATGTTTCCTGCCACGACTCGCATCAGAGTCAGTGCCAATTGGCCTTGTTTCACAGCTCCATGGCGGCATGGCGGCATGGCTTGCGCTCCCTTGCAGCGAATATCGATGCAGGGAGACTTCTCACCGCCTGGGCGCCAGAGCACGATGACGGACAACTGGTAGGCGTGAGGACGGATGTATCATGTGGGTAGGCAGGAATTTTGATTGTTCCGTGGCCGGAAAACGAGCAATCTAGCCAGCCCGTAACCAAAAATGTCGGTGTTATATTTTGCGCTTGAAAAAAGTAGTCTTTTAGTCCAGAACGAGCGTTGAGCTCCCTTCTCATGAAATCTAACCCCCCCTAATAATCGCCAATGCTTGTGACCCAGTGTTAAACATGGTCTTTCCAATTCGTGATGCATGCCCGTAAAAACCAAACGCCGAGAATATGTAGAACAATATCAGATGAGATCATTGCCGCTTGGGTTTTGGTGCTCCCCTCAAGTAATGTCTCAGGGCGCCTCTGCCCAGCATATCCGTCTGTGACAGTCTATGTCTTCAACCCCACCAAACTGAGGAACTCGTTCCGGGTCTTTTCCTTCTTCTCGAAGGCTCCAAGGACGCAGCTAGTTATCGTGCTAGCCGTCGTCTTCTGCACGCCGCGCATGACCATGCACAAATGACTAGACTCCATTACGACGGCGACACCCTGAGGCTTCAAAATTTCCATGATGGCGTAGGCAACCTCCTTCGTCAGGCGCTCCTGGATTTGGAAACGTCTGCTGAACATTTCGGCAATACGGGGCAGCTTCGAGAGGCCAATGACCTGGTTCTTGGGAATGTAGGCAATGTGCATCTGGTAGTACATGTTAGCCGCCGATGCAATTGTCAATGTACGTAGCCGGGTCTACAAACCTTGCCGGTAAACGGAACGAGGTGGTGCTCGCACATGCTGAAGATCTCAATGTCCTTGACAATGACCATCTCGTTGTGGCCTTCCTGGAAGATGGCATTGTTGACAATGTCCTTGACGTTCTGCTGGTAGCCGCGGGTCAGGAAGAGCATCGCTTCGGCGTACCGTCTCGGGGTGTCGAGGATGCCGGGCCGGTCGGGGTCTTCGCCGACGCATTCGAGGATGGTGCGGACGGCGCCCTTCATCTTGTCGAGACGAATGGCAGCCTGCTCAGGGGACTCATCGAGACGCTCGCGGGTTCCGAGGCCTAGAAGACATCGCGCATTAGTCAATTGGGTTGCGCGGGGTTGGGAATGGCGTGACTCTTACTCGGGCGACTCAGGCCGTCAAAGTCAATCACCGGGCTCGGTGACCTCGTTACGACGCCCTCGGATTTGGGCTTGGATGACTTCTTCTTGGACTTGGATGCTGTAGTATCTCTGGGATCGCGCGCAGGCTGGCTCAGGCTCGGGCGGCGCTGCTTCTTGGAGTGGTTGCCGTTGACTTTGGCATCGTCGTCGCCTTTGCGCTTTCTGCTGCTTCGCTTGCTGGACTGGCTCGCGGTCTCGGCTTCACTCCCGTCGCTCGAACCACTGTGGCCATTCTGGTGCTTGCTTCGGCTCCTCTTCCTGTCTTTGACCACTACACCTTCTGACTGAGTCATTGTGATATCGGGATCCAACGCGGGGAGGAGAAATCGGGGTGTGGAGGTTGGCGGTTGTGGTTATGAAGGTGGGAGAGGGATCATTTGGGTGCTCCAGATGAACAAAAGTCCGTCCACTGGCCGTCCCCGCTGCGCTCATTCAAGACTCTGGAGGGAAATCGGAGCAGAAAATTCGGTTACGGGCGGCGTTATCTTATCGGGGGGTTTAGCGCCATTTACAGAGGTACCTCCCCCAGGATTCAGGAGTCACCGGTGCAGCGGCCAGCCACGTTCAGCGCTCACTGCACCTCAGCCCTCAGTGAGCTTGACGACTGTACCTGAGGTCTCCACTTCTCCGATTCCCGTTTGACGCAAGGGTCCATTTGGGGCAGTACGTACCCTCAGTGGAACCTCGCTCAAACACCCGCCCGTTTGTTTCCAGCCTGCTGTGCCTGCCCAGGTGAACCTTGACACTGCCAAAGGCTGTCATCGGTCATGTGACAGCTGGCCCAGGGGAACTCTGGAAACACCCGATCTCACCTTAGTCATCCAGGTGACTGGGTTCCACTCTTTCTAGATTCGCCAACCGCGGCGCGCCTTCACGTTTGGGCTCATGCTGGACATGAACTTCCATGACCTTGACGACTTTCCAACCCTGCGTGAACCTACGAATTGCGACCCGTAACGAAACCAGACCGGCACCTTCTTCGGATACATCAACATCTCGATCCTTCAGAAAAGCGCATTTGCTCGTTTCGATCTAGCAACTGCGCTTGCCGGCGCTCGTCACTCCTCCTTGCGATCCACCACCAAGCCTCTGCGATGGCTTCCCCTCCATACTCATACTCTCCGACCGCACACTCGCCGCCGTATCCGTCACCCGCACAGCTCCCCATGTCGAACAAGAAGCGAGCATCAGATGGCGCCCCGCCAGGGTCTGCCAAACGTCGAAAGGCCTCGACACTCTCCGTCACCTCCGCCGCCGCTGCCCACCCTCTTCGCCAGACCTCCTTCCCGCCCGAAGCAGGCTCTCCATACCCACGTTCGCCGTCAGTAGACAACGCTAGTGTCGTCAGCGGCAGCCAAGTCAGCGCACCTCCTAAGAAGAAGCGCGGCAGGAAGCCCAAGAACCAGACAAACGTTGAGACCAGAGAACAAACGCCCTCTCTCGTAGGCGGACGCGCGCCCACGTCGGTCAGCGGCGCAGGCACTGGAGGCGATGCCCAAGAGGAGGGCGCCAACGATGATGACGACGATAACGATATGCGTATGGCGCTGGTGGATTCTACGGTCAGGACGCAGGAGCAGAAGCAAGAGGAGATAAGACTCCGTGCCATGCTTGTGGAGTCCTTTGACCCAGAACAGTACGATCGCTACGAACTTTGGCGTGCGGCCAAACTCACCGAGTCCGTAGTCAAAAGGGTAAGATATACAACCTGGTTGCTGGCTAGCGATGTGCAATCTCACTGACACGGCCATCACACAGGTCGTCAATGCGACAGTCTCGCAATCCGTCCCACCCAACGTCGCTCTCGCCGTTAAGTCTGTCTCGAAGCTTTTCATCGGCGAGCTCATCGAGAGAGCTCGAGACGTGCAAGGGGAGTGGATCAAAGGCACCGGCGAGAAACAGGCCGACGTACCCACTCCGCCGCCCAAAGACGACGCGACCCAGATGGAAGACAGGAGAGGCCCCTTACGACCAGACCATCTCCGCGAAGCTTGGCGACGTTACAAGCTATCGGGAGATGGAGGTTGGGTGGGCATCCAAGGCTTGTGGCATGAGCAGCAGAGCAGCGGCGTGGAGAGATTTCCGGTCCGGACTGGTGGACGACGAGTCTTCCGGTAATGCCATGGCATGGCTTTCATCGTGATGACATGACCAGAAGGCGGGTGCGCGAAGGACGACAGAGAAGCATAGGGGCTTGCTTACATGATACCCAATCTAACAAGTAGTTAGCTTTACCACCGACGGCACGACGCTGTCCTAATGACTACAGTATTAATACGTCCCTATTCAGAGGACCGTGGTTAGAAGTGAAATATTCTCGACTGGTACGAAGCTATGAAATTACACGTTCATCGCGATATCTTATTTGGTTGATACGGGCGCAGCAAGCTCTCGACCTAGCAGCAACTGCTGAGCTCTGTCCACGAAACAAAGCCAGCCCCTTTGACTCAGACTGGACTTCCACACCCGAAGCTCGTAGCCTGAGACTTTCCGTTGAAGGCAGCAATCAATCCCTCAATCGACGAGTACATGCCCAGCGCTGTCGTGACAAGCCCTCCTAGCATGTAGATGATATTCCAAGCATTGAATAGAGGCCTCTTCATGAACCCCCTTCGGTATCGCCGAAATCCAACATCAACATAGGCGTACCTACCCGTCGATGGGTCAAACGACTCCTCCTCTGGCACCATTGCGTCCTTCCGAATCCAATAGCCCAAACCCAACAGCGCCGGCAGAGTGTACGTGAAGCTCAGGATAAACAGCGCCCCGATGAATCCAGACACCAGCGAGAATTGCGGCACGGCGGCGCCAACGATGAAGGCGAGAGCCCAATACACAGGTATCACCGCCGCCCACAGCATCTTGCCCGCGGACTCGGTCAACGGCGGCGCCCCAAAAATCTCCTGCAGCAGCTCGACGTAAAGGACCTTCATGCCGATATTCCCATATAGCCCCGCCGCGATCAACCCCGTCACCAGACCCAGAATATTGGTCGCCGTCTGCCACCAGTACGGCGACAAGCTCTGCATGGCGGGGTTGAAGGCGTACTGGCCCTGGAAGGAGTACACGTACAGCCCAAAGACGAGATAGCACACGTAGATGAACACCTCTCCGCAGAGAAGGGCCTTCCAAAAGTCCATCGGGTGCCGCATCTCTGCCATGAAAGCCGCAAAGATGAGGCAGCCGCCGTACGAGTAGACGGCTTGGTTCAGACCGTTCATGGAACCTAGGAAGCCGGAGCCGCCCGAGGCCATGCCGGGCGGGGGCGTGCCGGCGTAGGTGATGACGGGTCCGGGTCCGAAGGTGTCGCCGAAGGAGGCCTGGGTTGCGGCGAAGTTGGGAGGGGAGTGTGCAACGACGCCCATGCTATTCGTCTCTCATTAACATCAACCCAGACTGGGGACTTCTCCAAGGACTTACCAGATAAAGATGATGAGCAAATTCACCCACACAGCCAAGTTGGCAATCCACGAAAACCGCTGCAGCGTCCGGATCTGGCCCAAGATGAACCCGGCCGCCATGAAAATCACGAGACACGCCACGAAGCAGATGCCCGCTCCGCCGTTGGGCCCCTTGCTAATCTGCGAGATGGACTGGCCGTTGGCGAGGATCAGAACGGCGACGAAGAGCAGGAGCTGGAGACCCTGAGCAAAATTGATGGCGTGCCGCGCCTTTGCGCCAAAGACGCGGAAGTAGAGGTCCCCGTAGCCTTTGAGGGGGTACCTGTCCGAGTCGAGGCCGAGGAAGGCTTTGTAGAGGATCCAGCCGGAGCTTTGAGTTGGTCAGCCACTTGTTGTTTGGGGTGAATGATGTGTTTGGGTGACTTACTACAGCGACATCACCCCGAAGACGGTGTAAAGCGCAATGCCTGGACCGTAGCCCATCTGCGCAAAAGCCCAGCTGAACACGACGTTAGTCGAGCTTCATCCATACACCAAAGAATGAGTAAATAAACCCACGGCGTGGAAAACGGCCCCAAGATATCCGTGGTAATGAGATAGAACACGGCGCCCCAACCAGCAGTTCTCACCGCCCTGCTCGCCCTCTTCCACTCTTCTGGCGTCACAACACCACCGTCCCTACTCTCCGCGGGTTGCAAAGCCTTATCGCTTCCAGTCTCATTCCCATTCTGCTTCTCCCCAGTTCCGGCCCCGACATCCTCATTCCCACTGCCCTCGCTGGCCGCCTGGAACTTCAAATGCTCATCGCCCTTTCTAAACCGATCCTTCACCACGCTCTTGAGCGTCACTGGTCCTCGAGAGTGTAGATACCGCTCGTTAGCCTGCTTCTCCTCGGCGCGCGTGACTTCGGCCCAGTAGAGGTACTCTTCAAACGTCACGTTGGGGTCGTGCAGGATTACGGCCGACTCCATAGTGTAAAAGGTTTGCCCATCTTGGCGGGACGGGGTCTGGTCAAGGAGGGACTGTGGTTTGTTTTGAGCTTTCTGGACGCCGTCCGTGGGCGGCGCGGAGACGGTGTGGTAGGCAGACATTGTTTGGTGTATCGTGTCTCAGGGTTGGGACGACTTCAGGCGGGATAGGTCATGGAGGCATGATTTCGGGGAACAAGGTGCTTGATAGACTACATAGTATTAAAACAACTTGATTGAGACTGGATATGGGGAAGGGGTCTCTTATGAGTTCAATTGATCGTAACGTAGCAGTTCTGATGTCGGCCCGTCCAACTCGTGCGCCGATATCACAGTCGCAAATGGAGAGTGGCATTTGACGGTATCACTTCAACCCAGCCTGGGCGAAGATACCCTGGACTCCCGCGATATGCCTCTATGTCTCTCTCTGTCTTCCGGAACAGATTGGGGCCGTTCAAGGATAACCCTCCCCCCTCCCCTCTCGCCATCCTATCTCCTCCCGAGCTAAGCTTTCTCGACCCCCAGGCCTGCTGTAACCTTGATAAGGAAAGTCGTTGCAACCCTCCTTGGCGCGATATTGACGACACCGGGCAGCCGGCAGAGATGATTTGACAATTGCAGTACCCATGGACTGTTGGTTGTCAATTTATCCCGCGTGGCTATCACAATCATCTGGTCATTGACTTTTTCTTTTCCTCAACCCCCTTCTCGAAAGAGACTGATGCGGGGTGGCCCGGCTCAATTGAGCCGTTTTCCACCCACGACGGGGTCGAGACTTATCGAGATATGAAAACCTCGAACGATTGCTGGAAGGAATATCACAATTGGGATGAGCGGTGGTTTTGAAGGTTCGGCAGTTGTTGATATCAATGACGTTCTTGATGGCAATCGGCTTCGTTGTGTATGCAGCCAAGTCTCATTGATCTCGCACTCATATGACTATCCGCGCGACTTTCTCTCTTACCAAGGGTTTAATTGCAATCTGTCAAGCACTGGGAACGAGCTCCCATTCGAGTTGCCATTCCGAGGTCAAGGTGGGGTTATTCGAATATCCGTTTCCCGCCTAATAGGTCGTTGATGTCGTGTCCCTTTCAAATCTAGCCCTATCACCCCGTTGACCAACACAAGCGCAACAGTGCTTACCATGTTCATACTGGCTTCGATGATTCTGACATACCGCTATAGCGTGGCAACTGCTCTAGATTCATTCATAGCTGTCAAGTTCACGCCGGTCTATTTCTTAGTTGACAGCGTTATACAACATCTCATTTCTCGTAATTCTGACGCATACCTCGATGCTAATGCATCAGCCTTGTTAGTATACAGGTTGTACATGGTGAAACCCCAATTGTTGTGTCATAAACAACGACACTAGTCATCCTCCTTCTTGATCTCATCCTTTAGTTGTGTCGATTTTCCCTTCTTCACCTCCCGCTTCCTGGGCCTCAACCATTCTTCCATGCCCTCTGGCCAGTATACCCTGTGTTGTGGACCGCCCATGCCAAAGTCTTCAGGGGCTATGGTTTTCTCTTCCACAACGACGGAATCAGCTTCCGCTGGCTCCTCGTCTTCCTCGTCATCATTCTTCTTCTTCTTGGATTGCTTGGGCTTCTTTTTGCCATCCTTCTTAGCGGCTGCCTTGTTGGCCCGGATCTCATCAACCCGCTCGTACGGGACCACGTTGTTGAACGATTGCCACCCTGGAAGCCTGAATGTGCGCATCAATTCGAAAACAGCCTGCTCCTTGTCCTTGGCTTCAATCATGAGATCCGTATCGGGAGGACACGGCGGGAGAGTGCGCACGCGCGGAGAGTGCTTTCTTCGGTCGCGGGGTGTGGTGGCGCTTGGGCACGACTCGCTGTAATGCATCTTTTGCTTGATGTTCTTGCGCGTCCATGTGGCACTGATTCGATCGTAGATTTTTCTAATGTCCTCAGTACCCTCACGCAATTGGCCTGCGTCGAAGATGATGTTGTGATGATGGAAGTCAAGAACCATTGGAATGTTCAGCTCTTCGCAGATAGGTAGGAGGTCATGAACAGACCAAGCAACATCGTCATTTTCGAGGACAAGTCGGTTCTTGATAGATTGTGACAGCTTGGCGTAGTTGGTACGGAATCGATCTAGCGTAGATGCCTTATCGCCGTAGGTGCCACCCATGTGTAATATCATGATGGCATCTCTGTTTTGCTGCTCCGGGAGGCGAAGAAGGCTGAGCAATTCATCGTGGTATTCCAGATCTCGGACTGCGGCCGTGATGACTTCCTTGCGTGGTGAACCGAGCTGGGTGAACTGGCCGGGGTGCGTTGTTAGTCTGTGGCCCAATTGTGCAGCGACCTTTCCAGCTTCTCCAAGAGGCTCCGCGGCGAAGGGTGTGAGACGGTAGCCATATTCCTCATGACTTGCAAACGGGAACATCTCTGAACTGAGTCGCATAAACTTGATGCCGTATTTGTCATTCCACTGCAGCATCTTGACAATGTCCCGAGCGTTGGCCAATCCCAGCTCCTCGACATACTTCTGGCCGCGCTGGATATCGGCCGGCTGATTCTCGTCAGGGCGATTCTTGGTGGCGTGCTCAGGCTGAGATGGATCTGCAAGAGGATGACGATGTTGCAAGATGGACGCTATGCGACAAGTTCTCGAACTGAAGACGGGGGGATTTGCCGCGCGGAGATAGGTGTTAAGGCACGCCTGGTCCAGTGTTAGTTACCGACAACGAGGTCTAAGATTTGGAAGATCATACATAACCCAGCCTTCCAGTCCATGGGAGGGGCAAGTAGTCACTATTAACGGGCGGCTCCCGTCCAGCACCTCTCTCTGGGGCATTCTCGAGGCGCATCTTGTCGTCCTCGACGTCACCGACAGCGCCTTCACCATCTGGGCCCTCAATTGGGGCGGCGTCAAGGCTAGGAGTACCAGATCTCTCCTCTTCGGCCATCCGAGCGAGCTTCTCTGGATCTGACGCATGGATTGTCATGTGAGGTTTGTACGCGTGTCCTTCTGAGTGAGGTTTGGTCGAACCAGGGGGAACATGGCTTGACTCGATGGCAAGACGCTGATTTCTGGTAGAATTCTGCAGACGATTCTCCATTTCGGTGAGCTCTCTTATGGCACGACGCACGCCATCCTCGGACTCGGCCTTCTTGCGGCTGATCTGGCGGCGCTTAGCCGGTGGTTGGTCCTTGGCGAGATCGGCTTCGGTGGGACTCATGGCGGCGCCGGGCTTGGTGACAGTTTTCCCGTCGCTGATATTTCTGGCGGATCGGCGCGGGGCCGGAGTATCGGGGACGGGGTTGGCAGGCTCGGAAGTAGGTTGTCCATTGGTCATGCCGGACTTCTTTCGCTTGGGTGCGGCCATGGTGGTGTACGGGCAGTTAAGTAAAACAAAAGCGCGTCCAACTGAGTATCGATGAGGGTGGGAGACACAAGCGAGCGATGAGCTCAGGGGAGGGACAGGTGACGGCACGAGAGGGCTCGTGGCACGAACCAGACGTCGAGTATACAACAAATGATTGGCCGTAACGGAAGAAAAGCTCCTCATGCAGTCAATGAATGACGGGAGGAGCGGGCGGATCTTGCGAGAAGTGGTCCGGCAAGGTGATGGATGTGAAAGCGCGTAGTAGTATAGAACCCTAGGATAGTTATGCTCGAGGGTGGATGTTTGCCATGTGGGAACTAAGGTAATACGGATGGCCGGGTGTCAGATGGATGCGAATTACGTAGAGACACCTTGGGCTGCTGCAGGTGACCGGATTCCGAGTCGAGTGAGGTACGTCGAGGGATGTTTGCGTGGTTGTTCAGGATGATGCCCTTGAGTGAGGACGGGAAGATGAAGGATGATAATAGGCGCAACGTGACTGAATGAAAAGGCAGAAGAAGAGTAGGTGATTTGGGATGAGTTGAGTCTGAGCTGATGCGAGATTGGTCAAGTCAGGTACAGCGCATTGAGTGAAGCAGAGGATGAGAAGATGAGAGGGCAGAGAAGACAGAGGGAGAGTGACAGGATGGGAGGAGTGAGAGAGAGGCAAAGACGAAGAGATGGAAAAACTTCGATGAGGTCAACGGAGCCACAGACCGAGCGATGCGAGAGAAAGAGGTCGGACGGGAGTACAAAGGGCCATGTACCTTGGCGCGAACAGGCTAGTAAAGTAGGCAAGTGTCTACCTTAGCTCGAGGTAGGTACTACCTTGGGTAGGGGAATGGACGGGAAGGATGGGAATTGGAAATGGAAGCTAAGGCAGGTGCTCTGGATCCCCAAACATGTCACCACTTACCTACCTTATTTACTCACTCCCTCAACCTCATTTTCCAATCATGTCTGTGATGTGAGAGGGAGGAATAGGTGAGATGAGGTAAGGTTAGGGCAGCTCAACCTCGAGTTTGCCTCTCCTCTACGTGCTGTGCTAACTGTGCTAGACTTACCTTTTTTTCTTTTTTTTTCTTCTCTTACTTTATTTTGGACCAAGTCCCATAGGGTACCACATTCCGGTCCGAAGCTCGCCCCTTGAGGTATGACGCGTGGGATCAATGGAGTCAGGTTAGAGAAAAAAGCTCTAGAAACAAGTGAGCAGACGCGAAACCGCCTCACGAGTAATGAGGCAGTTTAGACGCCACAGTCCAGATTCAACCAAAGATGAAGAAAGCGCTTACCCGATGAGTAAGGATGATTTCTAACAGTATCCTGGCATGAAAAGAAGGAGAGGAAGCAAGAAGCAAGCACAGGATGGAAAAGCGCATTCGCAACCGTGGAAGTGGAACGGAAGGAAGGGACGATGCAGTCGGGTGTCAAGCCTCTCCAGAGCTATGAGGTAGGTGTGGAGAGCACAGACCACACGTCTTGCGTCATTCCTCCAGCAGCGCAGACGCACCTCGACTAAATCAACAGGAGGAGCTCCGACGTCACTGGCACGACCGACACCTCCGTTGTGCTTTCCTTCTATTGTCAAGCCGAGAGTGCATGGCAAGTGCTAGTCCGATGCCTTTTCAGATTCGGGAAGGAAGTTCCTATCGTAGCAAATTCCAAATAGCAAGTACCTCACTTGTCTCTTTTTTTCACCTGGGGCACGCAGTTCTTTCTTCAATGTGAAATGTGAAGCATTGGGAGGAAGGCGGGCCTGGACATCCGTGACACCGGGCAGGAACCTACTGGAACCGAGCGGGTGGAATTTGCATGTTCAATTCCCCGTCTCCAATTCTCCATGTGTGGGATCGACATTGGATTTCCATCGCAGATTTGCCGCAAAACATTTCCATAACGGCACGCATCCACAGTACAGTCCACCCATCTTTCACATCTCAGCCTCAGGGCCATGACCTCATCGTCCCATTACCAGAGACAGAGGCAGAGACATGCACGGCCTATCATTCGCCTTTCTCCTCTCCCCCTCCTCTCAAGTCTTCATCGTATCACTGCACCCGCTGGCTGCAGGGATGTTGATATCCACGTAGCAGTAGGTATTCAAGAGCGAAGAACCACGCGCGCCGACGAAAGGGCGAGACGACGAGTTAGACCGCCATAATCGAGTGCTAAGACGTTGGCAACTTCGATGCGTTCCGGATTCTCCTGGCGCCTCCATCTAAGCAGAGACTATTCCCATGGGCTGCGCGAGGCAAGGCAATGCGACACCAAGCTGGCAAGCCTACCATACTACAGGTGTACCATACTGCATACATCAGACGCGTCTACCAGGCCATCACTAACACCCCGTATCTTAGTGCCATCATTAGTCGCTGCTTCTTTCGCTAGTAGGCAGACGTTCGAGCCGTGCCGATACGAGTACCACCCAGGAACACAAGCTCCGTCATCCACACACGTTCGACTTGTTCTATTACCTATTCATCATCCTAGCATCCTGCGCAAGTTGAGCTCACCTTCCTTGTCGAAGCGAAGAACGGTTCGAACTTGAGACTCCACCTCAAAAGATACATGCTGGTAGTTGCGAACTTGCGGCCTGCCTTGCAGCACTCGTACGAAAATAGTCTACGGAGTATGTACACATCGCCGCAGCTGTTTGTCCGGCAAAGTGCAAACCCGGGGCTGTTATGCCATTCTCAGAGCTGAACCAACATGCACGATACAGGTTACCTCGATGATTGGATGCCAGCTGCCACGAACACAAGCAACCATCCGATCGTGGCATTCCCGTTTCAATTGCACATCTTGTCAACGAATGTACCAGGCAGCCAATCCCTGCGCCTCCAGCTTCACCGTGCGCCACCCCCAGACCTTCTGGTCCGTGAGCTGAGCAAAACCTCCGGCTCCATGACGATGCGATCTCGATGTCCTCCAACTCTCGCTTACTGGCTCCCTCGTGGTTGGCTTACGCTCCCAATACTTATCGGCAATACCTGCAATCTTTGGGCCTTTGGTAGTCCTCTCGTACGATAATCGAGTTACGCACTGACGTCTGCGTCTCTGTGCCTCATTTTTCGATCATGCTATCTTTAGCCATGCGCATCCAGATTCGGCGCTGCCCTCCTCAAGCTCAGGCGCTGCATTAGAGCGATGAATCCTCAACCAACTCCTACTCGTGATGCCCGGCTGGTTGAACAGTACTCAGGTAGCCATCTCGTGAGGTCCGCAACAAAACAGCACTGCCTGTCGATCATGGATAACAAGACCCTTGCGGAACGACTGCATACTTGCACTTACACATGAACGAATGACCAGCAAAGGTGCTTTGAATCACGAGGGTACAAACTTTGAAAACTAAGCAAGACCAGAGTACACGAATCGACACCTGCTCCATTGCGCTGGGGTATCTCGAAAACCACGAGGAGAAAGGTGACGAACCATACCTATTCCAAGCTAACATGCATCGGCATCACGTCACACGCACTGCAATTCGGCCGGCCGCCAGCCGAGCCGGGACTGGTGGTGTGATGCCTGACCCGTCTTGAACAGACCCGCTCTCCGGCACCGGCGCCGCCGGTGCGGTCGCCGCCCTCGCTCGGGTCTCCCGCGTCTGCCAATATTGACTTCGGCAGACGGGACAGTCAAACCGCTCAATGAGAAACCATGACGAGAGACACTTGGCGTGGAAAGTATGTTGGCAGTTTTTCAGCGTCAAAATATCATCTTCGGACGGTTCGCTGGCTGACGCGGGCAATTTTCTCTTCCACGGCCACGGCATCCTCCAACGTCGGAGTACGGCCTTCGCATCACAGCTCTCATTCCTTCCGACCGTATACCGGCTTGGTTCCCCCCCACTTCCTTCTGGAACACAGGTATCCCCACCGGAATCGGGGGCATTCAGGTTGACTGCTTGCGTCGGTACTGCTCCGGCCGCATTGCAAGTGTTTGAGACGAACAGTGGACCAATGCAGATGGGACTATCGGTGACAGCGTTAGCGACTTCGGTGGATTATGCATTGATGAACTCTGTCATCGGCCTCCCCTGCGGAGATAGCGCACCCCTCACAGCAAAAGGCCTTCCCCTCTGTGAACGACTTGGCGAGAGATACGCACCATTCCGGGTCCGAGTCATGCTGATTGAGCTTCGACTCAAGATCCAAACCCTCAAGGGTAGTGCTATTGCACTCGGAAACCGTGCTCAGTTTTCGTCGGGCATCTTGGAATTTGGATGTCCTAGGATGGTATTTACGACGGTCTTGAATGCGCAGATACGTGATGCGGACTCTATCGACACGTGTGCTCGTCAGCTCCTCGTCGCAATTGATGACTGGGAGAGAGGGGTTCAGTACGGTCTGTACAGCGGCCCGCAGACAAGAAGGACCATGAAAAGTGTGAGCAAAATTATGCCAAGTTCATCCATGCGGCCTGTGGGTGCCCAACGAAGGGCATGCCAAACTCCTTGCCCGACTTGAGAGCAATATCGGTTGGCAGCTTCTGGCGCGGGTTAATCGCGAGTTTTGCGTTGTCAACTACGGGCTGTGTTGTGGCCTCCAAAATTGCGCATTGCATTTGTGAGCAATGCGGCGTTGGCGACCATTTAACTCAGAGAATGCCAACGAGCGGCGGCGAAATCAAGGTTGATCAGATGACAACGAACGCTACCTAGGCCGACAAGGTCTACCTACAGAACCGTCATGAATGGCTGGAGTCAAGAGCCGAGTTGGTGATACGCCAGATGCGAGCTCTCTGCCATCAGCCACCAATACCCCTCATTTGACCAAGGGCACTGGCGCTCAGTTATGGTGTTCTCATAGCTGGGCGCCCAGCCTTCTTCGTCGTTTGCTTGAGATAACGATGAGTTGAGTCGATGAGTCCCTGCCAACGAGGCCACACATGCCTTATTAACCTTCACTTCCTCTGTTCGTCCCGGCCTGAAATCCTCGCCATATCGTTCTTCGTGGGCCAAGATCCTTGGCTGCAAACTGCACCGAATCAGACGCCTGTTGGAGTGCAATTATTCCTGGGGGTCGAGAAAGATAGCCCTGGTTTGTGACGTAAAACTGGCGTGGGATATTGGGCTTGGTATCCTTGGTAAGCGGCGGAACACCTCTCAACCTTGTCTCTGTTTCCCAAATGGAGAGCAAAGGAGTCTGAAGTCTGGACTCCTGGGCAAAGAGACCGAGTTGTAGAGAGGCTGGGACGAAACGCAGAAACGAAGCAACCGAGGGGTTGGCCTTAGATATCCTTACCTTTCAGTGGATGGGCGGGGGAATGTTGGGGTGACAAAGGCTTTCACCAGGGAGTGCCCCTCCACTCCACTCCTACCCCTCCGGAAAGTTGGAAACACTTTAATGAACCTCCGTGGAGTTCCCGTGGGTTGGAGGTAGGAAAGGTCTACTCCAACAGTCCAACAACAGAACAACAGGAAGCATCCACACAGGAGCCGTCGGCGGCGCTGGAGGAGAGGAAAGTGGACTCTGGAGGAGCGGCGCCGGCGCCCAGTTGAACGGCCAAGAACCGCCAAGTTGCCCGGCATCCCTTGGCTGGCAGGCTGACCTACCAGATCTTCAACTCTTCCTACTCGCAGCCCACATCGCATGTCCACCTCGGGGCGGCCAAGATGTCCGCCATCCAATACCATCAGCTGACTGGTGTCTCTGGCGACACCGAATGGAGAAAGGCGATGAAGTATGCTGGAAGGATTTTGGCAAAGACCCTGATCCGAGTATCCCGCAAACATGCACTGGCATGATACGCGGGAAGGCGTGGTTGTAGATGGATAGGCCGGGCTATTCGCGGTCTTGTCTTCCCATGCCCAGAAAATCACCGGCCTATCTGAGGGGCTCACGATATCTTTCGACACATTTCGATGAGTCTCCAAATCAGGCTTCTGCACTTCTCGCCCAGTATCTAGGCGTCTCACTCGGGGTGGCTGTGTTTCTGGGCAGACCCGTTCTCCCCCCGCCCGTGTTGCGCCCGGAGTGCCGTGAGTCGGGGATACTGGGTCAAGATCCCGGTTCACGCTCGCCCTCTCCACATCCCTCGCAGCGGTAATTTGAATAAAGTCTGGGCAGGCGTTCTCGTGCGCGGGGTCCAAAGCAGGTAATGAGAGAGAGGAAGAAAGGAATGGCGAGGACAGGACTTTTACTGGTGTTGCGCGGTGCAGACATGGTGCGACTTGAAGACGGGCGTCCGGGTCGACGGAAATTCGGACCCCGCCGACCGATTCGAAGTTGATCGCGCTGGCTGGGGGAAACTTGAAGAGCGGCCGGAGATATCGGGGGCCTTTGCGACTGTGACGGTGCCGGCGTCTTGCCATCGGCGCCGAAGACGTTCAACAATTCACCCGCTCACCTGTCATGACCCGGACAACAGACGGCGCTTTATAGTCGTGTAGAGCACTGAGAGGCCTCCTAACCAGGTGGTGCGGCCGTCGCATGGTGTGTGCGTCACCTTCTGGCGCCCGTCGCTCACAGCTCCAGACCCGGCATGTCTGGGTCCTGGCCATGAAGGAGCCGGAAGAGCAGGAAGAGAAGTTGGCCGCCGCGCAGCCGGCAGGAGGGGGATTGGAGAACGGCGGGGAAACTGGCACAGATCCCCTCGTCGCGAACCCCCTCTATCAAACATGAGTCTTGAAGAGTTGTATCCAACGTATCAACCGCGCTGCCCAGGACACAAACTAGCTTCTCGGCACTCTCTTGGATGTACACACATCCCTGCGATAGCCATGATCATCGCTCGGTGGCAGCCTTCATCTCTAAACTATTGTCCCTATCTATACGGAGTAGATATGGGACACCCCGGAGTCGACTCAGTGACAGTTAGACTCGGCCTTACCCCAAGCCCGCCGGTGTCACTCTGCAGACCTGTCAACCTACAGCCTAAAATTTGGGAATACTGTACAGTCGACGGCCAACCACAATATACGATGTTGGCGCTATTGCAGATACACTACTGCAGAAGTGACAGTACCCCTGCGACTAACAACCTTCTAGAAGGAGGGGATCTCCACAATGGATGTTTCTTGGAAGGCAGAGAGATGTCTTACTGGCCGTGGCGTAGTGGAGAAGGCAGAAACTCTCGTCTTCTATCTTTCTGGGCGCAGCCGAGTTCATCACCGAAAGCATCGATCCCTCAACCTCACCCACCCCCTCCTCCATCTTCTTGTCTCTGGCGGGTCCAATTATATTCTCCATTACAACGCCCAGCACCGCTCTCAGCCTCTCGAGGAGCGGGTTGCCCAGAATGAGACCCGCTGCCTAGAGTCTCGGCGGCTCAACATGGCAGGCGAGAGCGTCAAGATCAACCGAGATCTGGATTGCGTGCTGTTGAACCGCTCGCGTGTTCACGACCGATTTTCGGTCAAACAGCTTCAGACTGCTCCAACAGGTTGGAAAGCCTGGGGGTCCCCTGAGCAGAGCCCCGCGCAGAGCCGCCAAGGCTGAAGGAATACGCCCACGACACCCACGAGAACTCTTGTCACGGACCACGAGAAGATTGATACCTAGATGTGGCAGCGACAAACGTGGGCGTTTTACGCCCCCCCTCGTACTGTCCGTCTAGGTATCTCGTTATGAAGTCATAACGCCCAGAGACGATGCTCCATCCTGGGTCTCCAAGTACATGTATACATGTTCTCCCAACTCCCCTCTCGAATTTTGGCTTCTTGTTCCTCATCCCTCTCGACACAATCAGGAGAAAGTCTCACCGCGACCTTTGCCCATTACCTCATCTTTCCCACTCATGCTTGACTGTTCTCTTGACCTTAAGGGGGTAGAAGTGCTTGAACCTGGATAAGAGCCGAGCACTCACACTTTTGCCCGTTCCAACCCGTGTTTGTCGAAAGACTAATACTTCCCTCTACTTTGATTGGTCCCGAAGACCGCTCTTGGCACCTCCCGGAGATAATCTACCACAGTAAGGTAGTCCGGAAGATTGTACATCGACGCTCCTACAATCGCTTTTCACGCTCAATTTATTCACCCTCTCTCCCGGTAAACAATTGCCAACATGGGAAAGAAGGATCCCGAGGCCGAGGCCATGGCCAACCACGTCTCCGGCCAATCTAATAAGCCCATGTCCCGGCCGGCACATGCTCTGGCTACCGAGGAAGTCGTCCAGGAGCTCAGGGCTAACCCAGACGACGGCTTGACTCCCGACGACGCTAAGGCTCGTCTTGAAGAGTATGGCCGCAACGAATTCGGCGCCGATAAGGGCGTTCAGCCCGTCAAGATCTTTATTGGACAAATCGCTAACGCAATGACTTTGGTATGCCATCCTCGCATTCACAGTCGTCTAAAGAGAGAGCAGTAGACTGATCTGGTCGTTCAAATAGGTCCTGATCCTGGCTATGGGTGCTTCTTTTGGTATCAAGTCTTGGATCGAAGGAGGTGTCGTCGCAGGTGTCATCTTCCTGAACATTACTGTCGGCTTCCATCAAGAGTTCAAGGCCGCAAAGACCATGGATTCCCTTCGATCTCTTAGCTCACCCACTGCTCAGGCTGTACGCGAGGGCCGCAACATCACCGTCCCCACCGTCGAGATTGTCCCTGGCGACATGGTCGAGCTCAAGACTGGTGACACCATCCCCGCCGATGTTCGCATCATTGAGGCCGTCAACTTTGAAACAAATGAAGCCTTGCTCACGGGAGAGTCTCTTCCCATCCGCAAGGAGGCTGCTCAGACTTTTGATGATGAGACGGGACCTGGTGACCGCCTCAACGTCGCCTACAGCTCTTCAACCGTTACAAAAGGGCGTGCCCGCGGTATCGTCTTTGCTACTGGCATGTATACCGAAATTGGTCAGATTGCTGCCGCCCTTCGGGGCAAAAACTCACGCCGCCGAGAAGTCAAGCGTAAGGATGACGGCTCTGCCACCTTTGGTCGCTACCTTCAGGCATGGACGTTGACTCTTTCCGATGCTGTCGGACGCTTCCTGGGCGTCAACGTTGGAACGCCTCTGCAAAGGAAGCTATCCAAGTTGGCAATCCTTCTCTTCGGTACCGCTGTTGTGTGCGCTCTGATTGTGTTGGGTGCAAACAAGTTCAACACCACGCAGGAGGTCGTCATTTACGCCGTCGCCACTGGTCTCGCAATGATTCCCGCCTCACTGGTCGTCGTCTTGACTATTACCATGGCTGCTGGCACGAAACGCATGGTACAGCGTCACGTCATCGTTCGACAGCTGAAGAGTTTAGAAGCCCTTGGTGGTGTTACGAGTAGGTTTATACTCCACGCATAGTATCAACGGAAATACTAATCCATCTGTAGACATTTGCTCTGACAAGACCGGAACACTGACCCAAGGCAAGATGGTCGTCCGCAAGGCCTGGGTTCCTGGAAAGGGTACCTTCTCCGTCAGCAACACCAACGAGCCCTTCAATCCCACGACGGGAGATCTCGGCTACAGCTCTGACCAGCCCAAGGATATCAACTTCAGTTCCAAGGAGGGTGATGGCGGGCCGTTCTCCAATGCCGACGCCGAGGATCGTGTCAGGGAGAGCACCGCTCTCACAGACTACTTCAATATCGCATCCCTCGCCAACTTGGCCAATGTACACAAAACCCCCGAGGGAGAGTGGCATGCACGTGGTGATCCTACCGAGATCGCTATTCAGGTTTTCGCATCCCGCTTCAACTGGAATAGACTCCGTCTCGCTGGCGATTCCAACCGCTGGCAGCAAATTGCCGAGTTTCCCTTTGACTCTGATGTCAAGAAGATGTCCGTCATCTTCGAAGACACCCAGACAAAGGCAGCGTCTGGTAACAAGACTTGGCTCTTCACAAAGGGTGCTGTCGAGCGAGTCATTTCTTCTTGCCCTACGATTCAAATGGGCGATGATGTCGTCGAGCTTACCAAGGACATTGAGCAGGACATTTTGTCCAACATGGAAGCCCTCGCCCGCCTTGGACTTCGCGTCTTGGCCTTTGCGAGCAAGTCTGACATTGGCAGCGTTGACAACCATGACAACCTCGACCGCGCCAACTTCGAGAAGGACCTTACTTTCCGTGGCCTCATCGGTCTTTACGACCCTCCCAGACCTGAATCCGGCCCTTCCGTCAAGAAGTTCCACGAGGCTGGTGTAAGCGTTCATATGCTGACCGGCGATCATCCCGAAACTGCTCGTGCTATTGCCCTTGAGGTCGGCATTCTGCCCACGCGCATGAACGAGATTTCAGCAAGCGTGGCAAACACGATGGTTATGGCTGCCCACGACTTCGACAAGCTCTCGGACGACGACATCGATAAGCTACCCAATCTCCCCCTGGTTGTCGCTCGCTGTGCCCCCCAGACCAAGGTCCGCATGATTGAGGCCCTCCACCGACGCGAGCGATTCGTGGCCATGACTGGCGATGGCGTCAACGACTCTCCCAGTTTGAAGCGCGCTGACGTCGGTATTGCTATGGGTGAGAGCGGCTCCGATGTTGCCAAAGAGGCGTCCGATATTATCCTCACCGATGATAACTTTGCATCAATTCTCAATGCCGTTGAGGAAGGTCGTCGCATGTTTGATAACATCCAAAAGTTCGTCTTGCACGTGTTGGCCTGCAACGTCGCCCAGGCCCTGACTCTTCTTATCGGCTTGGCCTTCAAGGATGATAGTGGCCTTTCCGTATTCCCACTTGCACCTGTCGAGGTCATGTGGATTATTATGATTACCTCTGGTCTTCCTGACATGGCTCTCGGGTTCGAAGTCGCTGCCCCGGACATCATGGACCGACCTCCCCAAGACGTAAGTTTCCCTGCACCATTGTTTTCCTTGTCTTGTACACAATACTGACCGATTCTAGATGAAAATTGGCGTCTTCACCTTGGAATTGATGCTCGACATGCTTGTCTACGGTGTCTGGACCGCTACGCTCTGCCTCGCATCTTTCGTACTCGTCATGTTCGGCTGGGGCAACGGCCAATTCGGTAGCAATTGTAACAACACCTACTCGGACGAGTGCGATACCGTGTTCCGCGCCCGCGCAACCTGCTTCGCGAGCTTGACCTGGATGGCCCTCTTCCTCGCCTGGGAGATGGTCAACATGCGCCGCTCCTTCTTCCGCATGCAGCCCAAGAGCACAAAGTACTTCACCCAATGGTTTTGGGACACCTGGCGCAACAAGCTCCTCTTCTTCGCCATCCTCATCGGCTTCATCACCATCTTCCCCCTTACCTACATTCCTGTGCTCAACACCAAGGTGTTCAAGCACGCGCCTATTACGTGGGAGTGGGGCATCGTCTTCGTCGGCGCCGTGCTCTTCTTCATGGGCGTGGAGTCGTGGAAGTGGGCGAAGCGCGTTTACTTCCGGCGTGTGGCGCACAAGGTCCACGGCGGCACCAAGGACCTTGAGAGCCGTGTGTTTGGCCACTACTACACCATTGGCGGCGTTGCGCTCGATTCCTCGCCTACCCTCGGCAGCCGGACAATGACGAACGAGAAGGAGATGCGGGAGAAGGGTGGCAACGGGTACTCCAGTGGGGGTAGTAGGTGATTGGAGAGAGAGACGATTGGCTTTATTGTCCATGGTGGTTGAATTCATCGAGAAGGATATCTCAGAGGTAGAACGGTATTTATGATTGAACGAGTTCGTTACGTTAGATTTCCTTGGATAGAGATATGCGGTTGACAACAACCAAGAATGAAAAGTACTCATGTTTTCCGAGAATGTGGATTTTCTCGAGGCACAGTCTTGCGACAGCCATCATGTACACGAGATGCCGCTGGTTACTCGAAGTATTATTCATTACTGGCGAACTGCTAGTTATAGAAAAAGAAAAACGACACTGTTAACGGTTAAATGGGTATTGAAACCACTTTTCCCAACTCCTGTTTATCTCTCGCATCAGACGAACCTCTTCCCATCATTTTCATAAGTTTTCAACTATGATCGATTTGACTACATGACCGTCAGGAACAGGACCTGAACACCGATCCACACCACGAGCATCGACCAGATGATAGCGTTGCATGAGCCCTTGGAGGCTACATGTACGGTCTTGGTGACCTCCGCCGAAGAGGTAGTCTTGCTCGTCGCCGTCGTCTGCTTCTTTACTGAGGATTGACGAGCTGTCGGGGTAGGAGTGGTGTTGCTACCGGCGGCCTTGTGAGTTGTAGCCTTAGTGGTCGAGGCCTTGGTTGTTGAAGGGTTTGCTGACGACGTGCATTTGGTGACAGGTTTCTCGACGGTGGCGGTGACGGTGACAATCTTTTCCGCGGAGGTAGGCTTGGCATCGATGTGCATTCCGCCGTAGCGCCAGGCTCTTGCAGGGTAAGAAGCCGCTTCCTGGAGTGAAGAGGAGTGCGCGGCTTGGATTTTGGAGTATCGGGGGATTCTGCGAGTAAGGGTGCAAAGAGGGTCGTAGCCAGAGATCTCCTTGGGCTTGCACGGCCTGGTCGATGTGTTTGTGATCTCGACATCTGCCGAGTTTGGAGTCGGTGCTGTGGTGATCTCGGGGTTGGGAGAAGGCTCGAAGCGAGGAGAGAGTACATTCGAAGGCTCCTCTGGAGATGTCTCCGTCTCTATCACGGGCGGAGCAGCCGTACCCTCGACAAGAGCATCAGGAATAGGAGGAACGCCAAGCTTCTTCGCGAGTTCCTCCATCCGTTGTTTCTCCCGCTGCGCCTTCAGCTCCCTCTCCAGCTTCCTCTGGATCACGTCCTTCTCGTAGGTCTTGGCCCACTCGGCGTAGGTGGGGAGGTGGTCGCAGGTGATCCTGCACTGGCCGGTGGCCTGGGTGGAGCCAACAGTCGTTCCGATGCCTGTGCATTCCTCGCGGTAGCGTTTTCCGACGTTGTGAAGGTAGTGTTTGCGGTCGTTGCATCGGAACTTTCCATTTTTCTTGCCTCCATCGGCGATGGCGGAGGATGTCAGGCCCAGCAGGGCCAGGAGAAGGGCGGTGGGGACTTTCATTGTTGCTGGTCGGGTTGTCGTTCGAGGTTCTTTCTTTGGTGGTTAGGCTTGGGGGTAGAAGGATGTTGGAAGATTGTGGCATAAGTCTGAAGAGCGAGGGTCATAGAGTATCGCGCGAGGAACCTCGGTAAGAAGAGGGAAAGAAAGATGCTCTTGGGGTTTGACCGTAGAAATCTGTGCAAACTCTCCATGTGAGGCTCCTTGATGGATTTCTCCAGTATGTGGTTTTATAGGAAAATGGTGTGGGTGTTGACTTTCGCTCACACGCGGCTGGCATTATCAAGGTATCCAGGCTTCCCGCGATGGCTACTCTGGAACATTTACCTTGGTCTTGCCAAAGTTTCTCTCAGATAAATGCCTAGGGCAAGACTGGATAGCTTTGTCGGGAAAGGAACTTACACTTGTAGCCACACAACCAGCCGTTATGGCGCAAACAGTGTCATCGTGGTCCCTTCTTGCAGCCTCAAGGTCTATGCCAACCGCCTTGTTAGTCAAGGTAAGACTCTCACCGAAACCTGACAAGCGTAACGGTCCACTCGGAGGTTTCTTCTTCTTCGTGTTGGTCAAAGACGGATAGAATAGAGTTGTCGCACAATGGACTGTTGGCCACAGCTCCCCCTAAACCTTGGACCAACCAGGACTTTAGCCGATTCCCAATAGGGCATGTGAGCTATCGTAGCAGCTGCGGACCCTCCTGTCGCGATAATTAGGGTCTGCAGAGTCCCATTTAATTGACTCTTTTCTCATGAACCTGGTTCATCACTGCTCTCAGGGCCTTTCGTCTTGTGTTTGTTCGGGAGCTAACCACCGCGCGCCGCTGGAAGTTGGGGTGGTCTTCCACTAGACTCGTGCTACATGGGCTCTGAAACCAAAGGTTCTGGTTCCATTCTTTATAGCCATACGGGTGACAAAACTTTGATGTAGTTAGTTGACTCTGTTTCTTTCTATGATGCCCTTTCATTTCTACCATTACTACGTTGACCGAGTATTAACTATTTGCCAAGCAGAAAGTGGCGCCTATGGAGCAGAGAGAACACAGACGGGTTTCTTCAAATTACTGCCTTGATTTTTCTGATCGTCAACCCACTTCATGTTGCAAATGGCTCGCACATCTCGCCGAGAGGCCGTTCGTCACCCACCAAACCCACCGAACCCACCACGAGAATCTCCAGCTTGTCCCAATTCCCACCAAGTTGTTCCAATCCCCAGTGAGAATTTTCATCAAGCATATCCGATATGGTGTAGTGGCCAACATGATGCCCTCTCATCTCTGTGAGAGGTTAGGCATAGCCCCGAGTTCGATTCTCGGTTTCGGAAACCCACTCTTTTTGACCTTTTCAACAACTCCGCCGAAGTTACGGTTCAGTGTTCACAAGTAGACAGCAGAAATTATTAATCGACCCGACTTTCCAATCGGTTGGATACAAGGATGGCATCCTTCCTGCTTACCTTAGCTTCCATTTGTTTTGTAATTGGAGTAAAAGCAGCTTCGACTAAGCCGAGGTTTGTTTGGAGAACTGCTCTACTACTAGTAACTACCCAACTGCGTAGCCTGGAGAATACCCTCATGCTTGGTGGGATTCCTCCGCACGCGTGACGTATTCAGCTCCGAGACACCTCCACTCCCGCAACCTTGAACGCTATTTAGCGGTTCTCACATGGTCCCCGAGCACTTCTCTCCGTCCACATCACGGACTTTCACCCCCTCACCTTGACTGTTTGAACCCCGTGAGCCCGGATTTCGGCGACGGGCAACCATTGAACCGCCGGAAAACCTGTGGATACATGTATATGACTTCAATTTTTCATTTGCTATATATCTTACTTTGAAGCCGGTTGAATCGGTACTCTGTTACAGCTTGCTTCTCACATCGATCCGTCAGACTCATTTCATCATCCTCATCATCATCAGCGGGCAACATGGCGGCATTGGTGCCCGTTTTGGTGGCCGGCCTCGCCATTTTTGGAGGCTACAACTATGCTCCCGCAGCCAAGAGGACAATTGCCCTTGCGGGAATCGGACGAGAGAAGCTAAACACCCCAGTGGCGCAAGCTGGAGACTTCATCTACATTGACGATACGATTCACTGCGAAGATATTCATTACCATACCCCGAGCGGTCTACTCTTCACTGCGTGTGAAGATAATGAAGAGGGCCGTGGCAAATGGTTCCCCGGTCTGGGCACCCTTGACGATCCACTCACGGGAAGCAAACAAAAGGGCTCTCTTCACGTCATTGATCCCAAGGTATGGCCTTAAAACTTTGAGTAGCGCCCAACGTCTTAGACATCTAACTTACCTGATTAGGACATGACCCAAAGACGACTCAAATTTGAGAACTTTGACACAACCTTTGTCACTCATGGCATCGATGTCATCTCGGACCCCAAGAAGGCGGACGCAGTCTACATCTTTGCAGTCAACCATGTGCCACACCCAGATTATCTAGCGACCAAAGTCGGAGGCCAGGGCTCTCAGAAAGTCACCCAAAAGTCTCAATCGCGCGTGGAAATCTTTCACCACATCCTCGGATCATCCACTGTCAAGCATCTGCGAACCGTCATCCACCCGCTGATGAAGACCCCCAACGACATCTTCATCAAGGATCCTAACACATTCTATGCAACCAACGATCACTATTATCCCGATGGTGTCGGGAGACTCATCGAGGATGTGTGGCCAGGTACCACCTGGACAGACACCATTTACATTCACATTGAAGAGATGTCTTCCTTGGTCCCCACAGAAGGCATCAAGGCCGAGGTAGCTCTTTCGGGAATGCGCAACAATAACGGCATGGGCCACGGTCGCAAGGCCGGAGAAATCCTAGTCGTTAACTGCGCCGGCGGCGAAATGTTCATCGGCGAGGCGTCTTCAGACTCCAAGAACACCTCCATCAACATTGCCGAGTCCGTCCAGGTGGACTCGTACATTGACAACCCCAGCTACTTTGACGATCCGTACAAGACCGAGGCCTTCGATGCTAGCGGCTTCGTGCTCCCCGGCCTCTCGCGACCTATTGATATCCCGAAGCAAGTCCACAACACTTCGTCCGATATTGGGTCGATTGTCTGGTACGTCAAGCCGGCTGCGGGCAGCGATGGTGGTTATGAGAAGAGGTTGGTGTTCGAGGATGATGGCACAAGGGCCCGGTCAGCAGCGGCTGCTGTCTTGGTCGCTATTGACCCGGCTCAAGAGAGGGGGGAGAGAAAGGCGTGGTTGTTCGTCACCGGTTTCATGGCTGGCAGTGTTGTCGCTTTCAAGATTGATCTTTGATGGCGCGGCGGTTGACGGGAGAGCAACATGCTTGCAACAATCTAGGAGGACTGAGGCAATATGGACAGTATCGATTGAAACGGTTTAAGTAGTTTGTTGGTAAAGATGAGGGACGGGGATGGGAAGATCTGGGACACCTGACCTTACCCCCTCAGGATGGATGAGCGCGATACCAGGCTTAGCATGCTTGCATGATTTCTTTAATTCTGTATTCTGCTCAATTGCCATACCCTACTCTGTACATGTATGTACCAGATATGAACATTTACTTTGAGATGATCTGCTCCGCGACCGTTCCCTTCTTACTCGAGCTATGGATGTCGCCTCATGGAATATGATTCACCAGCTCGATAGACCTCCCGGATGAAACGGTCCACGTCACTGATGATCCGGATCGCCTGGTTCACGCTCGGAGACGTAGGCTCGCCCATAGTACTCTGCCAGCCTTGCAGAAGCTGCTTCAAGTGGTCGCCAGCTCCCAGTACCTCCGGCCCAATCATGTCTTTCAATGCCGGGATACGGCAAGCAGCGAGCAGAACAAGCATTGCGCCAGCCATACTGTAGTTCACGCATCAGCCAAGTTGTCTCAGTGCGGAACAGTCACGATTCACAACTTACGAAAGAGAACAGATCCACGTGTCGACCATGACCGTCTGTCCAAAGCCTCTCAAGTTGAGGATATGGAGCAAACAAGCATCCAGACACGCCTTGCAGTTCTTCAGCGCATCTTGACTGACCAGCAGTTCAGAGCTGGCGCCGTTCCCACCAGCCATGCCACTCAGCATCCACATCAGGTACGGTCTGTAAATCACACTCCGGCAAGTGAGATACCTCTGGCGTAAGAAGCCTCCGTGCTCCGTCGCGGTACTTTGGCTGTTCCCCACTTCATTGAACCCAACGCTGAATGCGAAAGCTGGAGGGAGTACCTCGCGCCAGTCATCGAGCTGGTGATTGAGTTCCGCGACGACGTAAGGGAAGCGGGCGTGGTCGAGGGCTGCGCCAGTTCCACGTGCGTAGAGAAGCTGGTGAACGCGGTTGAGGAGGCGGCGCATGGAGATGCAGGCGAGGAAGTAGAGAGATGACTGCTCTTCGACTTGCGAGTCTTTGTGTGTGCTGTATTCTCCTGGAAGAGGGGTCGTTGACTCGATGCGGGCGACGCCTGACTGCGGGAGCCCAGAAAGCTCCGCCATATAGTCACTTGAGATGTGTCAGCTGGTGGATTCAGTCAAGTTCTAGGTCTCGAAAAATACCTCTCGAGAATGTAGCAAGACCAAAAGATCCTCCGGATTCGTTCTTGGTCTTCCGCGGACTCGGACTCTGGTGGATAAGACAGAAGCAAGAGGCATTTTGCCGACGCCGCATTGATGTATTCCCATGCTTGCAATGGCCGACGGAGGAAGGCAAAGTACATTCTAGAGATCAAATCAGTGGCTGTTTCCAACTCGACATACGAATGAAGTTCCGAGCTCACGCTGTAAAGAATAGGCAATGTGTTGCCGTGCTTCCGACATTAGTATGCACCACGTGCAACTTCTTCAAGACGCTGTCAAAGTACATGTCACCCATGGCTCTTTTGGAGGCCCTTCGCTTTCGATCCTCCTCGGTCAACGGCGACGTGCTCGCCAATCCCGTAGTCACTAGTCCGACACACCCCAGCGCCATGGTTAGTAGCGCAAGACAGACGAGAATGCTGTCTCCCTCGGGAATGCCATCCGAGATCAGATTGCGGACTTGCTCAAGTTGACCGCGAGACATGGTCGGATACCAGAAGTTGATGGTGTGCTCAAACGATTCGATGATCTCATCAATGTCCTCCGCGGTCACATAAGGGTGTACGGGGGTTGCTCGCGTCTTTACCGCGGGCCGTGACTGTTCGAGGTGGAAGATGGGCACGTATCCGTCCCTCATATTCGGAAAGGCGTCAAAGTGAGGCCATTGCAGTACAGACTCCGTGGTACTCGTATGCATGGAGTCAAGCACGGCATTCTCAAAATTGTTCTGATACTGCGGCTCCGAGATGGGTGTCCGTTGTGGGTGATGGATCTCGTTCAGCGGCGACCCGGAAAAGGATCCCCGCGAAGCGGATCGGAGGGCCGGAGAGACCACGGACGGACGGTGATCGGCATACGGCGCCGTCCCCTTGAACACACCATCGTGAGATGGGTTCGGTGAAAAGTGGAACGTGGAGGAGACGGGACTGACGATGGTGGCCTTCATCTCATGAAGAAACTTCTCCACCCTGAGTACACCCTCTAGTATGAGGTCGCTCTTCCCGCGCCTGATGACGTGATGGTCAGATTCTAGACTCACAGCAAGCAAGTTTTACTCTCCAGAGTCCAGGCTCTCCCGAGCGTCCAGAAGTCGGTGTTTTGCGCCGGGGATCACGGCGCCGGAGATGAGGGAGTGTGGTTCTTGAGAGGACCGGACTCTTCACTTACGAATTAGCTTCGGACCCATAGGTGCATTCTTGATGCGACGCAGAGCAGGATGCGCATGGCGTGTTGCCGTTGCATCTGTACAGTTCAGTCTCGTTAATCTTGATGCTGTCCCGAGGGACTGGTTCGGCCTCGACCTGGGTTGCTTGGCCGTCTTGGTCCACGTCCACGTACCTGATCTTCCTTGCGCGGCATGTATCGCACTGAAGTATGTGATGCGCTGTCAGCGAGCTTTTCGGGTTCTCGGCTGGGTAGCCGCACAGAGCATGTGGGGAGAAGAGTTTAAGCTCAAAGAGACGGTACACTGAAATGAGTGAAGATCTTCGCAATGGTGCAACGAAAACAGTCAAGCGTGTAGTATTTTCGGCTGCAGTAATGTTCGTGAAGAACTCTTTTTGGTGTTTCAATGTGACAGTGGAATAGGTAATAGACATGAAGCGACACCTTGGTCTGCCCCAATACGATACTGAGGAAGAGAGTGAACTGCTTGCTTGAAGGACCCTAAGAAAATGCAATTCACATACCGCATGACTTGTCCTCAGCCGCTTCCTCGACGGCTCATTGATCGTGTCATTATCCAGTGGCTCCATCGCAACTGCTGGGTGGCATGGCGTAGCGACAGCAACACCAAAGTTCCAACAGCAAAAAAAGCCTGGTTCCGCAGTGAAGGGGATCCTCGATCCGAAGCGGACCGAGTCGGAGCAGAGTTTGGGGGCAATGGACTGGAGAAAAAAAGAATGGACGGCACAAGGGGGTCAAAGGAAGAATCCCGGCAGCAGGACATGCATATATGCACCCACGTGTGGTGCGGGGGAGGAGGATGATGTGGAGAAGGGGGTGAGTTCATTACGGAGTTCTTGAGGTCTAGGAAGAATTGGAGAAACATAAACGGGGTGGGCTTGGCTAAGAAGGGGAAAAGCTTGTGGGATCATGGGATGGTGGGATGCCGGGGGCAGATTGGACGCAGTCTAGGATCTCTGTGGCTTCCCGTGGTTTCGCTCCGTGCAGCCCCGGCACGTCTATGAGGGAAACCCAAGGCCCCAAGCCGGGGATATCACCATCGCTTGGGACAAGGACGGGCATATGTCCCATCGTGGCACGCGTCTCTTACGAGTTGGAGAGAGGCACGTGTGACAGGTGACCTCTTGACTCTTCCTTCGCTGTGCCGTTTTGCCAGTTTCTGGAGGGATACAATATGTGATTAAGCTTTTCCTTCATTCCTTTCAGACGTGACCAAGGTACGAAGACTAAGACTGTTGGATGGGTTGGCCTGAATGTGTCCGTGTTGGTAAAACATGGGGCCGTTAAACAATTTTCTTAGTACGAACGGTGCCGCCCCAATCACAGCGACGGACGCCTTTTCTCATACCATCAACAGACATCGATGGATTGACTGCCTTTACTGATTCTGACGTTGTACTCTAACTTGGAGAAAAACGCTTGAATTGAATCCCTTCCAATGATTGTTTAGATCATTGAGATTTCATTGTATTTGAACAGCAAGATAGACGGCAAATGCAGGTGAATCGTAGCGCTCGATCCGGCGTCCGGACCGGTATCGCCCCGCAAATGCCGCACAAGCCCGGCCCGGTAAAGATATCTACAGTCTGCTAGACATACGCCACCTTCTCGTCCTGTCCGACCTGCATAGTCTTCAAAACAGTCTCGGCCGACCGAGGCTCCAAACTCTTCTTGACAGGGTTCGGGGCGCTAAAGACTTCCTCCAACTCCTCGAGCGTGCGATCCTTGGTTTCAGGCCAGAAGAAGTACTGGTGTCACGTTAGCGGAGCTCTGATATGACCAGCAACTGGTGGGATGACAATGCAAAACTTACAATGAACGCTGCTTCAAAGAGGTCCCAGAAGATGAAGACAATGTAGAAGTAGTACTTGATGTTGAGGAAAGCCGGTCCACTGGCGTATTGGATAACGGTGCTTCCAATGGCACTGGCCAAGTTACCAATGGCAGTACCCTTGGCGCGGGTGGATGTACTGAGGGACTCGGCGATGTACATGCTCTGGAGAGGGGTCCAGCCGAAGCTGAAGACGATGCCAAAGAGGTAGATGAAGGCGATGGTCGTGTTGGCAGCAGCAACGTTGCTAGCATCGTCCGTCGCCATTTTCGAGGTTCCCGTGATGATTGCGAAACAGAAGGAGCAGAAGATGATGGAGTAAATCAGTAGGGGTCTGCGGCCAACAACATCCGTCATGCGAGCTCCGAAGAGGGATGCGAAGAAGCACAGAACAGGGTTGATCGCATTCAATGCCAAGACACGCTTCTCGTCTCTGATGCCAGCATTCTCAAGTACAACCGTCTAGAATCATGTTAGCTATCGAGAAGTGATGGAAAGAGAAGGAGTATGGAGTTACCATGTAGTAAGAAGTCAAACTATTACCACTGATCTGGCCAAAGAAGGCCATACCCAGCACGCAGATGAGGCGGCGACGGGCGGAGTGGGTTTTCCAGAGTTCGCTGTAGTCCCACCACGATTTATCTGAAGCATCTGTGCTTATTTGAGAGACCATCTCCTTCAGCTGGAGCTGGACGATGGGATGGTCGACCGAGCCCTCACCATGGTATTTGGCAAGGACTCTTGCGGCTTCTTCGTGTTTGTCGTTCGCCATGAGCCATCGCGGAGATTCGGGAATGAAGAAGACTCCAACGCAAACGATACCAGAGGTCACCCTGTAGAGGAATTTGTTAGTGCCTGGGACAGTATCAAGTGGAGAGCAGGAGATCATTGAAGAGACTCA